TCTGCCGGTCATGTCACGAGACTCAGCTGGACTGGACTGGCGGGCTCGACTTTTGTGATGGAGGCTGCAGCCGGCAGGATTCGACATGCCGCGGGCGCGGACTTCTTCCGGTCTCTCACTTTTCTTTTTGTTCAGAGAGATATGGTGACGGGACTGTTGTAGACTAGAGTATGTGCTCTGTACCGCGCGCGGGGTATAGTGAAGTCTTGGCGTCCACTGATCTTGTTCTGAATACGAGAGGTTAGCAGAGTAGTCTAGTCTGTCTGGGTTTGTTGTGTTGTGTTGTGTTGTTCACCGGTTTTGGGGCTTGGCAGGTGCCTTTCTGCCCCGTACTCCACATCTTTACTTGACATTGAGTTTTGCTTCCTGTTTCTGTTCTTAGCAGTACGTAAGATGGTTGATATCACTTTCGATATATGTTTGTCAGCCATGTCGTTTGTAATGGTGAATAGTGTACTTGGTTGGATAGACCGTGGCCTAGTCATGCATTTTACTCTTGACCTCAACTAAGCGTTGTTCACATTTGCCAACAGTTATCCTAAGACATGATATGGTATTATACATGTTTAGTCGTGACATATTCGCCGAGGAACAACACATCTAGCAGTTCACTGTCGCTCATGACTTCTCGACAAGTATCCACGAGTCAAATGCAGAGCCTTCAGCTTGGAGGAATACAGGGCTTCGATATAGTGAAAAAGCCATTGCATATCCACCATCCATCTACACGAATGTAGTCTACACTGGTTTTCAATTCCCTGACGTGGTCTGCGTCGCGGACTTCGAGTCACCGATCAACACAAGGTCAGGCTCAACAGGATGACGATATTGTCAGTTAGGGGCACGTATCGCGCGACTATGTATGTTTGTAATGATCAGTAGTACGCAGAAAGATATCCCCATTTATCTTGCTACCTGGGAATTACTACTACTCAGACCAAAAATTCATCCACTTTTCGTTCCCGACCTGCACGCACGGCCTGACATGGCACATTCATTGACTTCGTACCTGGGATAGCAATCGCGAGCTTCAAATGACGTTTCTGGACACGTTAGCGACACGTTCGATGAAATGGTCAGCATGCTAATTGCGACTATCGATTCCGAACACAGAAAAGGATACGTTAGTCTGATCTGACCGGCCAGACAAGTTGCTCGATTTCAGTGGGCTCGTTCGCGGGCAAGAAACAGTATTCTTTCAATCAATGGCCCAGAGGAAATATACAGTGTCAAAATGAACGGAGTATACTTGATGGACCTCGTACACCATGTATAAAGCGGAGTTGCTGCCCTATTACATAAATGTCAGTGCTCCGCTCTTCGACGCGAGGGACTAGATCCCCGATAAAATGGTACAACTTTAGAGAAGCTTCCTAGAGGTCATTGTGCTTGCCTGGCCAGTCCGTTGAAATTATGCAAAGTGAAATGACTACATTCTAACCATCAAGTCGCATGGTTATGTTTGATTGTCAATGGCAGCCAAGCTATCTTCTGCTTCAAAGCCGCTGTCCTTCAGCCTGCTACCTCTTCTCTCTTGCCTTGATCGGCCTATTCTGACAATGCACGCCGTAGATCTACCATTCATTTATCTTCAAGCAGCTTACTGTAATTTTACATACTAATGATACATAGAATTATGTTCGAAAGAGGGTACCACCGCTCGAGGATATCCATGGGTTTGCAGAGCCTTACTTCAGAATTTCGTGTCCTCGCAGCTGCGTGCACCCATAAAGATTGACTTTACGATAATCACCAGAAATGCGGTCCATGTGTCGCAATACCTTTTTCTGCCCATTGTGTCCTTAGAACTGAATGCTTCCTACTTCCAAATAGTCCACCCAGCGGGAATATATATCTTCCCCGTTCATCTTCATGGAATATCTCCAGGCATCACTTTTACAAGTATGCAGTGTATCCACACTACCTTAATTTACATTTCACAGTTTACTAATTAAGGTCTTTTGTAAGTGATACTGATGCCTAAGGGCGGTTTCACCTAAGTGTGCATCCATAAGGTGTGCGTTTCTACGAACTCCGGACGAAGTCTTAGGGCCATCTATCTTCAATAGGAGAAACATATATAGTATAATCCAGGGATTATCGGTGCCATTTATATATTTTATATCTTGAACATAGCTCTGATATGAGAATAGCATGTTTATTCCTTCTGATATAGATGAGCTTTCCTTCGTTACCTTCCGGAGGCAGCAATCCAACTCGTGAGATATAATGCGTACTTTACATGACCAAAGAAGGCAGAAATTGCGCACAACCTTTCATTTAGAGCAGCCTAAGGCTTCAAGCCTCTAAAAGTGTTTTCTAGCTAGATTATTTGAGTCAGAGTACGCCAAGATGTTGAACAATTTGTAGATTAATGTCGAGAAATTCAGCTTGTAGATGAGCAGGACGTAATGAATATATATTTAGATGTCAGAAATTTGAAGGGAGACAGTGAACAGTACCTCCCTACTTATTTGTACGCCTAGAATCCTAGCGTAAGCTTACACCGACTGGAATTGTTGGCGCTTGTGGGCCAGAGAAGACATACGTATACCCCCAACACCTGAAAAGCACGGAATGTCCACGACTCGAATGAAATTTCGATCGCATTGGCAAGGTGTAAGTCTGCAAAGAGCCTATCATCCATGACAGATCATTATTCATTGAATTAGATAATCCCTGTCATATTCATACCGAGGCTCTGGTGGTTCTGGTTCCATTCTATGGGATAGTAGAAAACATGGCTCACATGTAAGCTTAAAGAAGGTTATCCAAACATGAACCACACCTATGTGAGCCCAGTACGGGAACACCAGAGTAGAACAAACTATGTATGTTTCCGTGGTTCATTGTAAGCCCAGCAGAACACACTCAGTTTGACTCCACACCACTTCAGCGTGTATTCATGAAACAAGGTTGACGGAGCAGCTTACGTACCACAGGGGAAGTGTCAACCTCGTGCCATCGCACGTCAGTTAAACTATTACTGCAGATTGAACTACACAACTGCTTCATGTGGAAGTCAATTCCGATGATCAATGGAAATGGACGCTTAAATCCGGCTACTTTATCTTTGACCCACCTTTCTGGACGAACGCACAGCTGACGTTGACATTGAACGCTCCATCAACCAAGGAGTTGGAGGGGTATGTAATATCGAGTTTCATCCCTATGGGGCCAAACAATTAGCAATGCTTAATGCTTGTGCAGAAAATAAGCACACCGGGAATCCGAGGAACCGACAGCCTGCATTAAACTGTGCTTCGGAAATTTTATTTCCCTCCTCTGAGACAGTCTCATTGATCCTTCTGAAAATTTATCCGATGGGATTACCACAGCACGGTGTGCCGCCTATCGTGGATGCTCGCACGGAAGTTTCTATATCCTGATCGTTAAGCAGGATCATGTTCTATATTTATCACTCATGGCTGAGCTGCTCTTAGACATATCAACCGCACTAAAATGGCGATCAGAGCAACAATTAACAATGCCGAGGATATCGATTTGTCGCCTGATTTTTGAGTAAGTTTGTCTATTTTTACTCGGTGAAACAGCGTCTCAGCCAGGAACCGTTACGAGTACGACACAGCCAACACGGGCCATAACAAGGCGAGCCCCTGATCCTCGGGGCCCCCGTCGTTCACGAGCCGAGGTGATCGCTAAGCGGGACTCGCGGATCAACAGGCGCGACCGTGTTTCAGATGTCACCATGACAAGGTGGCTATGAGTAATTCCAGGCGACGTGCCGTGTGTTAGTGCCATGCGGCAATGATGGGCCGCCAAGAGTAGTTGGGGATGCAGTGGAGAGAGAGAGACAACTCATACCAAGATTTGATTCTTTACTTCAGTACGTGCAGACATGACATCTGATAAAACCTATTCCGACCGAGTCGTGGTTCTAGACCTGCGGGCTTGGCGACCGCAACACGACCTTTGCGTACATTCCAGACGATGAAACACTGCATCAGGCACGGGCATGCCGGATCGAGCGAGACCCTTGACAGAATTTGCGGCGGCCCCTGATGATGTGCGGCCTCAAAGCGTCATCACCCATTTCAACCTGCCAGGAACAGCAACGTTGGAGCCAATCGCGGATGCAAATCTGGCTGCCTAGAATAGCAATTGCCACGGCCTCAGCCCCCGTGATTGCGCGGCCCAACAGGCCTTCCATTGGCTGAAATTCCGGATAAGCCTTGGGTTTTGTGCAGTAGTGGAAGCTTGGCAAGTTTCTGAGCCAATAATATTCCTCTAATCCCTTCAAGGAGGGTGGGGGCCTGCTAACGTCACGGACCTGCTTCCATTGCCTCCCCCTCCGCCCGTCCTTCCATCCCAGCCCGGGCGGCCGCGTCACAGACCCGGCTGGAAAGGCAACAAGGCTCGCAACCTCATGCCCATCATTGGCTGGTCTTGCGTGATGCTGCAGGTCAGCTTCCAAACTCAGTCGCCCATGCTGACCTTTTTTTATGCAGCCGGGCTGCTTCTTTCATTTATAGGTCCCCGTCTGGCATGTGTCTTCCCTTCCAACTTCCCGACTCACTCCACCTTTTCTCATCTGTCATCTGTACCTAGATTCCTTCTTATATCTTATCCGTGGTTCCTTCTTTTCTGGCCAAGATCTTAGCCATCTATCAACACGAGAGAAAACTTATTCCCATCCTATCACATCACAATGTCTGCTGCTGCTCCTGCTCCCCCGGTTAACGGTGACCGGCCCGAGACGGGTCACTCACATGGAAAGAGTTCCCTGTCCAGCAAGTCGGACCCGAACCAGGCGTTGAGAGGTGAAGAGGCTGGTATGTGAATCAAAGCAGTGGCTGGTCTGATTCCTTGCTAATATGGTAAACAGTGTACAGCGTTGGATCGAGTGGATTCTCTCTACGCTCAATGCAGCATCGCGACCGCGAGGGCAAAATCATCAGTATGTTTCCACCACACTGTCATTCCATCAGCAGTCAGAGATAAAGGACTATGGCTAACTTGCATGTCTGTGCGCAGCTGAGCCCGACTTGTCCAACCCTACCCGTTACCGATTCGAGCGGCCGCTGGACACCATTCGATCGTTTGAGGCTGCCATCGAGCGCCGTCGTCGTGAGGCCATGTAAGATGAGACTTGGCGTGTGAATATACTGCGAATGATGTTCGATTTCTTGTGATTATGTTTGGGTTCGGCGCTGGACGACGTATGGATATGGACATGGACATGGATATGAGTTTGATTTGATTGAGCGTGTACATTACTTCACTGGGTATGCTTCTGGAATGTTACCTTGTCGATCTCTTATTTCATTCTCCTTCATCTGGGGTTTACCGACACCCGGTATTCCCAATCAAAACTAACTGCAGTTCACACCGATCGACACTACTGAATTGCATTGCACCTCGTTCCAAGGATATCCTCGCTTCCAGAGAAACAAACTACGCCCTCGCAGCTCTAACCTCTCTTGGCACGACCGTATTGACTGGCCGACCAGCAGGCGAAGGCTTGGCCGTATATATACTTTATCCGGTCCTCGGCCTCCGACCCACTGCTTGCCTCTATCCGGATATAAGCATCCACTTCACCAAGACGCTATCCGCCACTACAGCATGGTTTGGGATAATGTCCCACTCAATTGCCACTCCTACTCACCGTATAGGTCTTCGCTTGGCTGAAGATATAAGTTTCCAGGCAACTATACTTGGCTGATCTTGGCATGTTCGAGGAAGATGGCAGGGGCGCAGGTTACGGGGTTACTGAGTAATGGCTGAATAGGAGGGAGAATTGGGTTTTTGTTTAAATGTCTGGTGGGAGCCGGGGGGTGTTGAAGTTGGAATTTGATCGTTATAGTCGCTCGTTTAATACTAGTCGCTCTCTTATACGTTCATTTTGTTTGTTGGTTACCATGAAGTTGTCTCTGGCTGTTGGGGCAGCCCTGATGGGCTCTGCTCTGGCAGTGGATATTGATCCCATTGTCATCAAGGTAGACCAGCTCAGCTGAAATGTTTAGCATTGGAACTAACGACATTGCAGGGATCCAAATTCTTCTACAGCAGTAACAACACCCAATTGTACTCTGCCATCCACCCCATAGATCCTATTCAATAAAGCTAACCATACCAGCTACATCCGCGGTGTCGCCTACCAAGGCAAGCCCCTCAAACCCCTACGACCAAACCCACACCCATCTAACTCAACATAGATGACTATACCGGCAACTCATCCTCCGGCTACACCGACCCCCTCGCCAACCCGACCCTCTGCAAGCGCGACATCCCCATTCTCCAAGAACTCAACACCAACGTGATCCGCGTCTACGCCATCGACCCCACAAAAGACCACACCACATGCATGAATCTGCTCGCCGCCGCCGGCATCTACGTGATCTCCGACCTCTCCGACCCAACCCAATCCATCGACCGCTCTGACCCGACCTGGGAGACAAGCCTCTACACGCGCTACACGAACGTCATCGACGAGCTCATCCAGTACAACAACACCTTGGGTTTCTTTGCCGGAAACGAAGTCTCCAATGACGTCGCCACCACGGACGCCAGCGCCTTCGTCAAAGCCGCCGTCCGCGACATGAAAGCTTACATCAAGAGCCAGAGGTACCGGTCCATTGGTGTTGGGTATGCGACTAACGATGACTCGGATATCCGGGTTAATATGGCAGATTACTTCAATTGTGGGAGTGAGGACGAGAGTATCGATTTCTGGGGCTATAATATCTACTCCTGGTGTGGGGATTCGAGTTATACCAAGTCTGGGTATGACGAGCGCACGGAGGAGTTTAGGAATTACTCCGTGCCGGTGTTCTTCTCCGAGTATGGGTGCAATACTGTCCAGCCGAGGAAGTTCACGGACATTAAGGCGCTATTTGGGGATCAGATGAACGATGTTTGGTCCGGAGGCATTGTGTATATGTATTTCCAGACGGATAATGATTACGGTATGCCTTTCCCCTCTTCTATATCTCCATTTTAACTACCATCCACTAATGGCATAGTATAGGCCTCGTCTCCGCCATCGACAGCACCAGCGTCTCCAAACTCGCCGACTTCACCTACTACTCCTCGCAAATCGCCAGCGCCACACCCAGTGGCACAAACAAAGCCTCCTACACCCCCACCAACACCGCCCTGCAATCCTGCCCAGCAGTAACTTCTAAGTCCTGGCTGGCCACATCCTCCCCGCTCCCACCCACCCCCAACGAAGAACTCTGCACCTGCATGGACAACGCCTCCGGGTGCGTCGTCAAAGACTCCGTCTCGTCCAGTGACTACGATGACCTGTTCAGCACTGTATGCGGATTCACGTCCTGCGATGGGATCTTCCATAACGGTACCACCGGTACCTATGGCGCGTATAGCATGTGCGGTGCGAAGCAGCAGTTGAATTTCGTTCTCGATAAGTACTGGAAAGAGCAGGGGAAGAAGGCGGATGCGTGTGGGTTTGACGGGTCCGCGACGACGACTGCTACGGTGAAGGCGACGGGGACGTGTAGTGCGTTGATGAAGGAGGCCGGGACTGCGGGGACGGGGACGGTTACGAGTAAACCTACCGGGACGGCAGCGGGGAGTAGCAGTGCGAGTGGGACAGGGGGTGTAAGCGCTGTTGGGTCTGTAGGAAGCGCGAGTTTGGGAAGGGGAAGTGCGATGATTAGTATTGGGGCGTGGCAGGTGGGTGCGTATGTTGTTACGGGTGTTGTAGCAGGGTTGGGGATGGTTTTGTTGTAGGTTGTATAGTTGAGATGTGTAGTGGGAATTGGTTAAGAGAGTAGCAGAGACAGCAAATCCATTACTACCACCAAACAAGACTCTTATCTAAAACCCTAAATTCCCTCCCATCTGCTTCCCCCAAAGCTTCCGATCAAATCGTTGCTCCAGTAGCGCCTGCGCATCCCCGGCATACATAAAAACTTTCCCAACAACCTTGTCCGGCTCCTCCCCATCCTTGAAAAAGATCCAGCAGTCTGTAACTTCATACGCATTCGTCTCATAATGCGCTAGTTTCTGCGCCTCTTCTTCGGATTTCACTAGGTACGAAGACCCCGTCACCACTTGTCCTTGCTCCCCATTGATAAGGGCAGGATAATCGCCCCATTTAGCAATGGCGTAGCCAGACACTTTTGCTTCGCGGAGATGTGGCTCCTCGGGTAGGTCGAGGATCCGTTGAACTTGTATCGCGGACGTTAGGGTTCCGTAGAAGAAGTAGTATACCGGATAGGCGGGTGGAGGGAGGATGGGTTTGTTGTGCTGTGTGAGGGAATGTGGTAGGGTAGATTGAGGTTGTTTGATTGGGACTAGACTTGGAGGGGGAGGCGGAGGTGGGTTGGAGAATACGGGGTCTGGGGAAGTTTTGTCCTGCATGAGATGTACGAACTGAATTCGAGATAGATATTGAGGCCCCAGGACTGAGATGTAGAACCAGAGGACGAGTGAGTTGTTGGTTTGAGCCAGGACAGGCAACAATGATAGTCATGCAAGGCGGTGAAGGGTAAGAAGTACTAGATGCGCAGACTTGCAATGTCTTTTACGGATCAGCTCAGGTATCGATAGGCTGAGTATCACTCTTATTGAGAATCAAGATGGATGGAAACCAGCGTAGCTTTCTAGAAATGTTCAGGCGCAATTTAATGCGATGAGTGATATGGATTAGAATGTGTATAAGAGAGTCCAAAATTGAAATTGCGCCTCGAGTCCTGGTCATATGAATACTTCATTAGACTGGCCTCCATATTTGAGAGAGTACGAGGATAAATATTATGTATACCATTAAATTCAAATATTGTATATCACCCAATCTTTCAGTCCTACAGTTGCTGGCAGCATAATATGAACCTCTCACGTGATATGACGCTATAATCGCCGAGGTGCCGATATCGCCGCCATATCCGACCGGCGTTACTATCGCCGAGCACTACTAGATGGGCCACTTCTTGCAGAAAACCTTCTCTACATCTCTCAATCGCGATATTTCATCATGGACTGCTATACAAGCCGCAGAAGGAAAAGGACACGTCTATCATGTGTGGAATGTCATCGCCGGAAAGTCCGTTGCGATCGCAGTGACCCATGTCGCAGGTGCTCCAAGGCAAAGATTCGGTGTTTCTACGACACTGATGACAGACCAAGAGCATCTTGGAGTCATGAAAGATCTCTCGCAAATGATCAAGTGTCTGTGAGACAATCGTCTACGGTTACTACAGGATTGCCATCCCATGCCCTACGAGACACATCTGGCAGCCACATTGGGGCTCAAGAAATCCCTCTATCTCCACTGGGCCATAGCCCTGAGGCAAGCGTCCGTGGGACTATGTCCAAAAGTCGTCTTTTCGGCACTACCCATCCCATTACAACATACCTTCAGGTCTGTGGCCTTATACCTGTCTGAATTCATCCATTGTCATATTACTAAAGAGATCAGTGTGATGAAATATATTCGGCCAATTCCAGTCTTCACTCTGCGGGACGCAGAGATAGTGCGTGGTCGGCACTCTTAGTAGAGGCTCAGACCCTAATTGCATCCTCGAAAGCAATGGCACGAACTGCAAAAAAGCAATATGCATGCGGAAACCCAACGCTTGACGACGCAGCGAGGGCTCTACCACCCCCGGAGGTTTGTGATGTTGTCGTCGGCCATTATATGCGCATATGGGAAGGACCGTTTCGCATCCTCCACCGTGTAGCCTTCCAGAGAGAATACTCTACGTTTTGGGAGGATAGTACCAAGAGACGGCCTATATTTACCATTATTCTTTGCCTGGTAATGTCAATTGGCGTCCACTTTTGCCACGATGAAAATATTGAGGCTCGTATTCGTCCTCATATTCTTTTGTGGCTGCATGTTGCCCAATCGTGGCTTTCGAACGCGAGGGGCAAGGATCTAGCCACCATATCTGGACTACAGACTCAATGCTTGCTGTCTGTATCACTTCAGTTCAATGAGGCCAATCTCCAAAGGATTTGGCTCGCGCAAGGGGTGCTCCTGCGAAACGCTATGTACATGGGACTACATCGTGACGGGAGGCATTTTCCTGACATGCCGTTCTACCACGTCGAGATGCGCCGAAGGTTGTGGAGCACCATACTTGAACTGGACTTGCAGGTCACGTTGGACTTGGGAATGGTACCCACCACAAGCGAGCATGAGTTTGATAGTTTACCGCCTATGAATCTGGATGATGAAGTATTTAATGAAACAACCAAAGCCGCTCCTACACCAGCCGCCAATTCAGCACCAACCGATAGTTCGCTACAGATCACCCTACGACGAACCCTAGTACACCGCATGATGATCGCTCGACTTATGAACGACTCGTTCAATGAACCTTCCTACGAAGATATATTGCAAGCAACCAACGAGCTGACGAAGCTGCTGTCCACCACTAAACAACGCCTAGACGTTCTGGTCACGGAAGGGAAAGCAAGGGCGGCTCATCAAAATCTAATAGACTTCCTCACACGCCGCTTCCTAATCGCTATGCATCGGCCCTTCGCAACAAAGGCTTTCCAGGACCGCCGTTATCACTACTCCCGCCAGGTCTGCCTCGACAACGCCCTACTTATACTCACACCAGAGCATGACCCAGATTTTCACCGAATGCTCCTGACATCTGTGACGCTGTTCCGACATATAATGCACCATGCTGCTATATCACTATGCCTAGAGATCATGGGACAGATCAAGGAGGATCAACTTGACAAGAAGTTGTTCCAGATACGCCAGCAAGACCGATCGCGTCTCCTTGCCTCGGTCCAACAAATCCCGCAAATCACTGCAGAGCGTCTACGGTTACGCGAAACAAATGTGAAGAGTCATGTATTTCATTGTATGGCGATCGCACAGATTGAGGCTCTGGAAAATGGACTGGATGTCACGGGCCATGTACTGACCGCCTCGGTTGCAAGTGCACGGCAGGCTCTAGAGATTCTACAGCAACGAGTTACGACAAATAAGGATGAGGGAGACCATGTCTTCTCAGTAGGATCGGAACTAGAACTTGCGAAAACGGATGAATTCCTGCCACCCACGCTCTTCCGCAACGATGATACGGGATTTGACTTGGGAGAAATGACGAGCTGGTTATTCTCAGACTGGGTTGAGGAATACCCCTTGTAGCCATATTAATGCACCAGACGCGAAGAGACGTACTGAAATAGTTTAGTGATATGCTATCACGGACGAATCCTACTTGGCATTATAGAGTTCTCTCTAGTATCATGAACGGTGCCTTACTTTTACCATGCTAACGAACACACTCTGATTTATTTCCATTAAACACGCCGAAATGGGTGCAATATATTTTAAGATATAACAGAGCGTTCAACAACAACAAGATTATTCTTAAGTGCAGCGCCGTTTATTCCTGTAAAATTGGAGACTAGTAGTCTCCTTGCCCTTCGGAATAACGAAACTCCGTGGCTTCGTTTTTGCTATATAGACCGTGGTTGTTAGCATCATAGGGGCGTTAGTTCCGGATGTATGGTCTGGCTTTTTCATTATGTCGAAATGTTCATCAAAAAAGCTTGGCTAGTGCAAAACTTGAGGACTTCGGGTCCTGAGCCGGTATGAAATTGCGAATCCAGATCTCACGACAGGCATTTTTTTACCCTCCATCGTTTGTGGATGAGCAACAGCTAGGAGACATCCCTGATATGATGTGTACGGGAGTAATGATGCTGCGTCAGAGGCCCTCAGTATAATTGTTACTATAATCTGAAACATTTTGAAAGTTTCTTGCCACAATGAGGCCGCCGCGTATGCTACTTCTATACTAAGTTACTCCAACCAATGTTGTCGTTGTAAAAGGCCGCAAATTTGGGACACTACTACAAGAGATCATAGAAAGCTCACAGAAGACTGCAGAGCTCACTTTTAGCCTCTAGTCGGGTTGAGACATACTTAGTCTACTAAGTACTCTTGAAGTATAAGACACTGGATGACTGTACTACTGAGGACTTAGTCTACTGATATACATGGCATTCTATTTGCTTCAGGCTGAAGTAAGGTATAGTAGGGAATAAGTACACCTCTACATTATCATTAAATCCTAGGAACACAATATTCTGAAGCACAAATTTAAAAGCTAACTTTTTGGGACAGCTGTTCAACCAGCAAGATTATGCTGGTCTGGGTAGTTTTCACGGGATCAACTACCTTTTAGCCATGACTAGAATGCATCGCCCGGTGGAAGACTTCGTTTATGGAATATAACCTAAAGAATGGGAAAGATAAGGAGACGCCAAGAATCATTGACAATGCCGCATCGCACGGTTACAGATAAGCAGCATCTATGTAGTCGTGGTAGGTCATCGGTAACATACTGTGAAAATTGTCGTGCAAGCTGATATTCATTGATGAAAGCACAGACGGATTTCAAAGTACAAGGAGCAGATAATAATGACCACCCAGCCACCCCTACGCCTGCTAGTGTGCAGCATTTCTCATGGTCTCGTATCATCAATAGATAGCTTGGACCTTCATCTGAAATCTTATAAATAGGTATTGGGACTCTTCCAATGCCCAGCATGGTTCGATGATTCCAGCATGAAGATAAGGATCAGGAGTTTTGGCCTACCGTGACAGACTATTCTAGATACTGCAGCATTTTCTATCGAGCTAACATCAGCTTCTGCAAGGTGGGATTTGAGGACTACGGGGGAATGACGATAATGAAATATACTCACTTTCCACCGCTTCTCTGTCACCTTTTCAGCACCTTGTTCGGCAGGAGAAAGGGCTTTGTTGATCAACCTGAGTTTGTCCGATTGGATCCATTGAACATACTGGATGGCTTCCCGTCAGACAAGCGCTGTCATATCAAGCACAGGGCATATCTTACCGATTCGATCGACTCGCTTGTGATGTACCGCACAACTTCCACATCGCGTTCTTGTCCAATGCGATGAACGCGGTCGATAGCTTGTGCTTCGGCCATCGGGTTCCACTGAGGCTCCACAATGTGGATGGAGTTTGCCGCCGTGAGATCAATCCTAGATTGAGTGTATCAGAAAGTTGTTCATTTTTTGGGCAGGAAGCTAAGAACGATAATGAAAATACGCACCCCTCGCCCGCTGCTCCAATACTTGCAAGCATTACTATGCACTGCGGATCGCTTCCAAAAACTTCCAGCGCTTCTCTGCGCTGGCTAAGAGACGATCGTCCTTCAATGCGCCGGAATGTCAGGTGGTTTTCGGTGAGCGCGGTCGCAATGAGGTCTAACATCTTGGTCCAGTAACTGAAAATCACACTGTTGGATGTGTCCCTGTCAGAATCCACCTATATTTCATACTGGGAAAGACCATGGGGGCTGTTGATCCTTACAATTTCGTCTGGACCCCCTTCTCATCGGAGATACTCCGACTTTTGGTGATGTTACGCAGGAGCGCCCTAATTTTGGCCGAGGGAGCATATCCTACTGAAAGAGGGTGGGTGAAACTAGTCGGAGTCGGCGATGAGCTGCGGCACTCATTTGCTTCACATTTAGGGCATGGTGGCTGGCTATCAGTTTCCGTGGCACAAATACCGCAAATGGGATGTCCGCAGCCTGCTTCCGCCACCAAGGAGTCACTGGAGCGATACTCCTCGATCGGCTGAGCACAGATCGTGCACTTAATTGTCTCAGATTCCAGAGTCCTCCAGGTCAGGGAGGTGTCATCGCGCTCGTGCCACGCGATGAGGGCAGCTTTGGGAAGAAGGGCCACACCATGATCGCAGATTAATCGGAGCAGACCAATTAGCACAAGGATGTTGGTACCAGTCCTTTTGTGCGACGACATTGCCTTCCCAGCCGTGAGGAAGGAATAGCGCTTGAAGAACTCGTAGGGTTCCCTGTCTTCTTTATCCATGTGCACTCTTTCGACCAGCTCGGTCTTCCGGGGCAAGCAGAGCTCTGTAGCGGAACTTCTTTTTGTTCGCCGTAAACAAGTTGCAGTAACCACATTTCTTAGAAGGTCAAAGCTTCTGCTTTTATTCTCCGATATGGAACCCACTATCAGCCTCTCAAATGAACCTCGAGACTCGAACGGGGGGGCTTGGATGAATTCCAGCAGCGCACCGTAATCGGCCAGGCGGTTTTGGATAGGCGTGCCGGTGAGACACCATCGGTATTGGGCTTGCAGAGAGCAGACAATGCGATATGTCTTGGATGATGAGTTTCGTATTCGATGGGCTGTTCGCAGGTTCCCATGGCACCCAATGTCAGCGTAAGACCCGACTATGACGGGGGAGCTACACAAACCTTCGTCAAGAATTATTCGTTGCCACTCGTGGTTGTGCAACAAGCCTTCTTCCCCTTCTACATTTAACGTGTCGTAGGTAGTCAACACAACATCGTACATGTCCAGGTTTCCAGTCAGCTCGTGTCGTTTATGTCCATGGTAGGTCAGCCACCGTATCCGCTCCGGATGGATATGCCTAGCAGATATCAGCCTGGATGTGCTATATATCTTCAAGATTTCTTGGGAAGGCGACTGTTGAGGCCAGAAGAAGTCCCTACCTTTTAATTTGTGACTCCCATCCGGAAATTGCTATCGAGAGTCAGCCATGCTTCCTTTGAAGATTTGAGCTTGAGAGAGCCGGCGGAACCATACTCGACATAGGCGTGACAATTAGGGTGCCCTTAGGGACGCCGGCTAGGGTAGTTTTCTGGTGCCGATCGAGCGAATTACAGACAAGCGCAAGGCTTGACAGGGTTTTCCCTAGCCCCATATCCTGTGCACCGTCAGACAAAGTTTGTATGTATGCCTTGGACACGAGATACTCATACGTCTGCCAAGATCCCGCCCCCGACGGGCGCAGGCTGTTCCATACTGAACAGCTTGGTAACTATATTCTGGTATCTATCAGGGGTGAGCTGCTTGTTTATGAACTTGTCTTTTAGGCTCGGAATGTGTCAAGATGAGGAAGTCCTACCGAATCTCCCCACTGGGGCATCTAAACGGTTGCCAAATAGATGGAAATTGCGAATTCTCGAATATCCCTGTCTCCTTCTCCACCATAAAGATCAGCGCCTCAACTTGATGCCTACCGCGTCATAGTTAGTGAAAAGGGTTCCGTGATATAGACTCGGGGAATGAGAAGGCCCTTAACCTTTTCAGCGCCGTTGTGAGGCGCATACTCGGTTCAATATTCAACTGTATCCCCTTGGAAGCCGAGGCGGTGTCGAAAATCTCGTATATCTTCGCCGTTTCCTCTTCGCCCAGCGCGCTTTCACGGCCCGCGCAACACGTCGACATTGATAGCTGGCTGGGCGGAGGCATATCCTTCTTACCAGGTGGGAGCAAGTACTGGGGATTTAAGTACTTTACGCTGCTATCCATCTCCGACGGGTGAGGATGTTGCAAAAACAACTCCTTTCCGGCCAAAAAATCACCGATCTGCTCTTTTTGACCAAGGAAACCGTAGATAAAGACTCGGAGCGAGTAATACTTGATCTGTGTAGTGGCGAGCTGGCTGGTAGTACGTTTGTTCAACCTACTCTTGGTGACGGCTGATTTCGGTTTTCGGCCGCAGATAGTCGCCTGCAACGTGACGGGGAATTTGGTGGTCAAAGACCACAGCGCCTTGGCGACGAGGATCGCCACGCGCTTACCAGCGCCAGTCACAACGCGCACCACATCATGCTCAAAGATGAGGCTCGCAGGAGTACATCCGATGGGGAGTTGTCCTTCATCGGAGGCGGTTGCGCGCATGCAGAGCTGGGAGGTTTCGTCAGTCTATCACTTATAGGAGAATGTCTGTTTTCGGCTCGTATTCACCATTCCAAAGCAGGTATCATAGGCTTTACCCACTATAGGAGAAGGGTATGAGAGAGGAAGACGGCTTGTGTGGTCAATAGAAGAGCCATTAACTCTGGTGGAGGTTGTCGCTTCCAAGGCGCCTGCCACATGAGTGTTGTCACATCGGTCCTCGTCTTCAAGCGTGAAGTCTATGAAGTTGCCGCGTACAATGGCTTCAGAATCCTCCAGACCGTGTCTCGGCCTTTTGGTACCTTCGTCAGCCAGTTGAGGGGTGTAGCTTCGCTTCCTTGAAATGGTCATCGTGGGGTTTTCGTCCGAGTGCTGCCGCGGCCGGAGGTTCAAGGCGGAAGAGGGTTCCGATAACGCTTTTTTATCACCAACTAGTGTGCCCCCTGACTAGGACTTGAACTAAATTAGTTCGAGACTTGGGGTGGCGCAGCTTCTAAGCCACAAGATGTGCAGCTTAAGCCAATTGGAGTTTCCCTGTTACTTTTTTCCAGTAACCTTTCTAGTGCCCTTGCACACAATAAGCCAAATATAACCCGATCCCCTCGTCCCGACGGATCACCAGGCTTCTCAGCCCAAATCCATTGCTCTCCTTGACCATTATGGCTTTGAATGACCCGGCTCTAGAGATCTTTTACCAGGCCCAGCAGTCTTTCCGCAACCACTTGAACGATCCCGGTCTTTATAATGAGATCCTCTCCTCTAATAGCATCGACGAAGTCTACAACTTGACTGCGAAGCTTCAAGAAGAAGCCGCAGGCAAGGCAGGCCTTCGAAATCTCGCCAGAATTCGACCCTTTCTTGAGCGCCTGTCATCATATAGTGCAGTCATCGAAGTTTTACTCCAAGTCAAGCCAGAGCTCGCATTGATCTGGGGCCCAATCAAGCTGCTCTTGCAGATGTCCAGCGAGCTGACTAGCGCCTTTGATCGAGTGGCAGACACAATGGTAAAGGTCGGCTATGCTCTTCCTCAGTTCGCCATGGTCTTGAGCGTTTTTGAGTGGAGTGACGCCATCCGGGCCGCAATGGCCTTATTCTACGGGGACCTCCTGGAATTTTACCGTGTGAACCTGGACTTTTTTAGGAAACGTCGTGAGTAACCCCTTTGTTTTTGGTAAACACATGGCAATATTCGCCCGCTTACTACGGCTCAGGTTGGAAACAAATGTTCGAGGCAATCTGGCCCAGCTACCAGAAGAAACTCGATGTGGTAGTGAGTAACATCGAGTTGCATGCGACCCTGGTGAGGAACGAGGTCACGCTTCTTGACGTTAGTGAAGCGCAAAAGGCTCGCGTGAGGTCGCTCGAGCAATTCGCCGAGATCCAAACGTTACATAGCCGGCAAAGGTTTACAGGCCTGAAAGGGCAGATTGCACCCATCTCATTTGATGAAAGGTTAGATTGGATCTCGAACCGATCGGTCCCCGGCTGCGCTAAATGGCTCTTTCGGGACAATGCTTTCTCTGAATGGTTTGATGTTTCAGCGCAGGCCCCTCAATACCTATGGCTGCAAGGCATGCCGGGGGCGGGGAAAACATATCTGTGCGCTGCAGCTGTGGGTCATGCCCGTGAGCGTCATCGAGTCCTGTTCGCGTTGGTAAACCACGCAGCAAAAAAGACTACAACTGCGCTGGGGGTTCTTCAATCCATGATATTCCAGGCTGCAGAGGAGAATCAAGACTTGCAAGCAATTTTGTTGGAGGCTAAGGAACGTGAACTGCGCGGGAACACGCTGTACGTGACTGAGCTTTTCAAGTCCTTCTTGAAAACAGCAAGTCAAACGTATATTATGATCGATGGACTGGATGAAATGGATGAGCGGGAGCGACAGGTCTTACTGGAGCGATTGGAAGAGATCGCGAAGGAATGTTGTGACTTGCGGATTCTGATCAGCTGTCGTCCAGAAGGTGATATCTCACGGAGACTCGAGAAGAAGGCATGCGCAATCAAGATCCATGATCGCAACGCAGGAAGCATTCAGCATTACATTGACCATCGGGCACGCGACTGGATCAGTGAATTGGGTTGTAGTCCCTCCTTGGAGACTGAATTGTACGGTCTTCTGTCTCCTTTGGCCGCTAAAGCTGCAGGTCGGTATTGCATGATGTCGACCCCTTAGAAGTTCTTTTCGTGTGCTGATGAACCCCCCTTTCACTTTCAGGCATGTTTCTATATGCGAGAATTGTATTGGACAATTTACAAGGCATAGTTGGACTCGATGACATTCGCCGCGAACTCAAAGCCCTTCCTGAGGATCTGAACGATGCGTGAGCATGAGCCCTTAGAAGTCATATGGCAGAGACTGAATGACCTAACAAGCTCTACCCCAGATACCACCGCATCTTGCAGAGGATAAGTGACCTTCCTCCACGGAAACGTGAACGAAGTAGGAAGGTACTGGGCTGGATCGGGAGTGCGCCGATTCCCTTGACCGTTTGGGAGATGGAACAGGCTTTATCTATTGAGCTCGATGAGGAAGGCAAAATGACCAGTGCAGTTACTCCAGATCTTCTTAGCATTGATTTCGTCCAACTTTGCGGTCCAATTATTGAAGTTGCCGATGGAAAGCTGCAGTTTGTTCATTTCACGGTCGAGGTGTTAGTCCAAACTTCATGTCTTGGAAAAAGACAACTCCCCACTGTTGGCCCACGATACTGACGAATGCAACAGATACCTCTTCAGTCCACGGATAGCGCACTTTATAGACAAACAAGTCGCTACCTTCGACCTGTTCAATAGTTTAATGGCCTATCTTATGTCCGGAATTGTCGATCTCGACCTGGATGAGGGCGATATTCAAGAGCAGATACGGCACGGTCGCTTTCGACTCTTCGATTATGCGAGTTTTTACTGGCCGGTTCTTCTTTACGAACTTATTTCAGTCAAGCGAGAAAGGACTAATAATCAAAGAGATGAGTCGTTGGCTCGTTTACTGAAGAGAGTTGCAATGACACTCCAGAATTTCGATTATATCACAAAGGAACCTCAGGAAGGGCATGAAGTGAATCGGATGTGGTCTTTTCTGAATAACGGAGACTTAGAATCGAATGGTGTTATACGTGGAGCCAAACAGTTTCACTCAAACGAGAAACGATGGGACTGGAACATCAATAATAGTAAGGAATATCAATACATCCACTACGTGTCAATCCGCCCGCATCGCTCCATTATTGACCATGCAATGACCCAACAGGCGAGTCGTGGATAAACAAAGATCCATTGATCACGTCACAGATGTTGATTCGGCTGCGGGAACACCACGAGATACTACTGTCTATGCCAGACTGCCGTCCGGACCTGGAGCGACAATATGGTCCCGAGCTCTTCCGATGCACGTACTTGTTCTGTACGCGAAGCCGACGTGGCTTTTCCTCAGCCGACGAGCGCGATAAACATGTTGAGAACCATGGACGCCCATTCAAATGCATCGTTCCGAGCTGCGAGTTCTCTAGCATTGGCTTCGACTCGGAAGCCAGCCGGCAAAGGCATTGGAAAAAACACCATATCTCAGCCGCACGCGAGACTCAGGCGGCCGTGGAAGCCGCAGAAGGGGTTGGAGGCAACTTTGACGCACTTGATCCCGAAGAAGCTCAGCCCTTGCTCTTTGTCCTGCTTTCTGAAGAGAAGGTCGACCTTGTACGGCGTCTGCTCGGCTCCCAGGCTGGGAAGAAGTTGAAGCCGGAGGTTATCGCGCATGCAAGACTCATGGCTGCGGAGCAGGGGTCGCTAGCGCTCACCGAGCTCCTAGCACCGGTGACAACGGAGAAAAAAGTACCCTTTAAGGTGTTAGCCGCAGCAGTGGCTAGCGAAAATGCCGACTTTGCCGAATGGGCGTATAATCACCTTTCACTAGCCGACTGGCCCAATATGATGAAGGCGGTTGTAAAGGTGAGGCGGGATGATATCTTCACTCGATGGGAAAAGTACACCCAAGGAGAGGTTGATAAGATGCGCATCAGACCACGATATGGTGACGATTTGTTCACCTTGCTCTTTAGACAATCTTTGTTTACGGACATCCAGGGCAACGAGCTGAAAGAGGCGAGAACAAAGGGCCTCCTGACGCAGTTCGGACGATATATGTCGTGGGAAATTTTAGGCACATTGCTCCTTCGAGTGGCCCGATCGAGCTGCTCGGTGATTTTGGCAGATCACCTGTTACAACTCGGAGCACCCATCAACTTCTGTTCTTCTTCAGGACGCGCAATCGGTCAAACACCGCTGTATGTCGCTGCGAAGAAGACCTCCGTAGAAGCAGCCTTCTTCATGAAGTTTCTTATCCTTAACGGCGCAGAAACCGTGGTATCAATCAACCGTACTGTCACACATATCAGCGAAGAAAAGGGCGCCGCAAAGATAGCCGAAAAGGTGGGGCTTACATGGAGTGAACTAGAGGAGATGTATAAAAAGAGCGAAAAGTATAAACCGACACACGATGACGATTAGCCCTGCTTGACAGGCTTAACCATGAGCCGAGTCTACACCCAATCTTAAGAAATATAGTATTGGCTATATGACTATAGTATTCCATATATGGAAAATCAAACCGATGGTGACCGACCTTTACCACATATGAGACCTTCCTCGTTCGAACGTAGGATCTCGGAGCCAATGTCTCCATCTTGAAAGCACTCGTCAGACACGAAGCATGCAAAATAGTTACCCCATATTTTGCTATAGTCGTATGATTATCCAACATCTGGTAGTATTATTAATTTTAGTATCTCGGAATAGCGGGACGGGGGGCAATCGACCAGGGAAGAGGCCGCATCGGTTGCTCTCCGCGGCGCCAGCTTCGTAGAGATCGCTGCAAGCCAACATGAAATCGATTGATAAGCAAGTTGGGGTCTATCAGCAGCCCCTGCAGGCGGTGCGCAAAAAGAGGGACCTAGAAGGCATGCATTGAGCACACTCGGACTGAAACTTGGTGCCGTAGTAGATATGCGGGGGATCAACAGCTGTGTGTGAACGAAAAAGCGTACTCGGTGACGAGATTTATTCCTCGGTTGATAGATATCCGACATCCAAGCTGGTGGGGCAGTTCTTTACCGATGAGCTCGCTAAGCGCGTGCCTCCAGAGGTGGTTGTGGTGAATGAGTGAAATCCGGGTCTGTGCAAGTCTGGCCCGGTTTGTGAGTATCGCGGTAGGTCTATTGGGATAGCTTTTGCGATTGAACAGGTTACTCTAGCGAGGAAGCCTTCTGTGGACGCGCGCGCGCTCTCACTGGTGCGACTGTGAAGCATGGTGCTGGGAGCCATGGGATGTATATTGAGGATGGGGAGATCTCTACGTAAGTGAACTTCTTCCGTCGCTGGTGATGTATATTTGGTAACTGGATTATAGTTGGGCGCCTATTTTGTATATGCCGAGGGGAGAGAATATATCTACGCAGCTGTGGGAGGAGATGATGGAAGAGTTGTCGTTTGCGGGTTGGAGAATGTTCTGGACGATTTGAGCGGGTAGGTTGGACTGGATTCATGTTTCCCTCTAGGGCAATTTGAGGTATGAACACGATCATGTACAGATGATTAACCATGCCATTGATAGAAACTGAAATCACGCCACTTCATTGATGCGACTTTTGACATCCCCCTAACACTGACAACAAATACACCCTCAATATCTTCCTGCGCGCCTCCGTAGTCGATGAACTATTCGTGGCTGTTGCGAAGACTACATATCATCAGCCAACTGTCCTCAGTGGTATCAGCTCGGAATTTGTACTTCCAGAAAGAATGAAATCATATTTTGCTCTGCGTAGGTCATTGCTTGGCCGCACAAGAAGGGTTCCTAACGTCGCTTGTCTAAGTCCATACAGGTCTTTCGCGAACTGGGCTGTCTCGATCGGGTTGAGTTTCAAACGGTGGTAGAAGAACATCCCCGATGTGCAGAGGGCAAGCTACAATGCACAAAGCCCACTAGAGACACTATATAAAGTGGAGACCGTCACCAAGCCATATTCCCTCTCCATCCTCGTATCTATTACAGGGATAACATCAGCACTAATATGGTTCAAAGCTTGTTGCAGATAACGTTGAGACAAGGATAATTAGGGCGCTGTAAGACAAATCATGCATAACTATTATCTGACATCATCTATAAATTTGCAGGGGTTAAGTCAGAATCTTGTTGCCGTTGAACTAGCGTCTATGCTCGGGGTCCCCGATTACTTTTTGACCTTACGAGGTGAGGCAATCATTTAGAGATACCAAGGTCCCAAAACTAGTGTGTAGTATCTCGTCGTCCCTTAAGGGGGCGTACAGAGCTTCTTGCTAACATTTCGCCCCAGCGATTCGCTCATAGCATTTTGGCGCTAGTTATATATCTAAAACACGTCCTCAATATATAATAAATAATCTATGTCTCCTTATATACAAAATATTATACATGTAAAGTGAAAACTTTTAAGCACGGCACAACCGTCCATCGTCCAACTGCGTCCAAGCGTCCGATCCGACCGCCTTGAGAGCATAGAATATTCCGTTGGGATCGTACTTATTCTTAACCTGCAACAAGCGGTCATAGTTGACGCCATAAAAGGCCTTCTTCCAGTTAGGCTGCTGGAAGTTGCCCTCGTTCATATAAGCACCAGAGTTAGGAGCAAGAGCCTCCAGCAGGGGAATGTAGTCGTAGGTCATCTTGTCTTGCTCCACAATCATCTCAGCGCGGGCATCCCACTCCCAGGGAGTAGTCAGAGTGGTATCGATGAGGGCCTCACGCCAGGCAGGCAGGACAGCGTTGTCGACGTCGCCGGCAATAGAGCGGTTGACGTTCAAGCCGACTCCGATGAAGGTGGCTCCGTCAGAGACAATCTGGCGGTACGCCTCAGTCAAGGCCGTGGTATTTTGCACCACCACTTCGCGGGGGATCAGCCATCCGCCGTACTGGGCCTTGCCGACGGCGATCTCGGCCTCCATGGTGTTGAATTCCTCGAGATAGGTGTCGAATTCCTTAGCCTCAAGAGTGTAGTTGATGCCCAGCTTGGTGAGACCGGTTTCGAAGGGTGCAACCAATGAGCGGAGGGTGGCAACAGGGACACCCGGTCCGGTAAGGGGAGAGATGTAGAAGGAGGTGTTGGTGAAGTACCAAACGCTCATGACACCAGCGTCAACAATGCTGGGAAGAAGGGCGTGGTACAGGGTGACAGCCTCAAAGAAAGTGTCCTGAGTGATGTTGGAGTTGGTGAAGGTCAAGCTGAGACCAGAGGTAGGGGTGGAGGTATGCAGCTTGGAGGTCATGGCTACAACAACACCGTAAGTGCCACCACCACCACCGCTCAGTGCCCAGTACAGATCCTTGTACTCATTGTCACGGGTAGCAGTCACAAACTCGCCAGTTCCGGTGACAACCTCCCATGCGAGGACTTGGTCAGCTGCCATTCCATAGCGCGATGAGAGCGCAGAGTGACCACCACCCTGCGAGTATCCACCGGCAATACCCACTGAAGAGCACTCTCCGCCCACGATCTGGTAGCCGTGGGCATCAGCGAACTCGTATGCCTCGAAACCCTGCACACCTGCGCCTAGCCGCACAGCAGGGCCAGTGTAGTGCGAGTCCGTGTAGTTACCGATCAGCGTCCTGGACTTCAGGTTGTGTGTCCACACGCCCAGACCACCTGCACCAGTAGACTTGCCATTGTAGTCGTGGGCGGTGTTGCGGATCACCAGCCGGATGTTGTGGGTGTCGGCAAAGCGGAGGGTCGCCGAGATGTGTGCAGGAGTGGAGACGTTCACGGCGTAGTCGATGTAGTTGCCCATCGTGCAGGGCTTGTCGATCGGGTGGAAGGGGTCACAGCTGCCATTGGCGAACCATGGGGCCATGACGGAGCTGCTGGAGGTGTAGCTAGTAGAGGAAGCTATTAGCAAAGGAGATGTAGGCATTGAGATGAGCAACTTACTGAAGCTCAGGCTCCGTCCATTGTTCCTTCAGCGAGGCACAGACAGAGGCATTGTAGTAGGGAGCATGACATGGCTTTCCCAATGGAATGGTCTTGATGAGGCGACCGTCAACAGTTTTGTTGAACTGCGCCCATTCGCTCTGGGAGGGCCAACAGGCGTCTCCAGGGAAGCAGCGGCAGCTGGAGTTGCTGCTAATGGCAGAAGCCGAGGCTGTGGCCGTGAGGGCCAGCAAGCTAGTCCAGAGGGTTGGTGCCAACATGATTGTGGGATGACAAGCTCTGCTCGGGAATCCCTCCGAGGTGACTGGGGATGACCGGTTTATATCCCTGTCGATATCGCTAAACTCCTATGCCACTACCGGCATCTGTCGGCTCCTACAGTTGCGCTTGCAGCAGGTGAAGTGGGCCTAGTCATTTCTGGTGCCAGTGAAGATATTAATGATATTGCATGATTCCTGTTGGGTTCGGAGAGCACATTCTGTGCATTCCGCACACGTTTAGGCAGAGAAGTTTCATGGCGATTTCGACGCTATCCTTCCTGTTCGCCCACATGGTGAGCTGCATGGCATTTCATTTGCCCAAATCACCGCATGGCTTGGATCTAGCTTCCAACGGCCTCGGCCAAGGTCCTCGAAATATACAAGCTCCTCCACCAGCTTCGTCGTCCTATCATGCGAGCTGATCGATATTGGCCCAGGCTTTTAGTCTCTCCGCTTATTGACCGGACAGGGTTTGCCCCGCTTGGGGTCTGCGCGGCGCGATTCCCCCGTTCCTGGCGGACGCTTAGGGTATCTCCACAGCGGGTCATTAGTGTCTGTGTGGCGGCGACGGTTTCGGGCACGGCTTCCAGTCCGGTGATGTCTTACATTTAGCTTCATTTCGCTTGCCAGGATTCGATCCTTCGCGTAATCGCCAAGATCTCGTAATTTCCTCGGCATTAACATATGGCTGACAGGGATTAGGCCTGCAGAATTGTGATTAATTAAAATCTCACCTGAAGATGCTTGGTATCTAGGGTTGAGGGATCTCACCCTGCACCGAGTAAGTTGGGCAGAAGATTTTTTGTTCTCATGTCTCCCCAGTTCCTACGGTCAACTGCGAAATGCCATGGGTTGGGTCCATAACCTTGCCCACCCGGATGCCCACAACCATGTGGCGCGCGTGATCGCCATCTGCTTGACATTCAGCATCAGTGCGGTGATCGCCCTTGTGCTAAGGCTGTACATCCGCTTGCATTCGAAACGTGCCCTTTGGCTAGACGACTACTCGGCGGCATGTAGTGCAGTGTTGGGAGCAGCCTATGCGGGGATTGCAGTGGCCCGTACGCTACCCTTGTACAACCCGAGCGACCAGTGCAACTAATAGTTTAGAAACACGGTATGGCTTAGGACTGGACGCCGCTGCTTTTCCGGATGCGAACGTGGTGATGTTCAGTAAGGTGGGTAATCGTCTGCCCTCTTTCTTTCCTGTGGAGGTTTGACACTGGTGATATTTCAGATCCAATACGCTGGCGGCCCCACGTATATCCTTGCTATCCTCTGCTTCAAGGTGTCGCTCCTGACGTCCTACCTGCGAGTAGGAGGTTTCGTGGCTGCCTATCGATGGAGCATCATTGGGGTGGTGATAGCTGTGGTGTGCAACCAGGTCATTTTCACGTTTCTCTTAACGCTGGCATGCAATCCGGTTAGTATACGCCTTCTTGCTAGGGGGTCTGCCTAACAAGAGACCAGGTCGCAAAACAATGGGACGCGAGTCTCCCAGGCACATGCATTGACACCGTCGCTTCATACTATGGTATGCACCCACAACCCCCATCAACTATATACTACTGACCGAATCATAGCATTGGCTGGTATATTCACCCCCTACCAACCCATCAAAATTATGATCCATAACCAGAAAATAGGAACAAGCCTGGGCTTCGACCTAGTCATTATTGCCCTCCCCCTACCGGTCCTATGGTCCTTACAACTCCGACAAGCGCAAAAGGTATTCTCCGATCCTCGCCCTGCCTTCCCTTCCCACTCAATGTACACTAACAATTCAACAAAATGGAAAAGATCGCTCTCATGGCCCTCTTCGCCCTCGGTTTCTTCATTACGATCATCCAAATAATCCGCATATTCACCATCAAGCACCTCAAAACCTACACAGACAGCCAACCGATCGTTTTATGGTCGCAAGTGGAAATAAGCCTGGGAGTAAGCAACATTTCCGTTAACACCACATCCCCTTGCCGCACTACTAACAAAACCCGCAAAACTAAGGTAATAATCGCATGCGTCCCCACCTACGGTCCCTATTTCCACGCCTTCGCCTCGACCCTCACCTCAAGCTACAACACGCGCCGCCAACGACGCCAACACGCCTCGCAGAGCCAGACCATGGACCCGTCCCGCTCGTACGCACTGAGCGGGGCGCGTCGAACGCAGCGCAACCAGAGCCGTATGCTCCCTTCTGAGACGGACGACCAGGCTGAGTTTCTGGAGTTGGGGGAGGCCAGTGCGGGAAGAAACAGGCCATGGGATAATTCTGTCGCGGTGACTACGACAATTGGGCATGGTGATGGGGATAGTAGTAGTGGGGGGAGGAGCTCGTTGGGAAGTGGAAGGGGGAGAGGCAGTGGAGAGGGGAAGGATGGGGAAGGCCCGTTGCAGATTCAGAGGGTCGTGGAGGTGGAGGTAAGGGTTGATTAGGCTCCTTGGGGGATAAGGACTGTCCTGGGCATAGAGAAAAGTGGAAAAGTAGTAATAGTAATGATATTTTGTATGTTCTACTTAGTTACAGCTTCACTGCGCAGCAGTTATGGTGTTGGGTTCTTATCACATCAGATCAGTAATCTATATATTCGTAGAGGTAGATGAATCATCGAATTAGGGTATATTATGTATCGGGGTTTAGCACAGAAGGCCTACTAGTGTAGCACAGTAGGAATGACCCCTTCTTGCACGAAACAAACTCAGATCCTGAGCCTCTCTTGCTTTACACATAGATACTCTTTCAAAGGCCTGTTAACAACCTCCCAATGAATTGTCAGATACGATATTCTCAATGATATTCTTATCACTATGCATGCCCGTTCCAGTCTATCTGCCATAATCCAAACCGCACCTCTCGTAAATCTAAACTCATGCTTGCATATAGCCAGCTCTTGCTCCAAACAGGTCGTTGGGAAATATATGAGAGTCACAAAAACGTCGGTCACACAGGTTATACGCGGGTTGAGAATACCCGTCAAAAACTGGACCTAGTTATCAAGATTAAGTCTCAAACATATTGGGCGCGGTAAGCGAAATATCGTTTAAGTAGACAAGTTGAAGCCGAAAAAAAAAGGGTTTCATATTCCGTAGAATATGTCAATAACGGCTAACTTTATATCCTTTTCGAGGTTATACTCATAAGGCAAATGAATGGTTTGGCGGCTGTTACGTTGTATCGTAAAGTGTTCTTATATTCGAGTAGAACAGAAAAGCGGCCGAAAGAACATACTAACATCAGGCATAAATGCTACCAGATGAGATCGAAAGGAGGGTAAAATGGAGGAGTAGGTGGTCGGAGTTAGATAAGCTAATCTAGGATGTGTTGGTCTGTTCGCTAGTCGAATACTCAGGGACACTGTATTGTCTTCATGCGATACCCTAAGCGTGTTTCCACGCCCGAACTGAAAGTTAATTCCCAGGAAGACACATACTGGGAGACACTTGAGCTGTCCTTGCGCGCGTTATGGGGTAATTGCTTCAGGGTATCTAGTGATGAAGCACGCAGTCACACGAGATAAACTAGCCAAATCTCAAGGCATACTATGATTTGAGATAGAAGCTGCTGGACCTATGGATGATTTTATATGTCTAGTCGTCCGAGCAATATGCTATTATTCACACTCGCACAAAGGCAAGGGTTGGAGGCCTTATGCAGCAGCTTCCGCGGCGGCATATGTCAAACCACACTTGCAATATTTGCCCCGGCCCATACAAGAAATACCACATAAAGAAGGAAAATATGACCAAGCAGTTCCTCGGTTAAGCCTCTTACTGATTTGGTCACCGAAGCGACAGTGGCTTTTCAACTAAGAGACATTCTGCGGAAATTGCTCGTGACATATACTCACGCAGACAGGCGGAGCGTAATGGCACGTAAAGGAAGCCCTTCAAAGAGACCTGCTAATTGTTACTCTACACAGATGAACTAAAACAATGGTTAGTAAAAGTGGGAAATCATAGTCCCAAGGATACGGCTTCATGGATTAATGGGCTATCTTCGACGGGAAAGTCCAACAATGGCCAGGTGCCTCACCGAGGGTATAGTGCACCACCTCTACAGGATCGCAAGGAAGAATCATTCGCAAGATTTTTCTGCGAGGTAGATCACGCTATGCAGAGCTCTGCCACAGTTATCCTCAGTGGGCCCCGGTGGCAGCTAATCCGTCAGGATACGGTACTTAAAATCTGGCTGGTTGGGAGTTTTGCGAACACAACGACCCCCTGCTCCAACCTTCTGATAGACTTTGAAGTGTATTGACAGTTATGGCTACGGATAATAGCTGTAAGGTGTTATATTAAATGAGCGCGATATAGAATACCTGATGAGAATTCTCGAGCAGCTGAAACTGAGTTCGTTCGATCGCCCTTCGAATAGATTAACATGAAAAGTTTGAATAATAGTAATTAACTTCTCGACCTTACCCAGAGATCACCATGTATCTCAAGTCCTTCCCTTCACGCGATGTTACTACCTTCATTGAGCAAAGAAACAGCGACATTGAGATGTTCATTCGGCAGAAAGTTAGTGATCTGAGCCTGCAGAAAGGATATCACTGCAGATTGGAAACCGAGACGCCGAATATACTAAAAGCAAATGTCAGTGGCAGCTTCTTATCGATTGGACTAATGTGCGACGAGATGAAGAAAGTTGATATACAAAATGCACTAGCCTTTCTCGAGAACGTCGCCCCTGGTCTGTTTCCCCTTTGAACAAATATGATAGAGAAGGCCATCGAGAATGAACGAAAACGGGGGAGGATTTGCTCTATTCTTGCAGTCGTTATAGTCGCATGTTGATCATTGAGCTTACTTGCAGCTCTGCACATCCTGCCCTCTGTATATTGGAGAGGAGCAATATGCAAAGATTGTGTTTATCCGAGCAGACATCAAGAGCTGTCCCATAATGATGGTAGAAAACCACTGTTTTGTCAGACTACGTCACGAGTCATTGCGAAGCTTTCTCTTTAAGGTAGCTTGAGCCGTTTCTTAACAAGGGAAGAATCACACGCTCAGCGAACATATGTGTGCATCAATCAGACTGCGCAATATTTTGGGAAACACAGGCGCCTCGAAAGATGTTCAATAGCTTAAACTCAGAATGGATGTTGTTTACTACGAAAGTAAAGCAGAGAAATATGAGCAAATTAAGGAGGAGTCTTTCGCATTTGATGAGTTCATATCCTACTCTTCTGAATCCTGGATGGATCATGCTCACCTGGGTCGGCCGGTATCGCTTCTCGCCACACTCACCGAGAAACAAAGTTAACTTTTGACCTGATGATGATTATGATGATGATAAATCTATTATAGTCTGATACAGTCTTCTAATTGTTGTAGTGACTATGTAGACTCAGACTAACGAGATACAGGCAGTATATTTATTATATAACTAACTATAAAAAATCATAGTTCTGTTCATATACCACAGCTGGGTAATCTTCATGTATAAATATATAAAATCTGCTAGAAAAATATTAAAAACCAGTAAAGATTTTCTAATATACTCAGTAATATGGACAGCAGTGGAGAAAGATATGAATAAGAATTCTACTTTATAATATTTTAATATTAAAATATTATTTTCTTTTTAATACTGGATATATATCCAGTTATTATTCTCTGAATATGGTCCTCTGACAAGAGTTATTGCGAAAATAATCTTTTAATAAAAAACTAGTAACCGCGGGATTTGAATACACTATATTATATTATAGACATGGATAAGGTTCTAATTATCAATATCTCTTCAGTGCCGGCCAAAGTGATGACCACTGCACCACCCGGCCACCTAGACTTTGACCTTATATTACAAACACAACGCCATAGAAGCGATGCAATCTAATGGTTTTGCTTTCTTATTTCCAAGATCATTACTATGTCTTCGTTCTAACTTGTTCCAGCGCATTTCACACTTTCTTGGGAGAGCTAATGCTAATACACCAGAACTAGAATATTCCCTGGCAGTTGATCGACTGAGAATTACAGGCTTTCTATAAGACATGCCGTAGCCTCCTTCGTGTGCACTACAAACAGTGTCTAATGAAATTATATGAATTAAAATAAGTGCTAGACCTGGGCCAAGAATATCAACACTAGTAACTACTAACCCAGCTATTTTTACTAACATCCCCATAACCTTTTCTAACTTAAAACTTACGCTTACTAGCGAACTCTTTTTCGTTCCTTACAAAAGAACCCCAACACTGCAGATATTGTGAGAATATCATTACTTCATCCGGACCCCTTGCACCCCCGCACGGCAGTTGCGGAGACTAAACTGGTTTCGGTATGGATGGGCGGAATGTGGAGATGGCAAGCAAGGCGAGGGGTGTTGAGGGTTGAGATCTCGGACGAAGATACTACATTCAGTTTGGCGGTGATGGGTTTGGGCTTAACTTGCAGCTTGCTGATGTAGTGGGATCGTGAAGCTGGGGTGGTTTATTGCAATGATGAAATGTGGATGCTACGTGTACGGCTCTTACGGCAACGAGACGGAACGAGGAACGAGAAAATACGTAGTAGCAAGAGTGCCAGGGAATTTAGTTCAAAGAGTGACTGAATTGAGCGATTAATCCTAAGATAGCTATTCACATACAGTGACTATACAAGATACAGGATAGACAGTCTATCGTACACGATGTTGCCGAAACGTTTACAAGAAGCGACCCTCCTTGCTTAACCACTCGGCCATGTAGTTGTAAGCCGTGTAGAGAGTGTTACCGTACTCACCAGGGTACGTCTCACACTCAGTGCAGGTGACAATAGTGTGCTGGGCACCCTCGACGAAAGCAATCTCGGCATCCTTGCTACCAGCGGCAAGGTGGAGCTTCTCAGCGTTCAGGTACTCGTAGTGGCCGGTGTTGCCCATGTTGAGCAGAGGCACGGTAACACCGCCGATGTTGCCGAGAGGGGCAGTCTGGCTAGAGTTCCAGACAATACCCTCGAAGCCGTCGACCTTGTATTCGAAGTCGTCGGTGACGCGGATGGCCAGAGTGGAAAGGTAGCGCTTGATGGTGGTCTTGATGGCGCCGCCCTCGAAGTTGTCGGCAAAGCTCTAGAAGTTAGCGGGCACACGAACGGAGGGAACAATCTGCGTGGTGATCGATCCGTTGCGGTGCAGAAGGGGCCAGGGGTAGGTGGTGTGGTGGATCCAGCGGGTGTCCTGGGCGAAGAACTTGTTGTTGAAGCCGACATACATGGAGTCGACGATGTAGAAGGGCTCGTCGTCGCTGAAGATGCCGCTGCCGTTGTTGATGGCAGCCAGGCGGGACTCGGCGTGCTTCAGGATACGGTTGTTGCGAGCAACGACACCCTTCTCGAAGGCCTTCTTGAAGGACTGGGTGTAGTTGGCACCGGACTCGGAGAAGCCGTTGACGGGGTTGTAGAGGTTCAGAGACTGGTCAATCTTGGCACCAGAGTGCTCATCGATAATGGCGGGATTGAGACTCAGAAGAGACATGGTGGAAAGTCCGTAATTGGCGTCAATGAGAATAAGGCCATCGGCGGCAGGCAGGTCGGCCATGGCATCAGAGCAGGGGTAGATACGTTCGGGGCCATTGCAGGCCTTGACACCATTCTCGGCAATGTTCTGGTAGGCGGTCATCATGGCACCACCACCACTGTGGCCGAAGATGACGACCTTGTCGATTTCAGTCAGGTTGCGCAAGTAGCTCATGCCCTGGCCGACGTTGGTCATCATATCCTCAAAGTTGATGTCGGTCATATAGCCGCTCTTGCTGGCATCGTTGTTGGCGCAGAAGGTCGTAAAGCCGCGGCGGGGGAGCTCGTGGCAGGCTGAAAAGTTCAGGTAGTCCTGCTCAGCGTGCATCACGTAGACACCGATACGGGACAGAGGGCCAGTAGTGTTTGGTCGGTAGAGGCCACCCACAACTCCGTCATCATCAAAGTCAATCATAACAGGCTCAGGAAGGCCATAGGGATCGGCAACGGCATAGTTGTATTTGGCGGCGACTCCAGAGAGAGCGCTCAAGGCCATAAGGCCTGCGAAGGCTGCGGTCCTGGAGGAAAACATGGCGACCGGCTGAGTTGGAGGAATGAGAGGAATGATGTCCAGAATATGGGTGGTGGACGGGGTTTATATATAGTTATCTGCAAAGTAGACGAGACATGATCATGTCGGCCGAAGTAACTCCTCATGTTTGAAGTAGAGAGGGTGGGACTGGATGACGAGTGCTGCAGTAGATCGCTTCTTTGTCAAGCAGCCGTTGAAGTCCTGGTATGAGACAGCCAGTAACGATTGAAGTTGAGATGGGTCCTGCGTGGTACAGAGGACTGGTCGTACGATCGGACGGCACAGAAAAGTCTGTCAATGTTAAGCCAAGGCAGAAGCGAAAGCTAGCGCAGGCTACATATGTCTATTTGTTGACGTTGAACACTGTCCCTGTTCTGACGAATGCGATATCGGCTGGCTGGCACCTGCAGGGGCGTTCTGCAGCCGGGGGACTCGTGATTCGCTCTGCGGTCCGTACCACAGCTGCAAGAAAATAAGCTGCAGCAACCTGCCAGGCACGTTCTTCGCATATTCTCAAGGTCTGGGGGTGTTTCCATGGATTGTGGTTCGATCTGAACGTATCTCCGACGAGGGCCTCCGCGTTAGGCAACTCCCGCCGAACGATCGTCCCAACCCTAATTTGCAGGATCCGGAGCCATGCCCACTTATCAGGCATCTGGGCTAACAAGTTGGAGATTCGGAAGGGCAAAACATAGTTCCTGGCATTATATTTGGCTTAGTATATCACTTATCCACGGATCGTCGTAGACAATTCTTATCAGTTCAATCAGCTGAAATGGCCACGAAAACTTCCCGCGATTTAAGCACCGCTCACTGTCCAATTCATATTCTATTGGGTGGTGACATGTCAGCATAGTACGCGTCTTTAGTGGACAGCATGAATCACAACCTCAGCAATGTAACCGGCGGGGTCATTGGCAACGATGTGGCCCGTTTGTAATGTCCCAATTTGCAGGGGACGTCGTATGCTTGTCCCATGTGGGAACGTAGTTTTCGTAGAAGCGCGGGATCTAGGCTTATTATAGTATGATACAGACGGGATATAGCTTGCTTATTCGTATGCCTCTATATCTCCAGGCAGCTGCATATCTGCCGCATGTTAGTGGACTAAGTAACATGATTCCATGCAGTAGGATTTTGGAGACTAAGGAATAGGGTACGAACAGCATTAACCCTTGACTGGTGTCTATAAATCTCCCCAGAAACTGGAATTTCCTTCCCATGTCTTTTTATGCAAACGTTTGAGCTCTGACGTTTCTCTCATGTCAGGTAATGGGATCCCTTTTTCTATCTCCTTTCGGAAGATATATGAGCCGTATTAACTTCTTTGAGAAGAGTTTGACTCTTTCCCTCACGTCCGGAGGCTTTATGTTGTATCACAGTGGTAAGGTATCCCAATGAATGGCGTGATGAGATTTCATTCAAGCTCATATGCAGCTGGCACAATACAGCCAATAGACTGAGTGGAATGTAATCTTTTGTAGAGACACATTTCTTCGCCTGCCGTCTTGTTGTGTATTGAGTAGCCCTTCCAAATAGCGGTTGTCTCCAGATCACTCAGAGGTTTCTTGTTAACATCTTGTACTGCTCATCAAGGGCTATAGTCTGGACTAACAGTGGCCTGTTGATAGGGAGTATAATCGTCGGTAGCTAGCCAAAGGCTTTCCCTCCTTGCTGCCCGATAATACTCAATGACCCCGCCTTTTGCGAATTCGTATCTGACCATGTCATAACATGGCAAAAGATAAAAAAGATAACAAGCATGAGTAGTAGTTTGAACCTTGATAACGGCATTATCAGCCTTTCAGCTTCGCATTTCCATTTCTTACTACAGGCTTATCACTTACACTAATCATGACCATTTCCGTACAGACAGGGTGTGGCTTCCTGTGTTGAGTGCATCATGGTATACAGCATTTCAACACTCGGGACTTATTTGGCTTGGAGGGTGTGAAATGTTCATAGCAAGAGCTCCAGGTCGAAACTTGGGTTTTCTAGAGGGTTATCGTAAATAGGGGCATGAGATTGACATGAATGACATATGGTCATGCAACTTCAGAAGCCTGGGCAGGATTTTCGTGATAATAGTAAGCATACGGAATGAAATACTTAGCAGTCCTATACTCAATGAAGAATTCGGAGAACGTTAGACGAAACCATGAACGTAGTTTAGCCCAATGTCCACTTGATTTGCGGTTCTAGACCGGACAAAAGCGATGCCACTGTGGTCGACCTAAGTCGCTCAACACCTTAAGAAGCATCAGCCTCTTAGCAGTAATTCTAATAACCGTATGGCCTATAAATTCCCAGGTACGGGTCAATATCAGTTGATGGAAGAGGAACTCGATGATGTGACCAGGTCAGACCCGACTCACAAATATCAAGTATTGGTTTGAACCTCGGTGTAGATTGTGGCATTCTACAGCAAAGACTCCGATCATTATCAACCAGCAGTAACCAGTTAAATACTGCAAGAGGTGTGACACTGAATAAGAGATGGACGAGTGGGGCCGGGAAATGAGCGATATCTAGCAAGTCGACAGTAGGACATTCTGAAAGTAACCGGACTGATGAACAGGGGCTTTAATGACGGAGAGCTATAACATGAAAGCATTTGTTAGCGGTCTATTGCCCAAGTGATACTTGTCAGCACTTACACCACGGTTTGACTGGCACAAGTGAAGCGCATCGATGAATACAATGGCCATGAGGGGTTATATACTCGAGACCCCGGTGCCTAAAGATTTCTGCTTCCCGGGGAGGGGGAAAGGGCCATCCATCCCAGCAGTAACCTCCATGGCACAAACGCGGACCTGTGGACCGGTACATCCAAAGGTTACGTAAGTAATATTCTGCCGAGGACGCTCTTTAGTTCGAAGTTAAACACCTTCATATCGTTAGTTGCCCAAACTGGCATTACACAAACTCTCCGGTCAGGTGATTTTCGCAGCTCCTTAATTCTCTCATTCGATTCTGTAACATCTTCCTTTCACTCGAGTGACTTTGGACTTGAGCATCATGTCCACTGCTTTTTTCTTTAAGCACCGTTGAGATACCCCTGAACCGCAATACTTGTTAATCTAATAAAAGTTTACTAAATACCTCATTGTCATATGTAAGCCTTGGCAATGTTATGGTCGCTTCCAAGAAACATAAGCTAATGCATGCACTACTGCACGTATTCGTCACGCAACATATATTGTATCGGCACTTGTGATACGATATCACTGTTGCTAAGAGAGGAATGAGTTTAGAGATATTAGACAACGGGAAACGAGTCCTCCTATCACGTCACAAGGCTTGTCATTTGTGAGCTTTTGTGAACCTCTCCGTTGGTGTATGGAAGTTGAAGCGGCTGCTGCCTTACAGCTCGGGATCGCGGGTTCCGACAGCGACACTACACATTCCGCCCACCTACCGAACGGATCGGTGAGCACTGCACAATCAACCTGTATTTCCATCTCCAAGTTAATTTTCTTCTAGGCTCAAGCCTCTTCTGCATCACTACACCATTATGGATACCCAAGCCACTCCGAATGAACGGACTCCACCCATCCTACCGGATTTTCGCCGAAAAGTGCCTCAGTAGCTCTGTGTGACACGCAATCAGCACGAGCTTCATATATGTTTCCGAGCTCCGACGGTCATCCTTATTAGATAAACACCATAACGTATAATGAGGTTCTGCTAAGGTTCGACCACGAAGCTTGGTTTGCCGGGAAGCATGTACGGGAAAGTTCTTCCGAGAAGGGGGGTGTTTCGTGATTTCCAACTTTCCACCAATTATCACACCGACACGGGTGGAGGGCGAGAAGAGAAAGAACCATTCGCGACTCAGTGTCGAAGTCTTATTTGGCCATGTAGACTAAGAGTAGACTCGGAGGGGAAACAGAAGAGGGATGGGGTCATCCGAACGGAAAGCTTCCAAGGATTGGCGACCCTCTTTCCGTAATGGGCTACCAAGAGACACCGTGCGGTTTCATCTGTTCCTTCCGTCCATTAAGTGTTAATACAGGAGATAACGATTTGCAAATGTCAGCTGCAGCTGCTTACTGTCGCCAATGGACGGGAGAAAATTGGCCGTTTTCTACCGCGCATAATTTGGGCCATCATGTGGTTGAATTTCTGCACGCACAATCTGAGACGGTTGACGAGTCTGCAATTACGTACAGTGTAGGGTTTTGGTCCATCGCGCACCCCCACAGGGCCCAAACATGGAACGCGATTCCGGAATCCGGCAACTTAGGGATTTGAGGAAATCAAATGGAACTGCCAAGAAACCCCTGTCTCAGAGCTTGGAGCTTGGCAAAATTCAGCGTTCATTTGTTCCTGCCAAGCCGCGAAATGACCTGGAGTGATATTGATGATCTGATAGAGGGCCAGGGGTCTTCTGTCATTCGATCATTTAGATTGCCCACAAATTAAGAACCTCCATCGTGAAGGCAATTGGTGGAAGACTCGGTACCACTAGCCCTAAGAAGCTTCTTTGAACGCCTCCACTTTGTCAACGGCCGGCCCAATTGCCTCACTCCTCCTAGCCTTCTCAGATATAGTTGTTCAGGCTCTGACAGAACCCCGCCGGTGTCTCCACCCGGAGGTCCTGAACCTTATGAGGCAAATCCGGTCCGATAACAAGAGCTCATGATGACTGGATAGTATGCGGTTCCTATAAGAACAAGGTCTCGCAGCGTTCTCTGGTTCCTCCATCAGCAGCAAAGTTAAAATCGCCGATCAGTCGATCCTTAACAGCAATCATGGTTAAGTCAATTCTTGCATCCGTTTTCTTTGCGGCGACTGCGCTGGCCGCGAGCCGCATGACGGCTCCTTCCGGTGCGATTGTCGTTGCCAAGTCCGGAGGTGACTACGACACGGTAAGCATCTAGACTGTCGATCGTGTTGCAGATATGTGGCTGATAGTGTTTTGTTGAACAGATCAGCGCTGCCGTTGATGCTCTGAGCACCACTTCGACCGAGACCCAGACTATCTTCATTGAGGAGGGATCCTACGACGAGCAGGTGTACATTCCCGCTCTCAGTGGAAAGCTGATCGTCTACGGTCAGACTGAGGAGTACGTTATCAGCTGTGTATGGAAAGTCAAGGATACTAATAGAGGTTTAGCACCACCACCTACACCAGCAACCTGGTCAACATCACCCACGCCATTGCCTTGGCCGATGTCGACAATGACGATGAAACTGGTCGGTCCACACACACTTTGGAAAATGTCCATGTTCTCGCTAACACTAAGTAGCAACTCTCCGTAACTACGCCGAGGGCTCGGCCATCTACAACCTCAACATCGCCAACACCTGCGGTCAGGCCTGCCACCAGGCTCTCGCCGTGAGTGCCTATGCCACCGAGCAGGGATACTACGCCTGCCAGTTCACCGGATACCAGGGTAGGACTTATTTCTGATATGCCAACCGACAGTGACTAATCTCTACTATAGACACCCTTCTGGCCGAGACCGGCTACCAGGTTTACGCCGGAACCTACATCGAGGGTGCCGTGTATGTCCCTACCTTAATACCTTCGAAAAAAGTGAATCCGACTAACGTACAACCAGTGACTTCATCTTCGGACAGCACGCCCGCGCTTGGTTCCACGAGTGCGACATCCGCGTTCTCGAGGGCCCCAGCTCCGCCTCCATCACCGCCAACGGCCGCTCCTCCGAGTCCGACGACTCCTACTACGTGATCCACAAGTCCACCGTCGCTGCTGCTGATGGCAACGATGTTTCCTCGGGCACCTACTACCTTGGTATGCCACTGGCCTAGAACTGTCCACGGAGCCACTAGCCCACTAACGCATATTATCACAGGCCGCCCCTGGTCCCAGTACGCTCGCGTCTGCTTCCAGAAGACCTCCATGACCGATGTGATCAACCACCTCGGCTGGACTGAGTGGTCGACCTCCACCCCCAACACCGAGAACGTCACTTTTGTTGAATACGGCAACACCGGTGCTGGTTCTAAGGGCCCCCGTGCTAACTTCTCTTCTGAGCTCACTGAGCCCATCTCTATCTCTACCCTTCTGGGCTCTGACTGGGAGGACTGGGTTGATACTAGCTACATCAACTAGGTTGGTGTATGGGAAGTATTAGCTGAGTGAGGAATGATCGTATATAGTGTTGAGGATCTGTATATATTTGATATGGAGTATAGTTACCTAAATGTGATTAGTTAATTACAACTGAATTCATTTCTAAGTCTATCTTGATTGGTGGCTTTTTGTGCCGTGATTGGGTAATGGACTTGAGGGCACTTGAATTAGAGCAGACTACTACAAACAGCGTTAGCGTGTGTATTCGCAACACGCTAAGCTAGTCAACACTCCCAATAGGGAGTAGCAGCACCATCGCAGCCCTTCAAGTATCCCTCTCACTAGTATTCGCATCATATGAAGAATCTAACACCCCATATCTAATTATCTATATACCATCACCACCCACCATCCATATCTATCTATATAAACCTACTCATATCTAACCTTATTAACCAACGTCCCAATCCCCCCAATCCTCACCCGAATATCATCTCCATCCCTCAACACCACCCTCGGCTCTTTAAAGAACCCAATTCCTGCCGGCGTCCCGGTAAGAATAATAGTCCCGGCCTCCAGCGTTGTACCTTGTGAGAGGTACGCGATGGTCTTCTTGACCGAGAAAATCATATTCTCCGTGTGTCCATCCTGGCATATTTCACCATTGTGGATAGCCTGAACAGAGAGAGTCTGGGGGTCTGCGATCGCAGACGTGGAGACTAGGACGGGTCCTATTCATGAAGATATATCATTAGCCGCTCACCTCACTGCCACACTTTCCAGGGAAGCGATGAGGGTCTATACTAACCAATAGGACAACTCCCATCCAACCCCTTCGAGAACCCCCACTGGGACGTAACAAACTGCAACCCTCGCGCGGAGACATCATTCGACGCCGTATACCCCAGAACATAATCAAGTGCCTCTGATTCAGGGATATCGCGACCTGTCTTTCCGATGACGAAGCACAGCTCCGCTTCGTAGTCGCTTGTTTCGTCTTGGGCACATTTCGGGATGTTGATTGTGGCCGGGTACGGGCCGTTCAAGGCCGTCCGGGGCTTCGAGAAGATGGTTGGTGCGGAGGGAAGGGAGAGGTTTGCTTCTTTGGCGTGGTCGGTGTAGTTGAGGCCTAGGCAGCGAATGTAGGTGCACATGGAAGGCGGGAGGGGAGAGAGGAGCTGTTTTGGGGGTTAACAGGGGAAACGATGAAAGGGAGAGTAGGGGATGGTACGTGCCTGTTTAACGTGCATTATTTGGCTCGTTACGCGGCCGTTGAAAATGTCGCCATTGATTAGGTAGGCTGCGATGTCGACGCCGTTGACGCTGTCCTCGCCGACATCGCGGGTGGGGTCGACGAGTTGGCCCAGGTGGGTTTGGCTGTCTTCGACGGCGATGAAGCGGATAAGGTGCGTCCAGGACATGATTGAGGTTTGTTTCTGAGGTGTTACGTGTCTGGAGGGGTGATTGAGTATACTGGATGCATATTCTTTTGGCTGATTGTGGTGGTTTTGTATGAGGGGTTAGGTCCCACATTGTAGTTCTGCGGGGCTGCTTGAGATGTGGGATCTTATCCGGATTCCCGATGCGACGCGGCTGACAATGATGCACTACGTCAAATAGGCCCCTCATTGTGCCCTGATTACGAGAATAATTGCATAATAAAATGAGGGGTAAGATCCGGTGTTCATAATATTCGTTGATTTGTGTTGGGAGAGCGGGGAAAACTTGACCCAATGATTTGCATCCATTATAATGCCAGATATGAAAGGACCAGTAGCGAAGATATCAGGAGATACAAAGAATTGCGTGGAGAAAAGTATAAGCTATGGCACATTACAAAAACTAACATGTCGTACAATCATTTCAAGAACGTAGCCGGCACATCGGGTCCCCAAACGGCCAACGACTCATCTCCAGCGGGACCGTATCCGATCGGCGTCTCGTCAGTCACCAGGTCCCCATCTGCATAATGCTCAACCATGTTACCAGTCGTGTCCCACCAGTAGTCAAAGATCTGGGAACCGAGAATATGCCGTCCCACGCCCCACACCGACTTGTATCCCTTCCCTGCGAGCCAGTAGTGCCCCAATTGCTGGGTATCGAAGTCGTGAACTTCAAAGGAGCAGTGGTGAACATGAGAAGTCTCGTTCGTGCTCATGAAGAAGGAATGGTGGTCAACGGGGTCGCTTCCCCGGTCGATGTGGGCAAACACTGCGACGTTGACTTTCTGGCCGTCTTTTTCCACGTAGAGGAAATCGCTCGGGACGAGGTTGAAATTCCGGGTATAGAAGTCAAGCATGGTGGGGAAGTCCTGTACGCAGTATCCGAAGTGGCCAAGCTACTGCTGTCAGACAATGAATCTTGCTTTTGGGGACTGTTGGACCATACCTTGTGCACGGGTGCAGGTCCAACATTGAAACGATGGAACTTTCGCAGACGAGGTTTGTCTGCCTCGTAGTTGACAATCAACCTTTCTGGGTACTCTCCTGCCTCCCTTGGCGCCTGTCCGTGGATCAGGTTTACAGGGTATCCTTCCGGGTCAGTGAAGGTGACAAAGTGACCACCGCCAGGATGATCGAGCAATTCTTTGATTCCACTGGCATTCGGGAGCTGCAGTGCTCTGTTACAATTAGTATACTGTAGCCATCGAGCGAATGAATACGTAATGGCTCACTTCTCCAAGTCCTGATACGACTCGACCTCGAAAGTGGCGCCCAGGAATTGTTTGGGTCCCTTCCTCGCATAGTAAACATAAGGGTCCGGCCCATAGCCACGATACCAAATCTGGTCATCAGTCTGTTTGACAATCTGCATGCCAAAGTCTGGGCCAGTTAGTACACTGCCAATTCCATGTTGAAGTATGTACATACCCTTCAAAAAGACAGTAATCTGATCCAGATCCGGATGTTGGTACCGCATATGTGACAGCTTGACCAGCCGGATCTGAGCATCGGTGTTGATACCAACTCGTTCCCTCCAGGAAGCGATGGACTCGAACTCTGATCCCTTGGTCGTTATGTCCGGAACAGACGCGCCATGGCACACGGTCTGGGTGCAGTTGTTAGAGTGGTACTGTGTAAGAAGGAATCGGAGTCATACCGGTTCTCCGAGGCTGCCCATATTGACTATTACTATGTGTTAAGCACCGATAAATGATGCCAATCTCGCTAAAGCTAAAGGATGCACGAATGATCAAGAAATAAGATCTAGGCAGAAAGTGGTTCGTGTCTACTTGAAAAGGCGGAGCTGCGGTGAGGCCCCCCATGCTCGTGTGGGGTCACAGCGGGGGTGGGGCTACAATGTGGAGCTACAGGGGGCCTCGGATTTATGCATCTACCATCACATCACTGGGGATGATCACGCTCTAATTATTTGGAATATTCGATAAAGAATACTTGTACATAATTTAAGGTGTCAAATTGCTAATGAACGACATGACCACGTGTGGCAAATGCGGGTGGTCGGGACTAAATACAATAGACAAATTGCGAGTCGGTTTGATCCGAACAAACATAGCTCGATCAACTTGGAACGAAAGTTCGAACCATAGACAGAACGATGTTATCCACGTATTCGCTATCCCCCGGGTCAACTATTGGCACACACCCTGCGCCTGGCTGGGTGTTTGCTGTACAGGATATCAGTTAGTTCTTGGTTGAGTCAGCTTGGAATACAGAAATCACATACGACACACAAGTTCGATTCGCAAACACCCAGACTTCCATCTGACTTGCAAGGGGCACCAGAAGGAAGCTGTGACTATGTTAGCAACGCATTAACTGTGGTGGTTGGCTGTATAGGGTTCTCGAACCTTGGCGGCGCAGGCAGCGCCAACAAGAGCAACGAAAGTGATCGCAGAGAAACGCATCTTGGATGAAATATCTCGGTTATTGTAAATATCGTTATGAAGGATGATTTTTCTTTTGCTTTGTGTGTTCTGTTGTAGAGATGCTTTATCCAATTTATATTGGTGACTCTTCGTCTTTGAAGAACTGATGTTGATCGATATCCCGAGATGGCCTTTCTATCCCGAATTGAAGAAGTAACAGCCACATATGATCGACATTTTGCTATGCATGGGTTTCACTTTGTGGCCCACATCATCTGCAATTATACTCACGTTTCAGCATCGTCTGGTAGGATGTCTGAGGCGATATGCTTATGCCGGCTAATTTTAGCCGGCGCAAGATCATCATTTCTTGGTCTTTCTTGGCAGCATCAGACCCTATCCTCAGTATTGTCGAGCCAGTCATCAAATATAAATGTCGATCATAAGTGGCTTAACCTACTAACCTCACTAAATATCCAAGTCTATAATCATCTCCTTACAGTTCAATCCACCTCACAATGACATCCACAACCACCACTGCAGCAGCATCCTCAACAACCTGTGGCGGCTCCGGCCAGTACGAACTTCCTGTTAAGTATGCAGCTTGCGGCATCCCAAACATCAAAAACTACCAATCTCTCTTTGATGACTGCGCGAAGCCTGCCGGTCCCCGATCATACTACCACGATTGTGCTCTATGGGCTTATGCTATAGACCAGTCCGTCCAGAACCTCACCGATTGCCTGTACAAAGCTGGGGTGGCCTGGGAAGATGTTTGGTGCACTGGTGAGACCAATGCCACTGCAACTGTGACGTCGTATCCTACAGCGACGGCTACAGGGACATTGGTTACAAAGAGTGAGGAAGCGACGGGGACTGGAAGTTCGACTTCTTCTACTGCTTCTGAGACGGGTTCGAAGACCAATGCGGCGTATTCTTGTCGCGGTCAGGTTTCTACTAAGCTTGCGTTGGGACTGTTGGGGCTTGTTGTGACAGGGGCAATGAGTTGGGTTTAGAAAAGTCTGGCTAGCTATTAGGTGTTATTGAGCCATCTTGTGGTCAATAGTTTGCAAAATATCTATAGAAAGCTATTTTAGTCGCTATTTCTCTTAATTCTCTCTAGTAAAGGCTGTGCCTTGAATGTTTAGTGAGATTCAATAATCTCAGAAACGGTGGCTAGATGCACCTCAGCCTGGTATTCATTATAACTCCCTAGACTTAAGAAAAGAAATTCGTGCCAGCTATTTCACAGTATAGAATTGGTAGTCGTATTTTTACTTTGAACCGGACGGCGTGTATGATGGGGACAAAACACACACTGGGAAGAGAAACTCCAATATCCTTGACTGCAACCATAGTTAGCTTTTGAATTCAAAACGGTCTTGATAACTCACATTGTAGCGACCAAATTCAATGCCGAGCCTGATCTCCAGCTTGAAGCTCCGGGTCACATTGCACGTTTCAAAAGTAGGGGTCAGACAATGTGGTACAGAATGTCTACTCCATACCCCCTCGTCCAGGCTCATTACGAAGCCGGCAGTCGGCCCTCCGCCAGTCACAAACGGTTGACTTAAGTTTGTCATGGTCTGTATAATCCATGACCGAGTAACGCGCTGTATAATACCATGTGCTCGGATATCTGTTGTTTCGATAAGCATGGACGTCCTATCGCCAGCCCCACTATCGGTGGCTACACCTGGGATCTCTACAAGGGTCCCAACGACTGGACAGTGTATAGTTTCGTGGCCCGCGAGACTATCACGGACTTCTCGGCCGATGTCTTGGAGTTCTTTACTTATTTGGTTGATAACGAGGGCGTCTCTTCCAGCTTGTATTTGCAGACCCTGGGTGCGGGCACTGAACCGAAGACTGGCTCTGATGCTTGGTTCACGGTTTCGCCGTATACTGTTAGCATCAATACTTAGAGGGTTCAAGAAGTGTGACGTTAGCAGTGAGTGGTTTAGTTGGGGAGAAGTGGTGAAGATATTAGAGTGGTAATTTGACCAAGCTTGTGATATTTTTTGTGATAACCAGACGGTAATTAGTTTCGTCGATAATTAGTATTGAAAATCTTAAGGGCGCAACGCTATCCATAACTCGGTTATTTCAAATGGTAGAAGAAGTCTGGAGAACGTTTGTGGCTGCGGAGTCCCCATGGCCTGATAGGCTACATTCCTCGTCCTATGGAGCAGTGCTCTTTTTATCTAAATGACCGACGAGAAAAATTTAGAAAATTAGGCACGGGCATCATCTGCGTCATAAGATGTGAAAAAAATGAAAAAGAAATGTTTGAGCTCCGATAGGGGGAATCGAACCCCCGGCTGCCGTGTGAGAGACGGCGATGTTAGCCACTACACCATATCGGATTAGTTGTTATTCTCGACCGGAATATACCCTTAATAGGCAAAGACCAACTGCCAATCACGTGCCTCCCGATCGCATTGCTCTAAACAACTTCCTCACCTTTCCTCCATAGTAAGCGTACTTGATTTACCCACCCCATCATCATCAAGTTACTTAGAGTGTGTTTCAGATAAAATTGTTTTATGGGCTTCTACCTGATTCATCCCAGCGTGAGAATCACAATGGCAAAGGTTCAAGTCCACTACGGTGTGGTAGTAGCATTTTACGTTCCTACTATGGTTGCAAACATATATTCATTGGCGCAACTGGTTCATACTCGGGCAGATTGTCATGGAACAAGGATCCCGAAGATACTACAAGCGCCAGTACTTACAAGACAAAACCACTGTCAGCTATCCACATCAGCCAGGATATCAGGATTAGAGAATTACCAAAAAACATCGCCGAGTCGTCACAACACCGTCTTGCCAGCGATTTAAGGCAGTCTTGCGGCATCGCACAAGATGTACCGTTTCTGCAGGCCGAAATAACAACATCAGATGTCAGCCAAATCTGTATTACGAAGGGATTAGAAGTTGAGGTCCCGGAGCTGAGAGTTAACACTCACAGACCTTCTGCGCCTAGACAGCTCTGTTACACAAATGTCAGCCCCATTCTCAGCAACGACCGGCCTATGTCTCTGATCCGGGCACGATCGGATTTGTCGGAGATTAAATCTGCGGCAAGACCACTGGGATATGCTTTTAGTTCTAGTTGAGGGGATTATAGCGCACACGAACTAATGAACCAGGAATATACCTCATATGTGTCGAGGAGTGCGTCTTCAATGAATGCATTGGCTCTCCGTGCATTCGACACTGGCCAGCAACAAAACTTCCTGGGACTAAGCACTAACTGAGATATACACCATGTGTTGAAGATTGGACGACCACAATATGTACGACCTGATTATCAGGCATTCTACATATGAACATCATGCGATCTGATTGACGATGTACCACAAGACAATTGCCCGTTCGTCGACCTGACATTGTCAGTCAGACCCGACAAGTCAATGCTTCTTTGAGCTGTTCGAGTAAAAGAATCGGTATGCCATACCGGAATCCTCACCGGCCCCCTGAATTGGAGATAGACTTATTGGTGTCGTTCAGCCTTGAGAGAGCAAGTGTATCCATCTCTGACATCGAGATGGCTGGCTGAGCCGCCCGTATGCCGCTGAATCATCGGTAACCCAGTGTTGACAGACCTTGCTGAACTTACATTCAGCCTATCCATGACTTGCTGCGGGGGCGAGTCTCGGATAAAGCTCTGGCCAAGTTGTAGCTGCTGCCTGCCGACGCATGTTGCGGTAGCAGGACCCATCTGCTGACGAAAATGGCAACACCCGCTCATATATTCATTGCTATTTGTGTTCCCTCTATGAGACACAACAAATCCCCTGTTTCCTGGGATTCGATCCAGGATCTAGCGATTACGAGAAGCAACGTACCAGTTATGTAGTTGGAATCACCGCAGTCTGATTTCAAATCCATGTCGTCGTTGACCTACGTCACCTTATCACTACCCCTCCCTTTGGCCCGGTCAACTCTGAGCAATCGGCGCCTGTTATGAGAGTGGACCTCACAATCCCAGAAGACGACGTGAAGCAATAGGGAAGCCCTGATGAAAGGGAACTGAATATTGTACAACCAATCCGAACCCCGAACGCCAACGAGAAGCTACCACCCCTGCCACCGAACAAGATGGAGGGCGTGTCAAGTGTGACTCTCTTTGTCACAGCCCCCAAATGTCCCAGCCAATCTGTTGATGGCAAGATTGGGTACGATGGAGTATAATAGTGTAGCCTCATTGACCCTTGTCATGCACATTCCACAAGCTAATGTTTCCTTCATTTGGTGCTCGCACTGTTTGTGGCTCGGAAGGTGGTAGAATTTTCGGGACAGAGACACCGAAGTTATAAAAAAGGGTAACCTAGTTGGAACATCCATGAAGCACAAGCAAGTATGACACTTAGCTTACTGACATCGTCCCACTGGGCACTAACGGCGATATCCTAGAATCGTGCTGAAAATGCCATGCCAGACTTGGCGTGTACCAGATGCCGAGAACGCAAGATACGCTGCGGCCGGGAACGACCTCATTGCCGTAACTGCCAGAGGGAGGGCGGGCTGATTTGCATGTATCGGATTCCTGCCAAACGTGTTAATCACCTCAAGTTACTGTCAGAAACTCATCTTGGCTGGCAGAAGCATTAGTGCTCATCATGCTACAGGTGCGCTAGTATCGATCGACTGCAGGATCGATTGACAAGTATTGAGTCTCACCTTAGCCGACTCCATGGACCTGGCCTCCGGACTCCGGTGTTGGAGGAGGAACACCAGTCATCCCAATCAAGAGCCTTGATTGAGGGTGTATCTGCAACAAGTAGCTGTGACGATACTGACGATGAAGAGGAGCACAAGGAGGGGGCTTCCGGGATTTTTGCCCCTAAACATTCAGAGTATTATTTTGGACACCCATCTGTCGCCGCCCTGTGCGAAAACCTCAAGAGAAGGGTCCAGCTGGTACCCTACGCGACGGAAGCAATATGGGGACCGCTCTGCGACATGTTGCACCATCTATGCGAGATCACAAGCGTGTCAGAACCTATCCCGTCATATAGCGACCGGCTCGTTGTTCCGCTGCTGCCCAGGCGTCAGGCTACCGCCGCCATGGATTGGTTCCTCCAGCATCAAGACTGCCAGACCGACGTCTTCGTGCCGGATAATCTACGGGCCAACCTCCAGCGCGTGCACTCTCAGCATCAGCCTCAGTCTGATGATGCCGCCTGGGGCATATGCTTCCAAACCATTGCCCTGTTGGCCCGGATCAAATCTAAAGCTACGCATGGATTGCTCGGCAACTTCACGCATTCATTCGTACCCAGCCGGGCGGTATTGGCTTGCCCCGGTCTGCTAAATACGCCGAGACTCATCAATGTGCAGGCTTTGCTTCTCCTCGTATGGTAGTGGACTCAGGACCTTTTGGTGTTCGATGCTGACAATGGACATGTAGAGTGTTGCAGCGCAAGGACTCGACCATTCCGGATCGGCAGAATTGATATTTGCCCATGCGTGCACCCTGGCGCGGATTGTAGGCTTGCATTGCAGCCAAGTTCCGGATCAGGGTAACATTGTAGAGATTGAACGCGCTAAGGTGCTTCGAGCGTTGTACATCCGTGATCGGAGTTTGTATACGCTTCGCGGCTCAGTACTTTGGATGCCCTATGATGACCATAACATCGCCACTCAGCTGCGTGCAGCTGTTGATCAGCTGGGAAAGCATTCAAATCGGCTCCGTCTAGCCATGGTGCAGGAAGACATATACCGGCTGGCTCAGATAGACTCAATGGCGGGGAAGGCACATGACAGCCAAGAATTGCCGATGCATATTGAAAAGCAGCTTGATGGGTATGCTCGAACATTGTGTCTATTCCATGGCCAAAATAACCCGTCAGATTGTCGTGGATCTCATGCTGTAAAGACGATGGAGTTCTTGGCAACGCGGATCATGGCCTTTCAACATGGACAGGAGCTATACCACTCGCGGCAAATCGAGAAAGATGCGCGGCTAAGCTGCTTGCTTTTGTTGATAGCACACGGAGACCAGGATCCGGCGGTTTTATACTGTTTCAACGCAATGATAGCAGGGGAAGGAACTAATCCAAGAAGCACCGATCAGTTTCATTGCTCCCCTAATGTGTCATTCACGAGTGTGTTTGACGCGTTTTCTGTTCCCGCATTTTTCATTGTATTACAAGATCTTCTCATGTCACGCTCGCGTGAAACTCGGGCTGGCATGATATCTGACTTGGATTTGCTGCGGCGGGTGTCGGCTTGCTATACCGATCATGCTAGTCAAATGCCGACAAATAGCTACCACTCAAAGATAGCGTGGATATTTTTACAACTGATGTCTTTGGTTCGCGTCGTTGTGGACGCACGTTTGGGTCGTCATTTTGTTGACTCGCCTCGAGCCCCTCCTCAGAATGACCTTCACAGTCCGCCATACTGGCTGGTGGCGCAGCAATCAACCGCTCCTCTGAATTGGGAGAGTTGGCTCAGTGGGGCGTCATCTCTGGCACTGTCCCCTCTTGGGCCTGCGACACCGCTCGGGACATGGAACGCTAACACGCCGGCTCTAGATGGCGAAGGACTGATGCTGTGGCCAACAGCGGGTGAAAGGTCGCCCGTGGCACCGACAAGCTCACATCATGAGCAAGTAGACAGACCTGCTGATAGGTGTGCAATGTGAGGTGGTTTTTCTAGATCGTTCTTGCGGGTTGTCCTCTGAGCATCTGTGCTTCCAGGCACTTCTTCGGAGATGATGGGAGATGACGATTTGCGGTCACCGCTCAGCATACCTAGTGTGGCCAGGAACCGTCTTGGCATATATAGAATCAGCTAGACTGCAATTACATCTTCTAATTCATTGAAGGTGATTGAATACCTTAACATGATTGATATATGATGTGCCAATCTATAGCACAATGGGATGTCCTGATGAAAAGCCAACCAAGAAGTAGTCAATAACCAGTGTGCGACATACCTCTCACCAAGGTTAGACGTTCACCTAGATTAGATTGACGCTATCAGACAATACAATTACATAGTCACCTTAACTCACGCTCACCCGTCCATCTTTTCTAGGGAGAATCTTGTGATACCGTTACACTGGGTGTCTCCGGGGTCCGGGGCTCACCTCGGTGCCCGAAGGCCGGTTTACCTGGCCGTGTTTTTAATTAGTGATGAGGAGGTAATTGATCGTTGGCAGGGGGCACTGATTTTCCGCCTCATTAAGGATGGTTATAAGGAGGGGTAGAACTTTACTAATGTAATGGCACATAGAGCTATAGCAGTCTCAAAATCTTGCTGGCTATGAGTCTATTGATTCTGTGCTCGCCTTGTATTTCGTCCGGCATTCGCATAGTCTGATAGTTGAGGGGTGCTCGACTGCAGATACACACCCATTTATTTCGACTAATTTGGGTGTGTTTTGACTCGCGATCCGTGCAGTATCCCCAGACAACTCAAACCACCATCTACAAGATCATCACCATCATGTCTCAACCTCACCCCCTCTTCGGCCACTGGCAGCCAAACCCTCACCTCCAGCACCTCTACTACGGTCCTGACTGCGTCTCCCAGTACCTCCTCAAAACCCTCCCGAACCCCACATCCAAAGCCATCATCATCACCGGCACGACCCTAGCAACCCGCACGCCTCTCGTCCAGCGCCTCCAAACCCTCCTAGCTACCCACTACGTTACCACCATCTCCTCCATAACCCAACACACCCCATCCCATACTATCAACGACGCCATCAATACCATACTAACCCTCCACGCTAGAGACCCCACAATCGACACCCTCATCTCCTTAGGCGGCGGCTCTCCCATCGACGCCGCCAAAATCCTCGCCCTACGCTTCTTCCAAGCTACCACTTCAACCCTAACCCACCTCGCCATCCCCACTACCCTCAGTGCTGCTGAAACCACCCCCGCTGGAAGCACCACCCAACCCGATGGAACTAAAACCGGAATTCGAGACGCCAAGATGGCAGTACATGCTATTTTCTATGACCCGGCGTATACAAAATACACCCCGATGGATCTATGGCTCAGCACAGGAATCAGAGCTCTAGATCATGCCGTCGAGGCGATGTATCATCCTACTGCTAGTGAAGTGCCGTGGAAGATACTTGCTATTTATGCAGTGGGGGAATTGTTTGAGTGCTTGCCCAAGGCCAAGGAGGACTGTGATATGAGTGACGATGCTACAACTGTTAGGCTAATGCTAGCTTCGTTTGCGAGCTCGGGACTTAAAGGTGAGGATCTGGGAAACGGGATGGGATTATCGCATTCCCTGGGATATGCGCTTGGGAGTCCGTATGGGATTCCGCATGGGGTTACGAGTTGTGTTACGCTGGGAAAGGTAGTCGGGTTCATGGCAGGTGAGGGGAAGGAGAGGGAAATTGCGAGGTTGGTGAGGGCAGTAGGGGGCGTTAGGACGGGTGATCATGAGGTCGATGCAAGGGTTGTCGGGGAGAGGATTGTGGCGTTGGTCGAGGCCTTGGGGTTGGGGGTTAGGTCGTTGGAAGAGTTGGGTGTGTGTAGGGATGAGGTGCCGGTTATTGTGGAGAGGGCGTTGAGGGGGGTTGAGAGGGGGGAGTTTTATGACAGGGTTGAGGGGCTGGTTGGATCGTTGTTTTGATGTAGGGATTCAAGGGGTAAATGGGATGTTCGTATTTCCTCCGTGAGGGTTCGGGGAGATAGTATCTGTCACTTGAGAGAACAAATCGAACGATTGAGATCAGGATTTATCGTATATTGTTGTTTTGTCCATTGGAGCATCATGGTAGTCGTTTGCTGACACAGGTAACCTGCTCGGATTCCGGACACCGTATCGGAATGCGCTCACTCGTATACACAGTCGGGTCTTTTATAACCACAGCCACCCCTCCTTGGCATAGACCGGGATAAGAAGTTCTCAGAAAGCTAATTTAGCAGCGGAAAAAAATGTCTTCTAGTATTCGAGAGCTAGCTACACAGATCCTCGCTCTCTGCACCAAGCTTGAGCAAACCTGCAATGAAGCAGATATCCCTCCTCCATCACTTTCTGCAGATACCAGAACTTCATTCTGGTCTGATTCCCAGTTAACTGCTACACGAGCCACAGTTCTCGGCCTACTGGAACAACTATCTATACTGATTCAAGGACCACAAGAGTTCCTACATGAGTTCGTCGCCTCCCACTGGGACCATGGGGCGCTATATGCGTTCCTCCACTCACAGACCCTCGAGCATATAGCCCGTTCGGGGCGGGCGTCTATTGAAGACCTGGAGTCTCAATCTGGTATCCCGGCAGACAAGCTCGCACGGATCCTTGGACTACTTCGGTGTCGACGCATCATTGATGAGCCCGAAAAGGGTGTCTATTCTTTGAATGCTGTGTCGGAGGAACTGGTCAAGGACAGCGATTCTAGAGCATGCTTTGAGTTTCAGTACGTATAACATGCGAAGTGGAGTGGAACGTCGCTTATAAAATAGATTATTTGAGACTCGTATTGCGAGTGCGCATTTGGCGGATGCTTTAGCTCGAAAACCAAATGGGTATGTTGATGGTGTGTCGGCGTTCAGGGAGGGGTGAGTATACATGATTTGATTCGTGAATGATTTGTGCTAAAATGATAGATTCGGCATGGAAATGTACGACTGGCACGCTTGTCATCCTGCCAAGGGAGAGCGATTTCGTCGTGCTATGAGGGGCGTCTCGCGGGGTGAGTGTCATCGGATGTCCCTGCATATAGACCTTACTAAACAGATTTAATTCCGCTAGCCCTTGATCCTGCGGACTCCTTAATCGAGAGCTATATCCAGCAGCACACTCCCACCACCAAAACTAAGATCGTCGAGATCGGTGGCCGCTACGGTTTTGCCGCTATCTCCCTTGTACAAAACCATCCAGAACTGTCATTTGAAGTCCGCTCCGACTCCCAAGAATTTCTCGACCGCGGCAACGCACAGGTCCCGTCTTCAAGTCGTGAAAGGATAGCCTTCACACATTGCCAGTCAATGTTCGATTCGCCGCCTGCGTGTGATGAGCATACCGTATGGCTATACGTGATCAGGAATTTGCTGTGGAACTGGTCCGATACTGATGTCGTGAGACTGCTGAGAAGTATAAAACAAGGATCTGGCGCATCTACCCGTGTCTTGGTTACAGATGGCGTGTCGCCAGTGTCTGGACAATTTCCGTTACATGAGGAGATTGCGTATCGACGGAGAGATGTTACGACTATGAGCATGCATAATGTGAAGCAGAGGACGCAGGAGGAGTGGGTGGGCGTGTTCATGCAGGCTGACCCAGTCGTACGGGTGGAGACTATGTTTGAGAGGAGTTCGCATGTTTATAAGGGGCTGTGGGAAATCAGTTTCGTGAATGATGGGGATAGCAGATAGGAGAGGGATTGAGTCTACTTTCGGAGATGAATCGGCGAGTGAATCGTGTAGACGACAAGAATGAATACGTAAATGGAACGTACCGTGAATAGACTTACTGGCCAGTTCAAAGTTCTCAACCTTGCCTTCAATCGTGACACAGGCTGCGGTAGGTATTTCTCTGCCCAAATGAACTCTCCTGACATAGCCTGATGCTCAAGAGCTGCTTGGCAGTTACTAAAGGCTGATTTTGGAAAAGCCGCTCCAAGGCCACCATATGCTCCATCGCAGCATCAGCCCATACTTATGCCGATTACCCCCGACAGCCAAGCGCAACTATCCAGCTTGAGCAGTTGTTTTGCAAAGTAACGTTACACAACCCGTCCGAAAGCAAACTATGTCAGCTCTCTAGCCATTATCAAGGGAATTCAGCGCCAAGCCAATGTACTCTTCATCGGGTTCCGACCTACTCGTTTGAGAGAATTATATACCTACTACTACCAAGGTTGATTCCCGTAGAGACAACCTAGCCAGTTCTCCTGTAATAATCAAGATCATGGATCGCGTCGACCTATCCTACACAAAGAACCTATCCATCCATCATTACCAGCCGGAACAGAAGCCATGGCGCCGACTGGGACAATGTACTACCACCTTTGCTGCACACACCCTTACCTTGGTTCATATGTCACACTAACATTGGAAGACCTCTACCGCGTCATGGAAGACGGGACGCACACTCAATATCGTCTCGCCGCGATCGAAAGTCTCCTTCCGCCTCACAGCGAGGGGCCTGTGTTCCATTTCCACGAAATGCACGATGAGGGGTTCTACGTTACGGTGATTACCTTCCTACCATGATAGTCCCTGTCCCTTCCAATTTTAGAGGTTTACTGATGATGAATCGTATCCAGAAAGGGACAGTCCGCTTCCACAGCCCCGGCCGTGCCGACGTCGATGCCAAAGCCGGCGACTTTATCATTGTTCCTATCCGTCTGCCTCATCGATTCAGTAACCCGTTCGATGAGGAAGCTGTTTTTATGAACACAGCTACACCGGGGTTTTTTGTGAGGTACTTTGAGTATCTCGAGTATCTGATTGGCGAGGGCACGGCGCTTACACCGGAAATCAACAAGGCCGCGTTGAGAAGGTTTGCGACTGTGCCGGTAAGTAAGGAGGAGGTGTCAAGGTTGGAAATGGAGGGGATGAGGAATGAGAGCGTAACTGAGTCTGAAACTGAGGGGGAGAGGTATGTCGACATGTCGGTTGAGGAGAGGAAAGGCGCATAGGTTTAGCAATGATAGGTTTCTGGAGAAAAGTAATTACTGGCGGCATACGCGTACAATCATGTTGTTGTAAGGGGTGGAATGTAGAACTTTTGATAGAGCTAGTATGTCAAACGGAGTTAAAGTTATCGAGGCTTAGTGTTGGAATGCCACTAACGATAAACTCGTGGTTCGCATGAACTTTGAGGCAAGGGATTTCAGTGGCCAGTAGCAGCTGCAGAAAAGAGGTACGGAAACGGTATCCGCCATGTAATTCCTCTTGTCTCTCCCACATTATTGCTAGCAACCCCTCTGCATCAATTTGACAAACAACGGCGGTTTCACCCAAAACCCAAAGACCTTCTGTCCGTCAGTCCAACCTTTGCTTGTCTCATCTATCTCCATATCAAATAGAAACAGCAGTTTCGCCGCGATCAGTCGCATTTCCGCCCACGCTAGGTTCTTACCAAGACAGTTCCTGGGTCCAAAAGAGAATGGTTGGCAACTTTTCTGGCAATCCTTCGAAAACGGCCCCTGCGCCTGACATTCTGGCAACCACCGCTCAGGCAAGAACTCTTGTGGACGGTGAAAGTTGCGTGGATCGTGATAGCAAGCGAAGTGATTGACTCCCACTGTTACTCCGGCGGGTACGAAATCCCCATCAATGACTGCGCCATTGACAGGGACAACCCTAGGTAGAGTCACAGCTACAGGAGGGTAGATCCGCAGCATCTCCTGCAGTACGGCATTCAGGTATGACAGCTGGGCAGTAGAAGGGATATCTATCTGCTCATATGCATCGAATGTTCCGCGGATCTCAGCGACGAGTCGATCGTACACACTCACCCGTGAGAGAGTATAGTATGTGAATGCGCTTAATGCCGTCGCTGACGACTCTGACCCAGCTATGCTGAAAGAGAAAGCGTTGACGTTCATCTCGGCGCGCGACATTCCTTTTTCAGTCTCCATCGCGGCAAGGATGTAGTGCAGAAAGTCCTTGCGGTCGGTGTTTCGATCTACGCGACGATTGACAGTTTCAATTACTCGCTGCATGTTCTGTGCCCGTGCTCCTGCAGATGCTTTGGGCATGAAGAGCTGTCGAAGAGACAGTAGTTTGTAGTAGGCTAACATTTGGATGAAAGTCAGTTCTTTGGAGATTGCCTGGATAGATTTCACGAAGGGATCGTATTCCGCGTTGTCCAGGCAATGGAACCGTTCGCCGAAGGAAAGGTCTCGAATGAGATCATATGCTATAGGTGTGAGAATAGCTACATATTGTGCAGATAGTGTCTAACATACCAGTGAAGGTGAACCAGTCTACCATGTTTTGCGGGCCATTATTTGCTCGAGCGGCCAGTTGTTTCATGAGCTGGTCAACATACCCCTGGATGATGCCTTCTTGTTCACGCAGTGCTTTCTCGGAAAACGCATGCGATAGAAGTCGTCGTTGTCTCGTATGAGTCTGTCTGTCTGCCGTCAGGATATCTGTCTTCGTCAGTTTGGACTGAGGTGGTCACTGGATAAGGTTGTATACTTTGTACGCCAGTTGGCGTTCGCAGCGAGAATATGGGATCTTTGCCCATCTCATCTGATCTGAGTCCGTAAATTGCTCTCCATGCTTCTTCCGAATTATAAGATAGTTCGTTTGGAGCGACTCGCACAATGCGGCCGTATCGTAGATGCAATTCAAGCAGCTTCTGGTTTAGCCGGCCATGCGCCTGGTACCAGCACCATGGTAGGCGTGTGGCAGCCCATAGCCTGGGGCCCGGGTATTGTCTCAGTGGATGCAGAAATGCATTATAGCATACGCGAAGAATGACCCATGCGAGCAGCTGTTGGCATCAGTAAAAGCCGCCTTCGAGCTAGTAGACTTACCGATGTAAGGGCAACTGCGCCCAGCCAAAACATAGAATCAGAATCCACGACCTGAATCAATGCCATTCTCCTGAACACATGGACACACTGTGATGATGTCTTGACAGCCAGCCAGAAAGACATGTGTATCGGCGAGATTCTGAAACATCCCAATTGAGTAACTCGTGGAATCCGTTACCTCCTATTCCAGCAAAAGCAAGTCCCGAAGTAAATGTAGTCAGCTGTGCAATCGGACCCCGAGGCTCTGTGAGACCCTCCAACTAGTCAGCATTGCAATTCAGGCCATCATCAGGCCAGGAGAAGCGAGTGGCGTGTCTATCAACGTATGCTTTCTGGCGCAAGGGGGTGGCGCCTCCAATGATCTAGACAGTCACTACATAGGACATACGAAATAATAGGATATGCGGGGAGGACTACTTGGATCCCTTAATGAGCTTTCCCTGTTTATTCATGCCAAATTAACGTTAATTAACCTTATATGCTTTTACTGCACACTAATGTACAAAAGAAGTTAGAGTAATTCTGTTTCGCTGACGGCTATGATGCCAATTCAGCTTGAGTTTATCTTGTCCCAATACTGCACAGGATCTAAACTCAAATTAAATATGAAGAGATGACTCCACACAAGTGCTGTCATGCTTATTATTAGAAGGGATATGGCCGCGTAACTATGCAGCTTGTCGGTTTGCTAAAGTATGGTTGGAGACGTCTTCCGTCGTACAGTAATCCTGACTGGTATATCGCCAGCAAATTCCCGTATACAGCAAATGTTGCAACCTTTCATGCACAAGCAAAGAGCATGAAGGATGGAATGTGGCTGGATCATATGATATATCCCAAAGCTAGATGAGATACAAGAATAGGCCCTTACCTGATGGGTACTCCTATACCACCCCCGCTCCCTCCCCTCTGCCACATCCATCACAGAACTATTGAACCACTGCACACAGACTCACGTCCAACATGACCGTCCCCAACTCAGAGGACGCACACGTCCTTATTATCGGCGCAGGTATCACAGGCCTTATCCTCGCACAGTCTCTCAAGAAGGTAGACTTGACCCCCACGTCGCCATGATCCTCTCAAACTCCCCCTCAGGGTAACAGTAATCATCTAACCTGCCGCAGGCCGGCATCCGTTACTCCATCTTCGAAAAGGAGGTGTCCATGAACTATCGCAGCAATGAATGGACTATGGCTATCCACTGGTCCCTCGACCGTCTGCGCGACCTCCTCCCCGCCGACCGTTTCGCACACATGGAGTCCGTCTCGTGCAACCCTGATGTTGCCCTGGACGCTGGCGGAAACTATCCCATCATTCATGGGGAAACAGGCCACCTCATTGCCGGTGTACCGTATGCCAAAGGACTGCGGGTTCCGCGCAGTAAGATGCGGGATCTATGTAGCAAGGGGATTGACGTCCAGTACGGAAAGAATCTGATTGATGTGGCGTTCACTGAGAGCCAAAAAGGAGTAGTTGCAGTCTTTGATGATGGTTCCATGGCCTCTGGAACTATCCTTATCGGTGCGGATGGGCCTCGTTCGAAGGTCCGTGAGTTCGCAATGGGCTCGGCGGAGAAGGCGGCTGTTAGCCGCTTTCCCATCTTTCATACTAATATGACCGTTACCTACAACGATGCTGAGAAAGCTAGGTATGTAAGACAGCGTTTTCCGACGAGTTATCTGGCTTTGAGTGATAGGTCGTATCATGCGTTTCAATCCAGTAGGTATCCAGATTTCATTAGCGTCATTTCAGATTAGGTACTGATTTCGTAAGTCTCGAGCATGCCTGATGGCCCCGATCATCCCGAATCATGGGTCTTTCACTTGGCTATGGCCTGGTTCATGGATCACGGTCAACCTGCTACTTACCGCGAGAGATTAGACATGATTCGCGAGAAAGCCCAGAGTCTGGCTGAGCCGGCTCGGTCCTCGTTCACTTGGATCCCAGATGATACGCAGGTCCATAAAGCTGATATCAGCTACTGGGTTACCCAGCCTTGGGATAATCGACAGGGCAGATTGACATTGATTGGGGACGCAGCGCATCCGATGCCGCCGTGTAAGTTAGCCCTACATCCACTAGCAATATCGGTGTGCTGATTATGGTACAATATGGGTGGTTAGACAGAGGGCAGGGCCTCAATCACTGCATATGTGATACGTCTCACCTTTTGGCCAGCATTCGGAAGGTTGTGGCCGGAACGGCTAGTCTGAAGGAGGCTATTACTGCGTACGAAGCGGAGATGATTCCCCGCGGTCGCGAAGAGGTCAAGTGCTCGGTCGAGAACGGGTACATGCTGCATGACTGGGATCAAGTCCGTGAGAGTCCTGTTTTCCGACAAGGGTTCCGGCCTATGAGTGGACACGATAGAGGGTCTGTGGATGGGCACGAGAAGATGCAACCAAAGGATATTGCAGCAAACTGAATGTGGTGTTGGAGGTACATGCATCTGGTGTGCTAGCTATGAGATATTAGTCCTACGTTTGAAAAGAATTTTACTTACGTTGTGTCCAAACTGCTGCTTGTTAGTGCGGCATTGCGTCTACTACAACACAATGGTGCAGCCTTGATATATGCATCTCATATGATTGCAGAGTACCACACTGTGCTGCTGTTGCTAGCCACATACGGATTTAGCCGACGAGCAGTAGCTTTCTGCATCAAATTCAGATACAGGTAGATACTTCTGAAGTCAGTACTAGTTGACTGACCCCATGGCTATAACCCCCGATTCAGGGCCGAAGCCTATTCGTCCAGAGCCCGTGAGCATTGCTTTTCAACCAACTAGGGTACTTCGAAAAGCAGTAGGTCTAAGCCATAGTATGATGTCTATGATGGAAACATTCGACAACAGAAAAGACAGGGATATATCAGCAAAGCCATGTGCGCCATTTCCGGGAATGAAAACTTGGGTGTGCGAGCGCGTGTCCTGATGTCTGAACCAGCACGTAAGGCTGACAGTTTATCTATCGTAAGATATCCATCAGTCTGACGCCGTTATAGCTAATTGGCAGGGATTGTTCTGATCAATATCACTGGCGGCGGCAAGTCTGACAGATCTGTACGACATCCGATCATCTGACGGGGATTCCGACCTCATGGTATCTATATTCCCCGAACTGCGTATTCCACATCGAAGTCACGAAGTTTTCCGGACACCGAAGGTTCTCCAGCTCCACATGCTATGTCTTGTGCTCCGAGAAAGCATGCTGAGTTGCCTCGGAGACCGAGTGCTATCCTCCGACTCTTCGTGGAATGCCCTTAAATTGGCGATGCTCACGTTTACTAAAATGTAATTTCGACGCTCTGTGCTTCTCAGCCTATCGCAATTTATCGATACGGTGCTTAGGATGGCCTCTGAACGCCTCTACGCCTTGACAATCTATGGCTATCGCAAGCCAGGTATGCCTGAAGATGAATATCATCGCTACCTGAGTGGGCACCATGCCGTTCTGGTGAGGAATCATCTCGTGAAGATGGGTATTGTCAGATACACTCTGGTAGGTTGGATGTGCCTTATGGGAGAAACTGCTGACGTTGCTAGACGCACAACACGTCCGAGACAAAGGGGATGATGAAGCGTATCTTTGGAGACCTTCCGGAGGGACATACCTCTGATTGTGACTGCTTGGCCCAGATTATGTTTCGTGATGTGGAGGATTATGTCCGCGCTCGGAATGACCCCCAGTACAAGGAGGTCATCTTTCCCGATCATGCAAACTTTGCCGACTCAAGCAGAACACTATTCGTGACTGGCTGGGTGGAGTGCCATATTGTGGATGGAGAAATAGTCTAAAGGCAGAGGATCTAGCGCGATAGTGGCGAATGCCCAAGAAAAGTGCTACTATGACCGATATTTAAAATCGGGCAACTGGAACCCTCTGATGCAGACTGCGGTTGGCCGTAGACTAGGTGCAATCCAAGTATTGCCTTTTTTGAGGTACTTTTTTAGCTCCTGCAAAATTCATTTGATATTAAGTGTAACTACCCCAAGAAATCATGATATCATGATCTTTGGGCTTGTCGCTCTATCAGATGTTGCATGTGGCGACTGATCAAATAAGTGTGACAATGCAGCAGCTACGGAACATGACCATTGCAGTATTCTTTAGCTGTGCAACACCTGTACATCAGTTTTATCTGCCCACTCTTCTAATTATGGCCATGGCACGAGGAGAATACGTACGAACTTCGCGTTTCTCAAGAACCCTCCGAGCGTTGACCCGTATCTGCGGCGTCAGCGACGCCCCTCAAGCGAAAGATCATGGGCCAAGGACCGACTAGAAGCACATGTTTGGACATAATTCGATCATTACCTGGGCATCAGATGCCGGGATAGAGATCTTCCTAGGTCACTATTATCCACAATGTCAGCAGTACTCGGGACCCAACCCTGTCTCCTCGTGTTATGCTAGGATACCAGCTCCCTAGTTCCAGATGGACAGACTTTCGATTATTATGAATACATTACTTCTCCAGATGCCTGTCAGCTCATGGAAGGAAGAATTTCACACCCTCTGATAGGAATAGCTTCCAATTGTATGAACATGGTCATTCGGACAATGCCGGAAGAACCGAACACAAAACCCGATACCTCAGCAATTAGCAAGATGGAGACAGTCGCCGAGGTATTCATCTTCGGCGATCAAACGGTAGTGTTTGAGTTGACGCTACACTCGTTGCTGCACGTCAAGGACAATGCAGTTCTCACCGACTTCTTTGATCGGGTTGGGTTCCAGTTGCGGCGACACGTTGGGAGTCTCCCTTTGCATCAGCAGGAATGGTTCCCTTACTTTACTACCCTCATTGATTTGCTTGCCCAGCACGAAAATTGCTATGCGGCTCCAGCATTAAAGTTGCCCCTGCTATGTGCGACCGAGCTTGGCCAGTTTATTAGGTGAACTATCAACGTTTTGTTTCCACATGTTGATGAATGCATGATTCTAAAGCCTACGCAGGCACTATGGACAAGCAGGGAGAACATATCCTGCACCAGAAAGTACCTTCCTAATAGGGGCCTGCACGGGAGCCTTTGCTGCTGCTGCAGTTGCAACTTCCCTAACCTTAGCAGAGCTTGTCCCTGCTGCGGTTGAAGCCGTCACCGTTGCGTTCCGGACGGCGCTGCGATCGCTGATCCTACGAAGTGATCTTGTACCCACCGTAGAAGAAACTCCGGAATCATGGTCTGCTATTGTAGGTGTCAGTGAGACTGAAGCAACAAGTGCGATTCAGGGCTTTAACGCCGAGAAGGTGAGTCACGTCCGCAACCAAGGAGAATCCGCAGCTGACAATCACAGGGGTTGCCTCCCGCATATCGTCTATACCTCAGCTCAGTCAGTCGAACAAATGTTTCGATCAGTGGTCCTCCACATCTTCTGGGCCAGTTCCTTTCGTCCTACGCCTGGAAGCACTCGTTCCTTCCGATTGAGCTGCCGTACCACGCGTCGCATCTTTTCCGGAAGGCCGATGCGGATGTTATCGTGGATGATATCCACGACTCCTCACTGCTAAAGTACACGCTGCGAACAAAAGTTATTTCCGCTGTTTCCGGTGAAATTATCACAGCATCTGACCTGCGCAGTCTGCTGCTTCGAGCGGTTCAGGAAGCCCTCTGTGAGCCCCTCCAGTGGAATCGCATAACTGCATCTCTTTCTCGGGAGTTAAAGCAGGGCCAATTCACCGACTGTATAATAAATCAAGTTTCATCACGAAGCGGAACGCTTCTCAGCTCAGCTCTATCACAAGAAGCGTTTCTCCAAGTCAAAATCGTGCAATCCATAGGGGATGCCTCTGTACACTCTGCTCTCTCGAGCTCAACAGGCAAGTCTTCGCAATCAACCATTGCCATTATCGGCTTCTCTGGGCGCTTCCCCGAATCTGGCTCTAATGAAGAATTTTGGGAGATGCTTTTGGCGGGCCGAGATGTACATCGGATTATCCCCGAGGATCGGTTCGACTGGAAGGCCCACTACGATCCCACTGGCAAGACCAAGAACACCAGTCGCGTCAAATATGGTTGCTTTATCAAGGAGCCTGGAATGTTCGATGCTCGCTTCTTCAATATGTCTCCCCGGGAGGCCGAGAACGCAGATCCGGCACAGCGATTGGCCATCACTACAGCATATGAGGCAATGGAAATGGCGGGACTGGTGCCAAACACGACACCATCCACCCAGGGAGATCGCATTGGGGTGTTTTACGGGGTGACGAGTGATGACTGGCGCGAAGTGAATAGCGGGCAGAATGTGGATACGTACTTTATCCCGGGGGGAAATCGCGCATTCATTCCGGGAAGGATCAGGTATGGCTTTCCACCGATGGCTGGAGTACTAGTATGCTGACAGTTCAGCTATTTCTTCCGATTCTGTGGCCCCAGCCTGAGTATCGACACAGCATGCTCATCCAGCTGCGCGGCGATTCAAACGGCGTGTGCCTACCTATGGCGAGGTGAATGCGACACAGCCCTGGCTGGAGGCGTGAATGTGTTGACGAACCCTGATAACTTCTGTGGATTGGATAGGGGGCACTTCCTGACAGCTAAAGGTTGGTCTGACCTTGTCTATGTGGGAGTTCTAGACTGATGAGACAGGAAATTGCAATGCTTTTGATGATGAAGCAGACGGATACTGCCGATCGGACGCCGTTGGGACCGTTATTCTCAAGCGCCTAGAGGACGCCCTCGAGGATAACGATCCCATTTTTGGAGTCATCCGTGGCGCATATACCAACCATTGTGGTCGGACAGACTCCATCACTCGACCCTTTGAAGGCGATCAGGCGACCGTATTCAACCGAATTATGCGCTATGCTGGAGTTAACCCCCAAGACGTGGGTTACGTCGAAATGCACGGCACTGGAACCCAGGCCGGGGACGCCACGGAGATGAAGTCAGTGCTGTCTGTATTTGCGCCTAATATGCGCAGGCAAAATGCTCTGTACTTGGGTACAGCAAAAGCTAATATGGGCCATGCCGAGTCTGCTTCGGGTGTTTCGTCTTTGATCAAGGTCCTATTGATGATGCGGAACGATACGATCCCACCGCATTGTGGTATCAAGACCCGGATAAATCATACCTATCCAATTGACCTGGCACAGCGAAACGTGCATATTCCATTCAAACCTACACCTTGGCTTCGTGAACAGATGCCTCAACTCAAGCGGACAGTGTTCTTGAATAATTTCAGTGCAGCCGGAGGCAATACTGCCATGCTACTCGAAGATGCCCCAGTTCGAAAAAGTAATAAGGCCACGGACCCTCGCTCCAAGCACGTAGTGACAGTGACAGCGAAAACGATCAAATCCCTCAGGGGGAATATCAGCTCTCTCCTGGCATACTTGGAGCAACATCCGAGTATATCCTTGTCATCTTTATCCTACACCACCACTGCCCGACGTATCCACCATAGCTATAGGGTCATAGTGTCGGGTTCTGATACCGGGGAATTTATACACCGGATGCAAGAGATCTTGCCTGGCTTGGAGAGCCACAGGCCAGTCCCTCCACCGGGAAAGCTGCCAAACATCGTTATGACGTTCAGCGGACAGGGCACCCTCTATGTCGGCATGGGAAAGCAGTTCTACGACACGGTGCCCTCGTTTAGGGAGGACGTTACGCGATTCGACGACATCGCGAGCCAAATGGGCTTTCCAAGCTTCTTGCCTCTTATTGATGGTAGCATGGTTAACCATCAGGAAGCAACCCCCACCGTAGCCCACCTGGCCCTGGTCTGCGTTCAGATGGCACTATACAACTACTGGAGGTCTCTAGGGATTGTTCCATCGGTAACTATTGGCCACAGCCTCGGCGAATACCCGGCGCTGTATGCTGCTGGTGTCCTTGCAGCCTCGAGTGTAATATATCTGGTGGGCGCTCGGGCTGCCCTGCTATCAGAAAAGACTACCCCACGGACCCATGCTATGTTGGCAGTAAAAGGGTCCGTAGAGTCTATACATGGCGAGTTACATAACAGGGGGTGCGCTTTGGCTTGCCTGAACCAACCTTTCAGCAATGTTGTGAGCGGAACGGTTGGAGATTTAATATTGTTGAAGGATTGGCTCACATCTCAGGGCATCGGGAGTGTCCAACTGGACATACCGTATGCCTTTCACTCCGCACAAGTGGATCCAATTCTAAACGACTTTAAGACGATCTCTGCGGGCGTTGAATACTACGTACCCTCTATTCCTTACATCTCTCCTCTTCTTAGTAGGGTCATCCCTGCCGGCGAGCCAGATGTTCTTAATGCTTCCTATCTGAGAAACGCATGTCGTGAGCCAGTCAACTTTCAGGGTGCTGTTGTATCAGCAGAGGAGACTGGTCTAGTTAACGAGAAAACCATATGGGTGGATATCGGCTCGCATCCAGCTTGCTCAGGCATGATCAAGGGCATATTGGGCACAAAAAGCACCACGATCGCATCGCTTCGAAAAGGGTCAGATTCATGGGCTGTGCTAACCGCAAGCCTGGAGGTTCTGTACTCCCATGGCATCGATATCCAGTGGGTTGAGTATCATCGCGGGGTGATTGGTTCTCGGGAGGTACTCCAATTGCCACGGTATGATTGGGATCTGAAAAACTACTGGATCCCATACAGGAACAACTTCTGTCTCTTGAAGGGTGAAGGCCTCATTCCTGCGGAACAGCAAGTAGTGTTGCCACATATGGAGGCTCCGCGTATTCCCAAGTATATTTCTCCGTCTGTCCAGCGAATTCTCGAGCAAAACGACGGCCCAGAAATGTCAACTCTTTCGGCCGAGTCAGATATTCACGACGCAAGGCTGGCGCCAATACTGGCAGGTCACGTCGTGAATGGCGCAATGTTATGTCCATCGGTAAGTAGCTGTATGGCGTTATGTGGTGATATGCTGACAAGGTCCAGTCTCTCTACGCTGATATTGGCATAACCATCACAAAGCACATGTTGCAAGCAATTGGAAAATACACCGCGACAGTCGGATTGGACGTCGCCGACATGCAGGTGCAGAACCCATTGATTTCTCGACCTGACACCGAATCGCAGCTCTTCCGTGTGTCTGCGTCGGCAGACTGGAGTATCAATGAGATTGCCTTCCGGCTGTATAGTGTCAACCGCACCGGTAAAAAGACTGCCGAGCACGCTGCATTTGTCGTACATATTACCGACCAGGTGCAGACCTGGCTGTCTGAATGGAAGCGGCATGCATATTTGGTGCGAAGTCGGATTGCTTCTCTACATCGGAGCGCGGAAGAAGGCGACGCACACAAACTCAAGCGACGCTTAGCATACCAGTTGTTCGCCACTCTTGTGCAATATGAGAAAAGCTACCAGGGAATGCAGGAGGTGGTTCTAGACAGCGATAATCATGAAGCCACTGCCAAGGTGTCTTTTCAAATTGACGAAGACGGCTTCGTGTTCAATCCATGCTGGATAGACAGTCTTGGGCATATTGCCGGATTCATCATGAATGCCAGCGATGCCAGTCCTTCTAAAGAGCAGGTCTTTATCAACCATGGCTGGGAGCGCATGCGATGCGCCGTGCGATTTGTCAAGGGCAAGCAGTACCAAGTGTATAACCGCATGCAGCTGGAGACTGGGACGAACTACGTGGGTGACACATACATCTTTGAGGGCGAGACAGTTGTTGCAGTGTTTCAAGGGATCCGAGTATGTAAACAGCGTACTGTAAGAAGGTGTATATGGCTAATGTTTGTAGTTCCAAGGGGTCCCTCGCCGACTTCTTGACCGACTGCTGCCCCCTAAGAACCCACCTTCTATCCTCTTGGAGAGGACACAAGAAGTGCGGCCAACAACAGCGCCGATTAATCATCAACCGGTGTGCTGGAAAGCTGGTTCAAAATCCGTACCCCTAGTACCAGCTCCGAAGCCCAAGGAGTCGGTGGGTTCGTCGAGTGGTATCGCAGCGCGCGTAATGGCCATAATCGCCAAGGAAGCAGGCGTCGATCCATCAGACTTGGGACCTAATGAAGAATTCGCCAACTACGGAATTGACTCTTTGCTGTCGCTGACCATCTGCGGTCAGATTCAAGAGGAGTTGGATGTTGATGTTCCGTCTTCGTTGTTCGTAGACTATCCCACTCCCAAGGATCTGATCGGCTTCTTTGGCGTTGAGATTGACTCTTCTCAGCTCACGTCTTCCTTGGAAGGGAGTACTGAAGACGACACATCAAGCTATGAGACTGTTGCAACATCAGAGAACGATCCGGAAGTGCCTGTATTGGAGATTCTCCGGACCACGATTGCCCGGGAAGCGGGCGTACCAATCAATGAGCTGACGCCCGCCACTGCGTTCTCTGATATCGGGGTGGACTCATTGCTTGCTCTCACCATTGTGAGCACAATAGCAGAGACATACGAAATAGTTATTCCTTCTAATATTTTGATAGAGAAGGGGAACCTGGAAGAGGTTGGAAAGGCACTTGGTCTGGAAATTAGCCCGAAGACTTCCCCACAGCAAACAATGCTCTCTAAGCCTGCCTTCGATCCATCTGGTGGTCCACAAGCCACATCCATCTTGCTGTGGGGTAAGCCCAAGACAGCCAAAAAGATACTTTTTCTCTTCCCCGATGGATCAGGGTCAGCCACGTCCTACTCGGCTCTTCCCAAGCTTGGCAACGACACGGCTGCGTACGGGCTGAACTGCCCCTGGATGAAGACACCGGAGCAGATGACAACCACCCTTGAGGAATTGACAGCAAAGTATCTTCTGGAAGTGCGTCGACGCCAGCCGAACGGTCCATACTACCTGGGCGGCTGGTCCGCCGGAGGAATTTGCGCTTACGAAGCTGCGCGCCAGCTCGCGCAAGACGGTCAGACCACGGCCAAGCTCATTCTGATCGACTCACCCAATCCGATCGGTATGGAAAATCCTCCCGAGAGGATGTATGACTTCTTCCAGAGCATCGGTCTCTTTGGGACTAGTGGCAAGCCGCCTCCACGTTGGCTAATCCCACACTTTAATGCTTTTATTCGGTTGCTGGACGCATATCGTATCCAAGCACTGGAAACGTCAATTGAGACTCACATTGTCTATGCACGCGACGGAATCTGCAAGGATGCTAGCAGCCCTCGGCCGGAGCGACGGCCAGATGACCCGCGTGAGATGGTCTGGCTGATTGAGAATCGAACAGACTTTAGTGGGGCTGGGTGGGCATCGCTGCTGGGAAGGGAAAGCCTGCAGATTGAGGTCCTAAATGAGGTCAATCATTTCTCGATGATGGATCCCGGGGAGCACATGGAGGCATTTGAGGGGTTTCTTCGCCGGGCTTTGTTGTAGCAATCTTCTTCTTCTTGAATCTCATAGGAGTAGATAGGCGTGGATAATGCTGACGGAATACCCTCGGTGTTGTCATAATATCCGGTGACCTTCTGAATCGAACTTCCCTTTGTCGCACTGCATACGTTAAGCTGGTTTCACCCCTGTCGCTGACTTGGCATGGGCCGATAGCACGACGACCGCCAATGAAGTCGGACGTCCTTGCGTACAGGTAGGGGCACGGATCCAATCTGGTGAGTTCCTTCGGATGCCGAGAGCGCGCAAGCCCTGCCCAGGATGCCAACTCTGCCCTGCGCTGTGTAACTAGGTCTTATAGTATAAAGCCGGTAGTTATTTACACTTCCACTGTTCATAATACATTATCATCTACGGAGAATTATCATCAGTCGCACGAAAACATGTCTCTCACCGACCTCGCAGCTCGAATCACCGCCAACGCCCAACTCCTCGATGCCCACCTCAAGTCCCACAACCTACCATCTCCGTCAACATGTATCAGCGCCTGCCCTGACTTTCCCAACCCGAAGAATGACCCGGCAGTGGAATCAGCCCGCATAGCTCTTCTCGAAGATACCCAGACCCTGCGCAACTACGCTCTCGGTCCAGCGCAGGTCGTCCGCGAACTATGCTGGAATGTACGCTATCATTTCCTACACACACACACAAATCTCTACTACAGACAAATATTAACGATATAAATAATAGACGATAGACCTAGCAGTCCAACGAGTCCTCTACCACTTCTCGATCCCAACCCTAATCCCCTTGAAATCCAGCACCAGCTACACCACCTTATCCTCCCAAACTAACCTCCCAGAACGCACCCTCCGGCTTCTCCTCCGCCAATCTTTTCTAAATGGTATCTTTTACGAGCCCGAACCGGATCGTGTCGCGCATACGGCGTCTTCAGCCGCTCTTGTCACGAATGCGCCCTTCTATGATTGGTTCGGGCATTCAGTGGAGGAGGTGTTTCCTGCTAGTGCGAAACTTGCGGAGGCTTTGGAGAGATGTAGTCAGAGTGGAATAGGGGATGGGAGGGCGGAAGATAGTGCGTTTAGTTTGGCTGTTGGTGGTGGGGAAAGTGTGTTTGAATTCTTTGAAAAGAGGCCTGATAAGCAGAGACGATTTCGAGGGGCGATGGAGGCGGTGGGTATGGATGGGGGTCATGATTTGGGGTTTGTGGTTGGGGGGTTTGACTGGGGTAAGGTGGGGAGGGGGGTCGTGGTTGATGTAGGTCGTTTCTATTCCTCTTCTTTTTCTTCTTTGGAGTATCATGTTAAAGAAACTAATGAGGATTATATTGCATATAGGTAGGAGGATCTTCCGGCTTTCTAAGCATTTCTCTCGCAAACGCATACGAGAACCTCTCCTTCGTGGTGCAGGATTACAAACATACCGTTGACGAAGGGCGTGCGGCACTACCCTCTCATCTGAGTGAACGGGTGTCTTTCCAGGCGCATGACTTCTTCGCTCCGCAGACTGTGGCCGGCGATGTGTACCTTCTTCGTCATATCTGTCATAATTGGTCTGATGAGAATGCGGCGCGGATCTTACGGAATCTGGTCCCTGCTATGAAGAGTAGTAGCAGGATTTTGCTGGTTGAGGTTGTGACTGTTCGCCCAGGGGTTGTGAATAGGGTGCAGGAGAGATATATGCGGTAAGTTTCGTACTTGGCTGCTGGTTTTGTTAGGGGTGGTATGCTGACTGGAACAGGAATGTCGATGTCACCATGTTGCAGATGCTGAATACCCAGGAGCGGAGTAGGGAGGAGTGGGAGAGTGTAGTTGCCTTGGCGGATAAAAGGTTGAAGATTCTAAGGATCCATCGGCCTGAGGGGAGTTGGGATTCAATTATTGATATTGGGTTGGTGGTTATGAATGGACATGATTAGGTGCATTGGATGGCGGGCTTGTCTCTACATTTACGTCTATCATAATGATTCAGTATTGTTTCTGATGAAGTTGGCCTAGTGCCATGTCCTGATATGATCAAATGTCACTGCCAGAGTACATAAGGAAATGACCCCGAAAAAAACGCCATATTCATCCCAGCACCTTCAGTCTACCATCCCATTCTCTGTTCCATATACTATCAGTCTACCTACTCAAGGTTAAGTGGATATTTCCTCAAGTATTCCTCCAACGTGGTCAAGTCCCCCCTCGCCTGCTCCGCCGACCATTTCACCTTCTCCTCCGTCCCATCCCCATAATACCCATAGACCCTGAAAAGCGTAAACATATCCACAATATAACCCCTCATCAGCTCCGGCAAATACGTCGCCCAAATCTCCACCGGCACTTCACGATACGTCACTGTCTTCCCTGACACGCGGCTCATAGTCTCCACAATTTCCTCAAAACTATACAGCGCCGTAGCACAGCAAAGTACCTTTCCCTCATACTGATCAAAATCCGCCAGAATGGCAGCTACCCACTTCCCCAAATCAGCCTCTGTCTCAATCAACGGCAGCCTTATATGAGCCGGAACAGGTAAAAGCAAGGCGTAGTCGCCATTCTCCATGCGTCGTGGAGCCATGGTATCATGGAAATTCGACATGAACGAGCCCGGTGCGACAAAGGCGCTTCGAATCGGCTGCGTACGGATGTACTGCTCGACTTCCTCTTTACCGTCGAAATGGCCGCCATTTTTTAGCCATCCTTGGGATATTTTTGAGATGCTAGGCAGCGTGGAGTAGATGTAGAAGGGCACCCCCACTGCGACCGCGGCGTCGATTAGGGCGCGGCCGTGCGCGACTTCGTGCTCGTAGGTGTGGCCGTCGTAGATGGTTGGGGTGTTTGCGAATACTGTGTGTGCGCCTGTAAAGGCGCGTTGGAGGGATTCGGGCTCATTGAAGTTGGCTGCAACGATTGCGATGCCTTTGGCTGCTAGTGCTTGTGCTTTTGGACTGTTGGGGTCGCGTGTTGTGCCTCGGATGGTATACTCCTGGCTGAGTTTGGGGTCGGAGAGGATAGAGTTGATGATGGAGCTGCCCTGTTGGCCGGTGGCGCCTACTACCACTAGGACCTTGGACATTGTGGTTAAGATGGTCTGGTTCGGTTTGATTCTGTCGTTTCTAGAAACTGTCGTTGCGAGGTGGTGACGCACGAGTCCTTGCCATTTGTAGGGGGCAAAGGAGTCAGTCGTTCGTATTATTCCTGCTGCGCAAACACGGAGACCGAGCAGCGCGACTCTGCATCTCGGAACAAAGAACGGAGTCCGAAGATAGTCAGTGGGCGATATTCATCCTTGTTCACTGTGGATCCTCGGATTTGCTCTTAAGTCCGGCCGCTGGTGTCATGATGATCTTGGCTCCGGTTTCTTGATATTCCCCGAAAGCATAATCATTTCTTTCTACGGCTTCCATGGCTGTCAATTGAGTTTGGCTGTCCTCGGTTCGCTTGCGACAGTTACATTTGGGCAGTCATCTGGAAATCTGGAGATACCGTTATAATAAGCAGATTCTATTGATTTGCTTCTTCGGAGTCAGGGAATGCTGTCGGTAAATATTTGTGACAATCCAGATATCACGCGTAAAGGGATCTGCTGGGTAATTAGTGAGTGTGGCACCGCCATCCATACGAGCGGCCACGGAGATGGCGCAAAAGGAGGTCAAAGGACTATCACGATTCGGGATCTGAAATGTGGCACGTCAGGTAGTTGACTTCAATGCAGGGATTTTGAGGATGCCATTCCATAAAGACGCTGCCGGTCGCAACCAAGTGAGAATCCTTGCAGAAAGCTCGTATTGCATCAAGTCGGCACACGTCACGTCCTGAACTCAACACTGCGTAGTCAGGCGATGCTGAGGGAGGGGAGGCTTAAGTCTACTTCAGTATGGTTGTCCTGCTTTCTGAAGAACACACGATGCTTTCGAGACGCCTGTCCGTTTACTGTATCTTGAAATGACTTGTGAGAGGATTTGCTTTACTGTAAGCTCTTACAGCATGGAGGCAAGACTCGTCTCGTAGTGTCAAACACTCATTATATTATAGTAGTATCTACTATCGGAATATATTACTAACCCAAGACCAAGCCTGGGTGGATAGTATATAGTGTATCTCACAAACGTGGGAACTCTTGGTAATGGGGAGAAAGTGATGAGCTTGATAATATATGGTAAGCTTTCGCGAAGCACTGTGAGAGCTACAAACTCATACATGTCAGTATGCCCAGCGATATTCTTCTTCATATTCGAACTATATGGATTTGGTAGTTGTGCTTCGGGCAACTAACCATCCTCTTGTCATTAAGACTGATATGTAGAGTGAGTCTCATCGGCTCCAGCACGAATAATGGGAGCTACTTGGACCGTTCAGAATTGGCCTCTCATTTAGTGCCTTTTCCGCCCGACAAAGCATGAAACCAGTATGCAAATGGATATGCGCGAAATCAGAGTCAGACTAGAACTGTGCATGTAAAAGCGGCCAAGCCTCTCACATGCCTTGAATACATCGAGTGGCCTGCAAGTCCAAAGGAAGAATTGCGGAATGACAAATCAACCGCTGTAACAAGCCTATATTTATCGCAGTCCATCTGTCAGTCATGGATTGGTGGGCAATCATCCGACGTCAGTTTCCGTAATTGTGTTGTCGACTCGACCAATAAGCCGCGGGTGCTCAAAATTTCCCGAGCAGGCGGGCTTCCAAGTCTTTTCCCGGTTGTCATATGAAGCACATATATTATTTGTGGAATTGTGGAGTGCGTCTGCTGTGATCCTTCGGCATGGCTGCGAGGCTTACAGCATGCGTAACATGAGCGCCTGTCATCCCGCCCCGTTAAGGCTGTATGGGGGTTGTCTCTCTTGTATTACTCCAGTAGGTTATCAATCGTTTTCCATAATGAGTGAGTTTGTTCTGCTGCTGGCGATTACTTTTATGCTTTGCCCTTAGGCGGGATGAATATTGATAGGGAACCAGTGGTGTGCATCCATAGGCCGTGGACCAGAATAAATGGCGTGAAAGGCTCTATAACCAGGTGTAGGTAAATTAACATCCACTACATTGAATTGATTGTGCACTACAGGTGTAGTCGGTCTAGGTCGTGATCTATTTGGATTTCCCTACCATTAGATGGAATAGGGTTCCCGTTGGTGTAGTCATTGTAAACCTGGCCTAGCACCTTCTTGAAGGATTTCATCCACTATAGGTCTCCCGTAGGGGTAAAGGCAAATTGAATAGTTGCGGAAATGTGCAGATGACAGGGAATGCCCCGCCTCGCCCCTTTTCCATCGTTGCCCACGCAGTCGAATGGATTGTCCGCGTGATATATCGACAGGCGCATTGACAACCGAGAGACTTTGCACTAGCATGGCTATCTGCAAGTCTGATAGGGCGTTTATCTAAGGTTCTCGACGTTATCATCGTCGCTGCTATGTGTCTCTTAATTGTGCGTTCGTAGCAACTTTAAGCTCCTACCGTTCGTGTAGCAGGTTCTGGCCCAGACTTGCTGGTGCCAACGTATAAACCAGCCACACGGTGTATCCCAGCCTGATGTTACGCATACCTTTTGGACAATTCCTTTTCAGAAGGCGACTGCTGGATGACTGTCCCTGGCATTAGTAGGATGCCTGTGTCCCTTTCTGACCCTGACCCACGTGGTTGTTATTTGAATGGCTCGTCTTCCTTGCAGCACATCAGCCCAGATGGCAATCCGACCAGGGTTACTGACAAATTATGGAGTGATAGAGAGTTGACCTGTTCATCACAAGGATGAGCTTAGCCATGGTGATAGAGACAGTCCAGGAAGCATGGGTGCCTCGGGTTCGACTGGCTATCTCTGACCGCTCCCCTCTGAATCCAGATACGGTCGCAAATCAGATACACCAATGAGTCCATGGCAATATTCGGGTCCCGGGCTGCTTCGACCACCGCGAGTGACGTAGGCGTCATGAGGCAGATGCATTGCAGAGGGTTCGGTTTGGAATCGCGATATTGAGGAACTGGTGGGGTAAGGAGAAGCCCTGGCTTCCTCTATCTGGGGCTCATTGGGTGGCTTTGTAGAGTGGTGTTAGCACTGGTCTCAGTATGATCCGACCCGAGATTGCTTTCCATCCTTCAGGGCCATTGAATTAGCATACTACTGGTAGAGAAAGACTTCATGGCGGAGGGGGAATATCAGAAGAAGAGAAAAAGAAGGCCGGCAGATGGCGGGTCGGGCCGGAGTCCGTCTTCTTTTCTCTCCACCGCGTGATCGGATCCTCTCCTGCCTTCAGCTTTTGCCCTCCTTTTTGCCTTTTGCCTTTTGCCTTCCCCATCCTTCATCCCAACTTCGTTCGCGACAGCCACACTCCTATCTTCCACCAACGCGAACCCTGCTGGTCAAGGCGCGCACGGTCTTCCATCAACTCTAGCCCCCCCAACAACATGCAGTCCAGATAGCTGGTATCTTTACTAGGTAAACAGCCAATCCCATCCTCTCCAGGGAACATAGCCGCCCAACTCAGTCATCCATGTTGGAGGGAAGTCAGGCTGATGTCATTTAGCCGACAATAGTCTGTGTAGATGGCTCCGATAGATCCGTTCAGAGGATTACTACCTGGGAGGGGCTTGACGGTCGCATCCCCCGTCAGACTGATGAGCAATCCCCCGATGCGGCAGAGCCTCATCTGAACGTTCTTGCATGTGAAATGGAGATAATTCAGGTTGAATGGTGCCGTCCGCATGTAAGATTCTGGCCTTGCTCTTTTCCCAGGACGGCAAGCCAGCGCGAAGGAGTCTGGCTGAGCCTAGAGATGACGCCGCGAGGGGCTGCCACCCTCCCCCTCCATCGCAATTAATCAGCCGCGTTCCTCGTGCGCTATCTGCGACAAAGTTTGACTAGTATGCTCGAGTGCACGCGGTTCCAGATAGCGTAGCCTATGCTGCGTTCCGGAGAAACTTGACTTCGGGTCGCTAACAGCATCCTTCAATCTTATTGGCTGTCAGCTCACGCTCGAGGGTGCGTAGATTCAATAATGTCTTTGTTCGGCCTGGAGGAGAGCGAACAGCCCTATCCCACACCCGGGTCTTGCCACGATGGGTAGGACCCGATCAAGTCGCTGATCTAATAAACACCCTGTGGTCGTTGATCAGCGCGTGCCAGTGTCGATCGATCGCATCCAGCTGGTCTATTCGATCCGGTTTGTAGAGAGTAGACAGGTGTGATGGGACACGAAGAACGGTGCCCTTCAGCCAGCCCAGTTCTGCTAATCTGAAGACTTTTGGTGGCGAATTCGGCGTAACCATCTCCGATGATAGCATCGTTGGCTTGGAGAGACGGTCGGTTGTAGCCGCCAGCCATGCATCCTCAGATTTGAGAAAGAGGCCATGACAGAGCCGTTGTTGGGAACGGGGCGATGATGGTTCAGGGCTTACGCAGCGGATGTGACTGGGACCTGCAGCAGAGGCCGTGCAAGGGAAACTTTTCTGATCTGCTGTGAAGGTGGCTTGCAGCGACCTGACTGGGGGGAAAAGAAGGGGACAGGGTAGCACGAACCATGGGGCGTGGACAGGCCGTTCGTGTTAGCTTGAGGCTGACGGACGAGAGTTCATCTGACAGCATCATGGGGGGTCGATCAGAGCGTCTAATGCTTGCTAGTGGCTGTCGACATGAACACCCGTCTGGCCTGTAGGGCACCACTCACTAGCCATCACATCTCCAGCAATGGCCTGTTCAGGCACCGCTCGGCGCCAGCTCTGCCCTTCACTTCCTCTAGGCCGAGAGCTGTATCTCAGGAGTAGTCCTTCACCTGGGCTCCGTTCATCATGTTTCCGTTTTTGAGCAGACAAAAGCTGATGTTGGACAGGGTCTCTAGATAGTAACTTGGCATGTTCCTCCTCTGTCTATCTCCACCCCTTCTCGTCACCCTCAAACATTTGTACCTCTTTGCCTATATAACTCTCGTAATTCCCATCACTTCCTCTACACAAGATATCCTTGACTATTGAGCATCATTATTCTATCATCCACACTCCCTCAGCCAGACTCATCGTTCCATCTGTCCAGGATCTCTGGTCGCAGCCTTCTTCCTTCACCCTCTTCATAATATATACAAAATGAGCAACATCTTGGATAGCTTCCCCGAGTACGCCCAGACAACATCTCTGGATCATCTTCGGGAGACCCAGTATAGCTACTTGGACGAACGGGGTCACACATACCTCGACTACACTGGCTCTGGCCTCGCCGCCAAGGAACAGTATCATGCCCACAACGCACGCCTCACGGAGCAGGCATTTGGCAACCCGCACTCCGTCAGTCCCACTAGTGAGAACTCCACCCGACTTGTCGAGCAGGCGCGCGCCCATGTACTCTCCTATTTTAATGCCTCGCCCGACACGTATACCGTCATCTTCACTCAGAACGCTACAGGAGCAGCACGTCTCGTTGGCGAATCCTACCCCTTCTCCCGGCAGAAACAGTTCATCTTGACGGCAGACAACCACAACTCTGTAAATGGAATCCGAGAGTACGCCCGAGCAAAGCATTCACGCACCGTCTACGTGCCTGTGCAGTCTCCAGACCTCCGAGTCAGCCCAGCCACTTTGGCATCGGTCCTCGGAACCCACTGGTGGGAGTGGGGACGGGACCGACTAGCAATGACCAAGGGAGGCCGTCCAAACCGTGATCGGGGACTATTTGCCTATCCAGCCCAGAGCAATTTCAGTGGAGTCCGCCATCCCCTCGAATGGGTGACATTGGCCCAAGAATGTGGCTTCGATGTGCTCCTAGACGCCGCCGCGTACCTTCCCACCAATAAGTTGGATCTGTCCGACAAAAACCCCCAGCCCGACTTCATCATGGTCAGCTGGTACAAGCTCTTTGGATACCCCACCGGCCTAGGCTGTCTGATTGCCCGCCGCGATGCTCTGAGTCGCCTCTCGCGGCCCTGGTTCTCCGGTGGGACAGTCAAATCGGTGGGGGTAGCGCTGACCTGGCATATCCTGGCCAGCGACGAGGCCGGGTTCGAGGATGGCACCCTGAATTTCTTGTCCATTCCGGATATTCAAGTGGGTCTGGAATGGCTGGAGCGCGTGAACATGTCCTTGATCTCCACCCGAGTGCGCTGCCTTACAGGCTGGTTCCTCCAGCGGCTGCTCGAACTCAGACACAGTGACGGTTCCCCGATGGCCGAAATTTACGGGCCCACCGACCTCAAGCGCCGAGGCGGCACCATCTGCTTCAACTTTCTGGACGCCAAGGGAGATATCGTGGATGAGCGACTCGTGGCGCAGGAATCGGCAACCGCCTCGATCTCCTTGCGCACTGGCTGCTTCTGTAATCCGGGGCCCGCAGAGAAGGCTTTACGGCTGGATACGCGGCCGCTACGGCGGATGCGACGTCGTCTCCGCAAGGGCCTGATCCCGCTGGAGACCTACATGAGCATCGGACGTCTTCCGTCGGGAGGGGCCATCCGCGTATCATTTGGCGTGGCGTCGAATACAGCAGATGTAGATCGATTTTTCGACTTTGCTACCCAAACCTACCGGGACCGGGTGCCTGATACCAGTGGATTCAGCCCGCGTGAGGGGTGCTGACGGGGGTACTCAATGAGGATGTGTACATGATTATCGAGTCGATTTGTTATCGTAATGTCCTGTGTATAGTGTCATACAGATTACCGTGTTTAGAGTAACGGCGTTCCCATTGGTCTCTGCATTCCTGCGCTATTGATCGTATTCCCTGCTAGGGCGTGTCCGTCTTACTAGGATGGGGACCAATATTTGGGTCGAATCGTAGTCTCACCCGGTCAAAACGCCCCCCACGCATGTGAATCTGTCTTAGATCGGCTATCTGGCCGGGATAGACTAGCGATCCCACTATGCTTGATGCAGACAAACCAGGAGGGGTCGGATGTCTCGGGGTCGAGATGAATATAGGGCACCTCGAACCGGGGGGGCAGCAGCAAGCTAGTAAGCCACGATGGTGCTCCTTCGGACTGTGCCTCCATCCAATCACTGTGGGCATGTGGTATATCTGGGCTAGCTGAGACCAGGCCAAGCATCCTGAACAAAGCTATTGATGTGATGAAAGTAAAGTGCTGTTCATCATCCCTCCTCCGAACTGCACAGCCACATATTGATCGGCATGCGCCACAGCCTCGTGGGCGTTGCTTTTTGCTGCGGTCGATCCTCTCGATCGCATCCGCTGCGACCCATGATGTGATTTACTTTGCGTCGCATGAACCAGTGCCTTCCCTTCTCCACTTTTAGTAAACCGGTTTCGATCTAGTTCTCCCATTATCGAGAGGGGTTGGACCCCGAGCCCCCGAAGGATCTGAGATTCGATTGTTTTGTGGCGGTGCTGGGAATCGTCGATCACATTCCTCCATCTTGCTGATGCAGGGATAATTACTCCACCACGCTGCTACTTTGTACATTTTCATCTTCAGCCCTGACACATGTCTGACTTGCGTACGCAGTACATCTACATCTACACGGAGTAACTATCTGAGATGTCCAGCCGTCCATCAGCTCAGCCCTTTCTCTTCCTGCTGACCCACCATTCCGAAACAGGGCATCGGTCCCTGCCAAGACCTTGCAATGGCTTCCTTTTCTCCTGCTAAGCGCTTGCTCCCCTCCGCTCGAGCGCATCGCATGTAACCTGCCAGTGTCTCGCGGGATCATCGGGTGTCATCTGTCAGCTGCAGCATATGCATGCAGCGGGGTATTACTTTGCGACTAAATATGCTGTCTGCTGCCTTCGTTGCCTAACGCCTGAATCGCCTTCGTTGCCTTCGCTTAATAACCTTGATTCTTGGCTACCAACCTACCAACCATCCTTGTAGCCTTGAACGCGTCAGCTTGGAGCTAGGGAACGGGTTGTGAGTGTGGATGGCTGAGTCCATGGTCTAGTACGGTGCCAACCCTCTCCGGCTGAGACGGCAGCTCTTGTCCCTCAGGAAGGTTATTGTTATGGGGTAGATGTGTACAGTTTGCCTAGCATGGATATAATATGGTATAATATACTGCCATCCCTGAGAGGATATTATTCAATGCTAAGATTTCTGTAATTTTACTTTTGGTCCGTGAGACGCAGTATAGTAATTTGTCCCGTAACCAGTCCGACTGCTTATAGGATATAGCCTTCCACAATGTTTTCACCTATTGTTTCTCCTCATCAGTATTTGTCTCGATCAGCTACATCTCAATACACAAAGATATCGTATCCATAGCACCTTAATATGCCTTAGACCCTAGTTCGATGATGGATCGTAGAAGGACCGTTCCCGTTCCCCACCGCAGTTTCAGAAGGTTTCATCTAGAAACACCCGATATTAAGCTTAACCTTTTATAATTTGGTCATCTTCCACGACCACTTGCACATTGCAGCATCATTCACACCTGGCGTGTTCATTTCCATTCATTCATTTTATACGTTGTTTTCGATCTTATTCGTCACTCCTTAGACTATACAACCTTAGCCAATATGTTCGCCCCAACCACTCTCCTCCCCCTTCTCGCTTCCTCAGCGCTGGCGCTGCCCGCCCTCACCACCCGCGCTCAAACCCAATCCTCCACCTCCCTTTGTGGTGACTACGACTACATCATCCTCCAGGACTCGCCATGGATCGTGTACAACATGCTCTACAATGCCGACGAGATCGTCGGTACCCAGTGTACCGACTACGGCGAGATGACTACCTCCACGAATGGCACGAAGGAGGTCGTTTGGAGTAGTGTGACTGATATTGAATATGTGGAGAGCACGTAAGCCGCCTTCCCCTTCTTTCCCTATCCCATACTGCTAAATGTATCACTAACAATGGGTATAGGAACAATGTCCCTAAGGGATACTCCTTCGTCGGACTGACCCAAAACCTCGAGACCAAGATCTCGGCTATCGAATCCATTCCAGCTGAATATACCTGGTCGAGGACGAACTCTACTGCTTTCAAGGGTAGAAACCCCTCACTTCTCCTGACTCTTAAAATCAATTCCAGTACTAATAAAGATGATGATGATACAGGCAACGTCTGCTTCGACTTCATCACCTCCCCCACCAAGGGCGACTCGACCTCCACCTCTGCCCACGAACTCATGCTCTGGCTCCAATACGAAGGCGGCCAGCTCCCCATCGGCTGGACTAACGGGGCCGTTGCCACCATCGATAACCTCTTCGGCACGTCCTGGAAGCTGTATGAGGATGTGAACGAGGATTCGGGCGTCACTGTTAGCTCGTTGTTGCCGGATACCCAGTTCGAGGGTTCCTTCGAGGGTGATCTCAAGGAATGGTTGTTGGAGTTGGTCCAGTTGGGCAAGTTTACTAAGGAGGCGTATGTGAACGTTGGGAACGGAGGGTGAGTTTTTAATTCTTCTTTCTTTGGCGGAGATTGGGGGAAGAGACGCTAACAGTGGGGTGTGAATTAGTACCGAGTTCTTCTACGGTAACTCGGTTATGAATGCTACCCTGGGGTTGCAGATTAACTTGGATTAGATTAAGGGGGATTTATGAGAGGGTGGTTTTTGTGGGATGTACTTCCGTTCAGGAAGTGGTTTGCGTTTGCATTCATTCATGGACCATTGAACTCTATGGCTGGGATCGTGTAACCTTGGTAGTACATATACCCTGTGGCTCAAATCTGCTTCAGGTGTAAGATTAACCTTATTACCTAATTTGTTTCTTGTAATATGCGAACCACCTGTGGTCGACAATCTGCTTCAGGGCGATCGTTCTAGCAGGAAGCATTCCTTGGATTATTGAAAAGAGTTGTATTCCTGTATTAACCTCTCCCTTTCCTAGTATATTCAGCGAGTTTTCAAGTAGTATATACACTTATGAGGCTTGGCGAATGAGGTTTCTTGTATCTTTCGATTCTTTGTTGCCTGGTGGATGGAAGAGAGACAACCAAGGAGATAAATATATACTAATAAAGAGGAACACCATTTTATTTATATCCAAGCGAAAATGCGGCATGTAGTGACTTTATCCAGGAATAAGTGTAATAGATATATGTGAAACAGCAATGCCACCCTACAAAGACTAGATACCCCCAGAAGCCATCAAGTTCCTTGGCTTGGCCGCGTCTAGAGTATGGCCCCGCGTTGAACTACATATACAGTAGCGAATTATAATGACATGTTTGTCACGACTTACAATTCACAATCTGTTATTGATTCACGTGACATCCAAGGCACAATATAGCTACCTAGTACAACCTACTCTATCGGGTAGTCTAGTCCATAGAATGAAGTAAGCGAGCCATCTATGCGTTAACTAGTTATCCGAGGCGACACCTGACGAATAAGTAGATGGATGGATGGCCACAACAGGGACGGAACCGAGCGGAATCTTCCTCTTCCGCCCGGGACCCATTCACGTGACTCAGCGAACAACACACGCGGCGGAGATAACAGCCGGCGATAACAGTCATCCAGAGTCAAGTCTCGGCACATTCCGATGTGCGCAACTCAATTTTACTCAAATGAAAAACCTTGCCTCTGCCTCGCCACCCGCCCATCTTTCTCTTGAGATACTTCATAGTAGTGAGACTATGTGACCGGTTTTCGATGGGGGCTTGATGTGTATCCCCTCCTTGCGTAAACAGATTGTCCCAACCACTTTAGCAAAATCCAAAGCAGTTCGGATACCACTTTTTGTGTGTTTCATATCGGAGCCTCAATGAATGAATACTGGCGTCCCGCCATGATCTTGGCGCTGGTGTTTATTTTGTTTATTTTGTATATTCCGTATATTCTTGAATCTGTCACCTTCGATTACAAAGCCTTAACCATTGGTACCACCGCTCAAGTATGGATCCTAGGGAATGTTCTTCGTTTCGAGAACCATTCCTCCGGCCCAGGACTATCTATCTAGCTGAATCCAGTAGAGGGAACCGGGCACGGATCCATCGGGACCCAAAACCACCCACCGAGAGGCTCAACAATAATACGGAAGGACAAAAGTAAGTAATCAGCGAGAAGACGGCTCGGAGTCGGAGGGGGCTACTCCGGTGAGAGAAAGAACAGGACACTTTCTATCCCGCCACTGTGATTCGTGGTTGCAACAAGTGGCGGGTACCTGCAGCACTGGCCCGGTTCATTGTTTGGCCGCTCGCTTCCCAAGTCGTGTTGCAGTTGCCACGCATACTTACCACACATTGCTTCCTCCCTAGCGAGGTTGCCACCCAGGCAATTGATTGATTGCCATGACCAACAGGACGACCATGGGTTGACTGGGAATGCAGTGTCACAGAAATAGCAGTTAGCCAATAGATTCCAGTCTTTTTTAACTAACTGCCATGATAAAAGGGATTGATAAAAATGCTTATCGAGATTAGGAGCGGCGACCAAAATAATAGCGATCTGCTGCACGATAGTGGGAAATGCTTGCTGCACTTTAGCTTTAAGCTCCTGGACCGGTGAGGCGACCGGCAGCTGTCTAGGCCTCAAGCTGCCTAGCGGATCCGGCCTCCGGATCGTGGGCGTTGTTGAGGGACGGCAATCGATGGTCACTAGATACCTACTTAAGTCTAGTCTGCCTGAAGAGCCGAGCAAGTGAGGAACGACAATTAGTCAAACCACATGGTTGATAGATAACTAGCTACTACCTACCAAGCTACCTATCGAGTTATCTGCCGAGTATCTCCTCGTTTCCCACGCGATTCTCCTGCGGGGAAGCGACCATCGGAGCTGGCCATGAGCTGCATGATGCCGTTCTTGTCGGCAGCCCCATCCGGCCGGGGACAGCGTAGCATCGGGGACGCTGGTAGCGACGGCGCCGTGCTTGGCGGAGCCCATCCATGGTTTCCTGGTGTCATCTTAACCTTCATGATTGGAGCGGACAGTCCGCCATCGGGGGAGATGACCAATTATTCATGGTCATCAACCTCGGGTGCGGTCCGATCAGCGAGTGTCCGGTGAGGAGAGGAACCCATTGCTTGTCTCAAAACGGTAGAAACATACGATGGGCCTCGTTGCTTGAGTTTTTCCCCACAAGCCCGGCCCTCTGAATCAGTGTTGCCTTCCACTTTATTATTCCTCGTCCCCAGAATTCTCGGCTTGTCACTCGTGCCTGTCCGAAACTCAATCCTGCTGGTGCCTCTCAAATCACCGTATATTTATTATCCGCAGACTTTTCCCGAATCTTCCTTTTATTCTCCCCCATCCCCCCTCATCATCTCCTCCTTCTCTGCCTCCACTCTTCTCCTCCGTCTCTCTTCTCCTCCTCTTCTCCTCTTCTGCTCACCTTCTTCCTCCCACTCCTCCATTTCCTTCCCTTACCTTCCTCCTCTCAATCACGGCCTGCACCTTGTCACCTCGCCACCATGGAGGCCGTTCATGACAGTCCCCCTCCCTACGCCACCGAAGGCATTGACGAGAAGAAGGAGGATATCAGCCAGGTGGAGCAGAATCTCAAGCCGGGCCTGGAGGAGTCCGACGCGTTCGGTAACGAGGAGTTTGCGGAAATCAAGTACAAGACCTTGAAGTGGTGGTACGTATCCGTCTCTTCCGCCTCCCACCATTGCTAAACTTCATCGCCGGCTAACACGTTCACAACAGGCAATGTGGACTGCGTAAGCTGACTCTCCACTTCTCTCTCTGCATTGGCAAACTCTAATACCCCCGCAGTCATGATTTGCGAGTCTGTCTCGCTGGGTGTGCTCTCGCTCCCCGCCGCCGTTGCAACCCTGGGTTTCGTCCCGTAAGTCTAGCCCGGAACGTGGATGCAACCCTTCCCACCCACTAACTCCCGTCGTTCAGGGCCGTCATCCTCATCGTTGGTCTCGGAATCCTTGCGACCTACACCGGTTACAACATTGGATTGTTCAGAGAACGCTATCCCCACATTCAGAACCTGGCCGATGCGGGAGAAATCCTGATGGGCCCTTTCGGCCGTGAACTCTTCGGCCTGGGCCAGTTCCTCTTCTGCATCTTCGTCATGGGCAGCCATCTCCTGACCTTCCGCGTCATGATGAACACCATCACCGACCATGGCACCTGCTCCATCGTCTTCAGTGTGGTTGGCATGATCATTTCCATGGTCCTCTCCATTCCCCGTACCATGAAGGGCATGACCTGGATTTCCTTTGCCTGTGAGTCTCCTTTGTCCGCTGCCGTGCGTACGCATTATCTCTGACTGGCTGTCTTGCCGTTTAGCCTTCCTCAGTATTTTCAGCGCGGTCATGATCACCATGATCGGTGTGGGTGTCGAGAAGCACCCCGGTCGCATCATCGAGGCCACCGTCGACACCACTCTCTACACGGCCTTCACCGCGGTCTCCAACATTGTCTTCGCCTACTGTGCGCACGTCGCCTTCTTCGGTCTTATCGCCGAGATGGAGAAGCCCAAGGACTTCAAGAAGTCGCTGTTCATGCTGCAGGCGTTTGAAATCAGTCTCTACGTGACTGCTGCCTGCGTCATCTACTACTACGTCGGCAAGGATGTGCAATCCCCCGCCCTCAGCTCGGCTGGTCCTCTTCTGAAGAAGGTTGCCTATGGAATTGCCATTCCCACCGTAAGTCATCCCGCTTGACAGGTGCTGTTTGTATGCAACGAGCACTAACGCGTTTGCAGATTGTCGGTGCCGGTGTCGTGAATGGTCACATCGGCTTGAAGTACATCTACTTCCGCACTTGCTCCAAGTCGGGTCTCATCCACAGCCGCAGCCGCCGCTCGGTTGCCGTCTGGATTGCCTTGGGCTTGGCCTGCTGGCTGGTTGCCTGGATTATCGCCGAGGCCATCCCTGTCTTCAGCGACCTCAACTCGCTTATTGTAAGTTTGGACCAGACCGTCTATCCTCTCGTACCGGCCGCTAATGACATGATTCAGAGCGCTCTCTTCGCTAGTTGGTTCAGTTACGGTCTCAGTGGCATCTACTGGCTCCACCTCAACTACGGCCAGTGGTTTGCCAGCCCCCGCAAGATCGCCCTGACCGTGCTCAATGCCGCTATCGCTGTGTTCGGTTTGGTGCTGTGCGTCCTGGGTCTCTATGCCTCGGGAACGGCCATCCACAACGATGCCAACAGCAACAGTTTCACCTGTGCCAACACGGATAGCTGAATATGCATTTATATTCTTCACATCATTCAATGGCGTTTTATGAGCGAATTCTTTTGTCGCGTGTCTGGGACCGCGGCAGATGACGGCGTGACGGTTTTTATTTTTGCATAACGGACTAGCTAATGATCTATTCATGATTTTATAATATGCTACCATATAAATCTATATATATACATTTATTTCTTTATTTCTTTTTATACCTCCAGGTGGGATACCCGATCGTGGTTCCTTTCATACTCGTCCACAGTGGAACGACCCTTTGAAATGGGTTTTCGCGAGCCCTGAAAGAGTTATTGCGAATTTCGTAATTTGTCTGCTCACGATCAGATAAGGCTCAGTCAGATGCATTAATATACTACTTACCTTACACGATCTCCATATTAGATGTTCCGTCCCCCATGTTCCTATACTACTGTTAACAAGCACTTAGTAAAGAGCGGCGCCCGGGACATGACCATTATCATCCTTGGGGCAATGTTGACCTGATACAAGGACTGCCTATCATCTAGTCAGGAGTTTTGCTCGCCTAGTATATGAAGTATCGTCATTGAATCATTTCCCTTCCAGTGACAGATGGAATGGAATTAGAGTACGCAATTGTTAGATGGGTCCAAGAGAAAGTGATTCCATCTTCATCATTGACATTAACTATGGAGTATATGAGTCAGGAAACACTGAGTACTACGAAGAGGGATATATAATATTCGAACTCTCCAGCAACAACTACTTGTTTCATGCGAGAGTGACCTACAGCTTCCAATAGAAATCGGATGGCCGATTGAGTGCTGGCACAACCGCGAGTATGAACGGGAGGGAAGGTGGAATTAACTATGCTCGCTGACCAAGCAATCTCGGCATAACTACAAAATACACTATACCTTTTCCGAGTTAGACATTCTTGTGCGGTTCCTCCTGCCTCAGGCACACAGGCAGCACCGTGCAACCCGGACAAACTGCTGGCAACCAGCGATATGCAACCATCCAGAGTCCTTCCCTTTTGGCCGTCGGTTGAGACCAAATGTTGCCATGCCCACGCGCGCAGAGTTGGCAACCCAGGCTTGTGACATCTGCCGGAAGCGCAAGGTCAAATGCAATGTGACTTCGTCATCGACCGATGTCCCTTCCAGATGTGGGCGCTGCGCTAGATTGGACCTGCCATGCACCTTTCTGTCTCCATCCCGGACGCGAGGCCCGAAGAAACGGTACGTTGCTCGGATCTGATTTGACAGTGAGTGGTCAATCGCTAACGCCCACCTCTAAGCTCACGTACAGGATCTCCGGCACAAGAACAGCCAGATTGGGGGACGGGGCCCAGCCGGGCTTCTGGTGCCGTCAATTATCCCACGGATGATGTATGCGATCGGCGCATGTTTTCCTGCATCATGCAGGACTATTTGGACTACCTGTATCCCTTGATTCCAATCGTACATCGTCCGTCTTTCCAACAGTCCTTGCAGCAGGACCGGGATCGTGAGGACAGCGGATTCCTCGGGCTCGTCACCGCCATCGCTGCGGTGGTTATCGCCACTATGCCTAGCAGATTTCATTTCTATCGATCTGCGACCCCGCCGTTAAGATTTACGTCGCGCAGGGACATGGTCCGTCATTGCTATGACAAAATCCTGCGGCTGAGGGACTCGACCTACTTTGACCACATCAACTTCCAGAAGTTTGCCATCTCATACTTGCTGTATGCTGCCTTTCGGCAGTTGGGTGATCATAACTGGTCCCGCATGCTAGATGTGGAGGCAACACAAATTGCTCGCTTGCTAAACCTTCATCGAATCTCTGAATATGATGGACTTAACTGCATTGAGACTCAACTGCGGAAAAAGGGCTTCTGGTTGATCTTCTACGGATTTGTGTAAGTGTGCATCACCCGGAGCGTAGCCGTCAGTCTCGCTCATTCAATCCAGTCATAATCAATTGCAGAACGTGCTAGGAGAGCGGTTGTCGTATCTTGACCCCATCGTTCTCCATTCCATTAACCCGGAAGATCTCATGCCACTCGAAGTCGATGACGAAATGATCTTCGAGAACGAGGTGCTCATGCCACCGTCCCATACTCCATGCCTGGTAACGGGGTTTATCCTCCATTCCAGGGTTTTCTGGGCTGCGATTAGGAGCACCTGTCCAGAATCACCGGCTGAGCCGTGCCCCTGTGTGAGGGCCCGCGATGCAGCCGTGCAGGTTGCTTACATCCAGGATCGTCTTCATAGTCTACGGTTTTTACTGGAGGATATCCCCCCTCTCCTCCGGCCATGGCAGCCACCAGATAGCCAGGCTATCTCCCATGAAGGTGGCAGCACTGGTGTTACGGAGATGACGCAGTCACACTTTGCTTCTATGCGAGCAAATTTACATGTCACGCACCTGTGGCTACAAAGCTTGCTTGTTGATCAGTTGGAGGCGGCGCAGGCGCACAAATTAGAGCCGTCACTAGTTTCTACCAACCACGTACAACCAATGATTGACGCAAAAGCGTTGTGGCTCCAGAGGGAGGGCCTTTGTCGTCAACTATTCTGCATCCTATACAGCCTGCCCCAGATCAACTTGGAAGCGAACGGTCTACATTTGGCGTACAAAGTGCGTGATATTGCGGCGGGCCTGCTGGTATGCCCATTTCATCCCGCCGGCCCGGAAGCGGAGCGAGCAACCGAGTATCTACGACAATCGACCGACATCTTGTCCCGCCTGGACAGCAGCGAAGGCATGGTCACGATGCATCTGCAGACTTGGATAGATACAGATCGAATCAAAAGTAGTTAATACTCGTGTCAGCGTGCTATTCTGTTGATACAGTTCTGCTCAGAGCCCCGACCAGAAAGTGGTCTCGCTCAATTCAATGGGGCTCTCCAAGAACGCTCCACGGCTACTGGTTCCCAGCATGATTCGATAAGTGCCACTGTGACTGCACCAGCTACTGCTCTTCTCATCCCAGAAGCTTGTCGCGCGGACAAGATCTAGCGGAATCTGCACCACGTCTTCCGCACCAGGCTCTAACCAGACCTTTCGGAATTCCTTCAACTCCTTCTGTGGTCGCTTGATCGGCGGCGAGACTGGGGCCACATATAATTGTATCACCTCCGCTCCAGCCCTGGATCCGGTATTGCGCAATGTGCAGATGGCATGCAGTGAATTGGAATCCCTTTCGAAGGACAGGCCCGATAGTTCGAACGTCGTGTACGAGAGACCGTGGCCGAAAGGAAATAGCGGATCGATCTCAATCTCATCATAGAATCGGTAACCGACATAGACGTCCTCACCATACAGGACTCTACCACCCTCGGATCGGTAGTTGAAATAGGTAGGGTTGTTTTTGACGTGGCGGGGGAATGTGAGTGGAAGTTTGCCAGACTACGAACGTCAGATGAGTTAGCAGCGCCAGAAATGGCTGGAAAGGAAGAGCTTACCGGGTTCACATCACCGAAGATGACATCTGCAAGGCCATTACCAGTTTCGTTACCCCCGTACCAGGCGTGCAGCACAGCCTTTGCGTTCTGAATCCAGGGCATCTCCACGGGAGTTCCGCTTTGCAGAACTACGACAGTATCCGGGTTGACCTCCAACACACGAGAAATCAATTCATCTGTATGTGGTGGCAGGCCCATGCTTGTGCGATCCTCGCCCTCCGATTCCCATTCTGCACTCAGCCCCGCCACGAGGACGACCTGGTCCACCGATGCAGCCAGCTGCACTGCTTCTTCGATGCCTGTGTGAGGCGAGAGCTGCTTACAAGCGCCGAATCGGAAGCCACCGTGACCAAAGTCGACTACCCCGGGAACCTTGAATGTGCTCGTTTTAGCACATCCCCACTGCACATGGACCTTGTACTGCCGGCCGGCCGTGAGTTCCAGTGTGCCTCTTTCTTCCATAGTGCCGCTCCCGAGGAAGCTAGGTCCCGCCCTTTGTACATCGGCGTTATTGACTAGCAGTTTGCCATCCACAAAGAGCTTGCCTGTGCCTTGCACACAAAGACCAAAGTCGTACATGCCGGATTCCTCTGGGACAAAGTATCCCTCCGCGTCCGCAAACCACACGGGTTGTAGCTTTGGATGGTTGTAATCAAGGAAGAATACCATTGAATCTGTTTCGTGTCGTTCCTCTAGCGGTACTCTGTTCGCTACGGTAGGTGGATCATTGAAGATTCTCAAGGTGAACCCGGTAAGGCCATCGTGAGTGCGCAGACGTTTCCCCAGCAGGGGCAGGTTTTGATGTCCGTATATCCCCTGGGCGAACTCCACGCCGCCTGAGGCTGAGTTCGAGATTCCCTCAAAGGGAGTTACAGCTTCGTAGGGGTTGAGCGCCGCACTACCCCCTCCACAGTAGGTAGCAATCTTGGAATTAGGGCCGATGACGGCTATCTTCTTGGTCTTGTCTAGCGGGAGAATGTTGTCATCGTTCTTGAGCAGGACAACCGCTTCCGAGGCGATCTTCCTCAGTAGCTGTCTATCCTCGGCACGGTTCAGCTGCAACTCCGGGGCGCGCTCAGGAATACCTGATCGGCTGGCTTGCTGGACCAGACGCAGCACAGCGCGAACACGGGCATTTACCGTCGCCATGGGAACTTTATTTGCGGTGATTGCATGTGTCAGGGCACCGCCGCGCCATCTTGTTGGCCCCGGCATTTCGAGATCCAATCCAGCGTGGATGGCCTCGGATGTGCTATAAGTTCCAAACCTGCCAGCGAACGTCAGCGAGAAATTAATTTGGAGCATGCATGGCTGCAGCCTACCAGTCGCTCATCAGCAAGCCCTCCCAGCCCCATTCTTCACGTAGAATGCCCTGCAGAAGCGTCGGACTTTCTGATGCATGAACCCCGTTCACTTTGTTATATGCCGTCATGATCGCTTCCGGCTTTCCCAGGGCGATGGCGATCATGAAGGGCAGAAGGTAGATCTCCCTCAGCGCCCGATCGGTGAGAATAGAATTAACGGCCATTCGCTCATGTTCCTGGTCATTGCATACAAAGTGTTTGAGCGTTGCAACGATGTTCTCCTCCTTTAAGCCCTTGCAATAATGACCTGCTATGATTCCCGACAGCAGCGGGTCTTCTGAGAACGACTCGAACCCTCGGCCTCCCAGCGGGCCTCGCTGAATGTTTATCGTCGGGCCTAGGATAACATGAGCGCCTTTAGCCTTGGCCTCCGCCGCTAGCAGGTGTCCAACCTGCACAGCAAGATTTCTGTCAAACGTTGCTCCTATGGCTGTACCACAGGGCAGACAGGCTGCCGGAACGCTGCCAAAGAAGCGGGTGCCGCGGACGCCATTCGGGCCATCAGAGAGTCGAATGGACGGGATGCCGAGTCGGGGGATTGGGACGGTGTGCCAAAAATCGTCACCTAGCCAGAGGCTGTCAGCTTCCATTATGGTGTGCAGTTGTGCATTGCGAGACATACCCGTTAGAAGAGCAACTTTCTCATCTAGGGTCAGTTGCTTGATGAGCTCCTCAATATCGGCATTTGCGATTTGGACAAACGACTTGTCCGTCTCGGCGGCGGCATGTACGCAAGGCATGATGCTTGCAGTCTGCTACGGCCGTGTGGAAGGGAGTGGTATCTCGGGAGCTGGAACAAAATGCTCGCAGATTTCCAGCATGCTAACCGGCCATGGGCACGCCATCTAATTAAGTTCTTGCGGTCATGGGGGATGGACATCGCGGGTGCGTCTTACGGAGTACATGGGAGCTCGCACTCTGCCGACCGAGACCAGCATGAATGGGGTGATCTTTGGGTCGACGGGCCAGCTCCACCAGCTCCGGCAGTTCTGATTGCTTCTCAACGGCCATCCAGACCCATCTCGACTGGACTTTTAGAGCTTCTCCAATTCTCCGTTTCTCCGTTTCTCCTTTTCTCCGTCTGTCTCCCGACATGCTGGCCGATGCCCTACCCCGACTTCCCCCAGTTCTCCACACCTTCCTCACCTGCCGTACCCCAGCTGAACGTGCGTCGGTGGGTTCAGCACTTTGATGAGCCGTCCAGCATCTTCCACGCCATGGGTATGGGTAAACCCGCCTCGCTACGATTGGTGGTATTCACATGGCTTTGGTTCCCGAATTATATGCAGGGTTACGAGCTCACTAGTAGCATTAACGGCATCGCTCAACAGCCGTCCTGACCGAGAAGAGCCACACGAGGCGTAGCCAGCGGGGGTGCGAAGGGTTAAACCGCCGACATATCGACGCCTCCCAGGCCACCCTTGAAATAGCCTGTGCCTCCTCGAATTTTGCTTGTGCTGAGATTTAGTTTCTTTTCCAAACGTCGTCGAAACCGACCATGGGCATCAGCAAAGCAGACATGACGAGCAAACATGCAGGAGAGGACCACCTCGCGGCGGTCCTCCCTCCAGGTCCTGCATGGTACAAGCAGCCTCACTTGGTGCGGCTCAACCTCATCATTCTCTCATTGGTTATGTTCTCGTCCGCCAACGGCTATGACGGATCTCTCATGAACGGTCTTGAGGCCTTGGACCAGTGGAAGGCCTTTATGAACAATCCTACCGGAGCAAGGCTGGGCTGGCTGAATGCCATCTACTGGCTTGGCTGCGGCATTGGTTACCCAACTGCAGCCTGGATTTCCAACCGGTATGGCCGCAAGCCAGGCGTCTACATCGGATATCTCTTCTTGACGCTGGGCTGCGTCCTCCAGACTGCTGCTCCCAATGTAGTTGCGTTTATGCTTGCTCGGCTCTTTCTGGGGGGTGCGTCTGCCCTGTTCGGTAATGCCGTTCCTCTGCTCATCAACGAGATCGCCTACCCGACTCACCGCGGCATGCTCAACTCGCTGTTCATGTCCGGCTGGTATGTCGGTGGGACTGTCGCTGCTTGGGTCGTCTTTGCCTCTCGTACCTACGACTCTTCCTGGGCTTGGAGACTCCCTTCTGTCCTCCAAGCCCTAGTGCCCGTCGTTGGACTGCCGGGGTTCCTCCTGGCCCCGGAAAGTCCTCGCTGGTTGATCTCGGTAGGACGCAACGAAGAGGCCCGGGCAATCCTTACCCGCTATCACGCTGCTGGCGACGAGACCTCTCCCCTTGTGGCATATGAATTTTCCGAGATCAGTTCCACCATCCGAGCGGAACAAGAAGCCCACAGCAGTGCCAGCTACATAGAGATGGTAAAGACACCGGGAAACCGCTGGCGCCTGATGATCTCTATCACTCTGGGATTATTTGCGCAGTGGTCTGGCAACGGAGTGGTCTCGTATTACCTGTCGCTCATCCTGGACTCGGTTGGAGTCACCAGTGTCCGTGACCAGACGCTCATCTCGGCCTGTCTGCAAATGTGGGATTTGATTTTCGCTGCCCTGGGAGCGTTCCTGATCGACCGACTCGGTCGCCGCCCGCTGTTCCTGGCCTCGGCGGTCATCATGTTCGTCAGCTACGTGATGGTGACAGCGCTCTCGGGATCTTTCAAGGCGACCAATAACGCGGCCACGGGGGCTGCTGTAATTCCGTTCTTGTTTATCTTCTTTTCAGGATATTGCATTGCTCTGTTAGTACCACCACCACCAGCAGCAGCAACTTAGTGTTTACGCTAACGTGATGATCTAGCACACCTTTTCTTACCTCGTATCCCTGCGAAATCTGGCCGTTCCGACTACGATCCCGCGGTCTGACAGTCACCTGGGTGGCGACGATTGTCGGCATGTTTTTCAATACGTTTGTGAACCCGATTGCCCTGGACGCGATTGAGTGGCGGTATTACATTGTGTTTATTGTGGTGTTGGTGCTGTTCGGAGTGACTGCGTTCTTCTTCTACCCAGAAACAAAGGGATACACGTTGGAGCAGGTCGCAGTGATCTTTGATGGGCCAGGGGTAGAGAGGGGAGAAGATGAAGAGAAGAAAGTGGATAGTGTGCATGAGGAGAGTGTAACTAGTCCCTGATACTTTTGTCTGCGCTGTACTCCCACACTACATATCAACACAATATCATCGAAGATAGTAGTAAGTACTATCTTCCATCCAACACCCGCTCCACATCCCCCGGCAAATCATAATCAAACACCTCCTGCTGCTGCCTCCCAAGCAACCCTGGAAAGAACCCTACGCCCCAGACGACACACATTAGCATATTCCCCATACACAACATCACCAAAGGAGTAAATAGAAAGAGAACATACCCATAACCCACATCACCCAATACATCACCCACTCCCCAACCACCCCCATATCCCTCTTACTATTCTGCATCCCCCTCGCCCGGTCCAATATCCCCCTTACCCTCGGCATCCTCATCTCCACATACCGTTTACACGCCATCTGAATCGCCCGTTTCTCTCCCTCCACCCCACCAGACACCCCTAACATCAGTTGTTCCTGATACCCAATCCCCACCTCATGCGCCACCAACCTTCCCAAAGCCTCCACATCCTCCAACGCCTGGCTCGCCCCCTGTCCCGACGTCGACGGCAACGCATGCGCCGCATCCCCCACCAGCACCACCCCCTCCCTCTCCCAGGTAGGAAGCGGCGGACACGTCCAGGTCGGCCACATTGTCTGCACCTGCACAGAACGGATAATATGACGGACGAGAGGATCAGTCCATGACGAGAACCTGTCCTGGAGTTGGGCCGTCACATCATCCATATCTAGATCTTGGGTATTAGGTGGGGTGGAAGAAGAAGTAGGTGTTGAATATGTAGTCCACCAAGCTAATGTATCCCCGGGCGGGGAGATATGATATGCGGAGCAGCGATCAACAGAGGTAGTAGGCGAGCTAGTAGCGTAGAAGTACCCGAAAAACCCTGTTCCGCTGAAACAGAAGTTCATGGATCCTGGTTCCGGTCGGGGGATGGTTGGTGGGAGGGTGCTGGTGGGGAGGAAGCCGCCGATGCCGATTAGGCCTCTGATTTAGTGGTATTATTATTAGGATGTATGTTCATGGTGTATGGGTGGGGAAGGGGAAGGGGGGGAGGGTGGATGTATACTCGTAATGAGGGGGATACGGATCCCCATCGAAGAGGGCGTGTTTAGAAACACTCTTTAAGCCATCCGCACCGATGACAAGATCTGCGTGTACGGGCTCACTTCCATCAACGAAGGTGACTGTGTTGCGGTGGGTAGGGTGCGCAGTTACACTCGCTACTCGCTTATTGATGATGATGTTGTCTGGCATGCGTTTGCGCAGACATCGCCAGATGTTATGTCGGCTTGTGCCGAGGAGGTGCATTGGGTTAGTAGTTCCATCGCTGTCACTGCTGCTGCTAGTGGTGCTGGATGAAGGGAGTCGCATCAACACCCGGCCGTGTTTGTCTTTCAGGTTGCTGTGATCGACCATGTATCCGCCGCTGACTGCGTCGCGGAGAATGTCCTCGTCGAGGCGTTCGAGTACGCGGAGGCCGTTGGGGGCTACGCCGAGCCCGCCGCCTATGGTTAGGGTTGCGGAGTGGGTGCTGTGTTTGTCATTGGGGCGGTCGTCAGAGGTGGTGTCGATGGTGGTGGGGTATGCTTCGTAGATGGTGTATTCGTGGTCTTGGGGAGGTGAGGATGATGGGGGTGGTGGTGGGAGATGTTTCCGGAGGGTGAGATATGCGGCGCAGCCGGAGATGCCGGCGCCGATAATGATGATTTTCATGTTTTTGTCTTTAGTGTTGTGATGGTGGGGGGGAGTGGTTGGAGGTGGGAATAAGGTCGAGGTGGAGGAGTCATGATGATGTTGTTGCCTACGGGACGATCCGAGAGTCGGAAGTTTAATGCTTGTTACCCGGACGATGTCTACTTTTGGATCTAGAATTTGGTGCATGGCATCTAGCCTATGGTATTATTTTCAGACTAATGTACACAATGTACAGAATGGAGCTTTTCTAAGGAAAGGCCGGCAAGTATGAGCCTAGTAGATCGGGATGTCATACGCATCCAGATCATACAACCAGGTGTCAATCGACTTCTGGTCGTACACGCAGTCCATCACCGTGCCGTTGTTCTTCCACAGCGGGCGCAGAGGCCACGAGCAGATCTTCTGTTCCTCTCCCTCGTAGTCGCCGCTCAGCACCGTTCCGTTCAGAGTCACCGGCTCAATGCCCTTCTCGACCCAGTTCATCAGATCGCCGAGAGAGTTCTGGGGGTAAGGACCATTGGGCTGCAGGGAGTTGGTGTTGCAGTGGGAGGCACCGGGGACCAAGTAGAGGCGGTAGAACTCGTTCAGGGCTTCGACCGAGGCGTTGTAGGTCTTGTTGGGGAACATGGTGTCGCGGACGGACTCGAAGTAACGCACCGAAGAGGCAGGAGGGATGCTGTTGTCCGATTCGCCGTGGTAGTGGATCACCTTACCACCGGCAGCCTGGAAGCGGGACAGATCGGGCCAAGTGGTCTGCAGGACATCCTCGTAGCGCTGGAGACCCTCGAGCATCCAGTCACGTAGGGTGTCGTAGGTGACGTTGTCCAGGTTCGAGAGGTTGTCAAGATCCAGCAGCTGCAGTCCGTGAGTCACCCACTCACCACCCAGCTCAGAGATGTCAATCCCGTAGGTGCCGGTGGTCGAATCGTACGAGGTCTCTGCGTCGGTGAACTCGGAGCCAATGCGGTACCAGAAGTAGGCCTGGCGACCCTCAGAGTCCTTCAGTCCGTCCAGAATGGTTTGGGCGACGCGCACACCCTCAGCAGTGATGGTGCCGTTCTGGGCCGGGGTAGTCACACCCATGCTGGTACTGGCGTTGCAGGCGTAGGGCTTACCGATGGTCGACTTGAGGTCGAAGTTGAGCTGGCAGAGATCCGTGCGGGAGATGACGCCGTCCTTGCGGCCATCGAGCTCATCACAAGCGTCGATGATCAGAGTCACCATCTCAGAGAACTCGCAGTTCTCAGGGTAGTAGTCGAGGGTCTGCTCGACGACCTGGGGCACCAGGTGGTTCACCTGCTGCTGGCCATAACGGATGGCAGGGGCACCAATGACGGCACCATCCCACTCCTCGGGGAAGCGCTGCACCTGACTCCAGCCCTCACGGCCACCCTCGGAGCAGCCCTGGTAGTAGGCGTAGAGCTTGTCGGACATGCTGTAGAAGTTCTTGGTGAAGGCCTTGCCGATGGAGGACATCTCGTGGTGAGCCTGGTAGCCGAACATGTACAGAGCGTCGTAGTTGGCGGTACCGTTCACCAGGGGGTACACAGAGGAGAATTGGGTGTCGAAGCTGCCAAAGCCACCGTCGGTCCGGCCGGCGACGGCACCGTAGGGAAGACCAGCAGGCACGTTGGAGGCAACGTTGATGGCAAAGCCAAAGCCACCGGTGGACACCCAGCGGTTCTGGAAGTCGTCAGGAGTGGGCATCCAGAATTGCAGCAGGACGCTATCGTCCTTGCCCGCATGAGAATAAGTCATGGTGATATTGCAGTAATCATAGGTACCGGCCGGGTAGTAGTCGGAACCGGCGGTGGATTCATTGTAAACGGGGGCCGCGGTGATACTGGAAGGGTTGGTGACCACTCCCTGCACCAGGCCGGAGACAGGCACAGCGGCCTTCGCATGAGCAGTGGTACAGACATCTTCAAGAGTCGCGGCGCGCGCGAGGGCCGCCGCAGAGACGGTCCAGAGGAGGAACTTGGACATAATGAACGTATGACCAAAAGGTGAAAAGAGGGACTGAAGGAGGGACTGGTTTGGGTGGAAAAGATTGATTGCAGATGGGATACCGTAGCCATTATATACGCCTGAGAGGGGAATCGGATGGTTCTGCAACCACCGGGAGCAACGTAATCCACCCCACCCACGAAGCATTGGAAACAACCATCTTGATTGAGGATGCGGTCGTCCGCCGGTTCGGATGCAACCGAGAGAACGGATTCCGGCCGATGAACCTGAAATGGGCAAGGTTTGGATGCTGCCTGGAGACTGGCGGAGAAGGAAATAAAGAATGGATCAAGGATGACGAGGCCCTGCAGGTACAGGTTCTGCAACTGATGATCAGACGAGATCGGGGTCTCAGCGGTTGGCATGACTGGGGGATTAAGCTTAAAGCTGGTCCACCAGGAGAGGAGCGTTGAAACGGACTAACGTGGTTGGCGGCGATCATCTTCCGCAAAGGTGAAAGTCTCCGCCGCACCCTCCCGCTTTATCAGGAAGAATCTCGGCCAGGGCTGCTCGGTTCCTGCCAGAACTGCATGGGTTCCATGCATTGAGAACGATGCCCTGCGCTCTAATCTCCGAATCACCTCGGTTGACGTTGCCCAACACAGACAGCCAACCAATCCAGTGATCCCATGAGTAGACCATGAGACCCGGATTCTTCTAATCAATTACCCAATCAATATCCATCAATGTTTGGAGTATACAAGCTAGGGGTTATGGGCAGGTCAGGAACCGCAGTCGTACGAGGAGGAAGGTTGCAAGATGCGAAAATAGGCAAACTAAGTATGGTCCGGCTATCGGAGATGGGATGATTACAGAGGGTGAATCCAAATTGTACGCCCCAGCTGTCCTGTTGCATGCCATGGCTCTCGAAAGATATCCCAGACAGGATATCAGATCCTTCTCACAGACTGAATGTATTCGATTGCGACTGGCGTGACGACGAAAGCAGCTGCGAGAGGCCTAGGTAGCAATCAGAGCCATGGTCTGTTGTGGGGCAACACGTTGCAATTGTATTGTGAACCCTACAAGGTTGGACTGAAAGCAGTCAATCCATTGTGTTGGTTGGCTGCGGCAGGTTCGAAGCACGATTCCCTGCTTATGCCGCTGCTGTAGCTTGTCTGCAGTAGCAGATTTCTTCTCGGATGCTGCATCACCAGATAATGCCGACATCACCATGATATTCCGGGGTCACTGTTCCACTACTAGAATATGACCTTGTCCTCAGTTCTGCCCCAGACTGATTGACCAACAGAGGCAGTAAGCGGTATCCCTTCTTCTGGTCAGGAATCTGCAGAGTCTGCTGCTCTTGGGATGTTTCCGGCAAGCAGGGTCCCAATGCGCACTGAGTAGGTAGGTCTATGGTGGAATGATGCGTCCAGACCCACAGGGGTATTCTGGAATCGTCTAGTCTGATAAAAGGGTATATTTGTGGGGAGACCAACATGCAAAGGCAGCAGATGACTGGCGCAGATGCAGTTAGCACGTGACTCGCACGAACAATACTTGCGCCTCAGGCAGCCATTTCAGGGAGAACCGTGGATGGAACAGCCATGGAAGAATGGCACCTTGCCAGAGTTTTCTTCTTTCTTTGCATGCACGAGCACAATACCATTCCCAGTGGCTTTGTACAAGGGAAAAGAATTACCTAGCGGGCCCCGAGGTTGCCCGATGCAACCAGTGCTGCAATCGGACAACCTCTTAAGAAAGATGTTGCACTGGAGGAATCATCTCACACCGCCTCCAGAAGAAGAAGGACCATTTCTGCAACATGACTATTCTCGATCGGGACAGCATTTAAACCTGCAGAAAATCGGAGTCTCAAACAATGATGGCCAGTTGTTGCTTCGAGGATTCTAATAGGAATTTGCAACCGGCAATAGATTCTGGATTTGTCGTTTTACTTTGCAGAAATGTGCAATAGTACGTAAAAAGAACCACCAGTGAGATTCTCATGTCATGGAGACCTGATGTTTGTTTCACCAGTCTCTACTATATATATGTCCGGCTTCATCAATACTAGCACTACTCCCAAGATGAACTGAGTTTGTGCACGAAATGAACTTACTGTAGTGAACGATGAACCAAATCCACTGTCATTTCTCATGGTCAAATATGCAAATAAAGTATTGAACAAAGAGCGTCTGTCTATTATGTAGCTATCCATTCCGTTGAGACATATAACGAAGATTGGCTAAATACTGGTATAGCGCAGTCCGCAGCACTGTAAGGAAGCGTCCTAGCAAGGGGATCAACGACATCAGCAGCAAGGTTACCTGATACTACACGGGAAGCAAAGATGTGACCTCCATGGGAATAATCGGAGGGATGTAGATGCATTTGGCAGTAACTGCGCAGATGGCAATACCCGAACGAAGATGATATATCCGGACCGGTCAAGGATGTTACTGGTTGAGTAGCAGGGTATCTATCGATTACATTACAAGATTCCACAATTCGGTCGATTGCAATGAGCTTGATCATGCAGCTGGATGGAAAGATCTCAAGTCTAAATTAACATTTGTCTATCATCCGGGCCAAACCATGGCAAGCACACAAAAAGTTTTGAGGGAATATAAAATATGTATCAAGAAGGGAAAAGTCGACCGAAAAAGAACACCGGAACACAAAATCGGGGCTACCCAAAAAAAAGAGAGAAACTCCAATCACCCAGAGAAGAGGGTTGGCGGGGAGGGGGGAAACCCGTGTCATCCGTTCATTTCCTTACAAAGCAGCCAGGGTCATGAAGACGGCCACCACGGCACCGAAGAGGGAGCCGGAGAGGGTGCTGGCACCGCTGAAGGCAGCGGGGGAGGAAGAGCCAGCGGCCGCAGAGCTGCCGGAAGAGGAGGACTGGCCGGAGGTGGCCGAGGTGCCGGTGCTACCAGAGCTGCCCGAACCGCTGGAGCTGGAGCCCGAGCCGCTGGAGATGGCACCGGCGGAGGGACGAGCAGAGGCGGAACCGCTGGGGCGGAGGGGGTAGGTGCCGTTACCGAAGACAGTGCCGTTCACACCGGGGCGGCCAACGGTGAAGGTGGGCTTAGCAGAGCCGGAGGCGGAGGTGGCCCAGGCGGCGGCACCAGAAGAGGCCTGGGAAGAACCAACGGCCTTGCTACCGGCGGCGGAAGAAGCAGCGGCAGAGACAACGGCGGACGAGGAGGAGGTGGTGGAGTTCTTGCAGGACAGGTCGAACAGGGGAGTGGTGGAGAGAGTGCTGCCGACGATACCGAAGCTGGGGTTGGGGGTGTCGGGGGAGGCATCCTGCAGGATGTACCACCAGGTGTTCACGTTGCCGAAGAGAGGGCAGCCAACCTCATCCCAGAAAGTCTTAGCATTGGCGATGGAGGCGACGGCGTCACCCTGGGCGTCACCGCTGACGGGCCAACCAGTCTCAGTGATCCAGACCTCCTTGTCACCAGCGACCGCCTTGGTCTTGGCGACCGACTCCTCGAAGAGGGTCTTGGCGTTGTCGATGGAGTTGGCCATGGAGCTCTGGAAGAAGGGGTAGCCGTCAAAGCCCAGCCAGTCGACGGCCTCGACGACGGCAGAGTTGGAGCTGTTGGTCCAGGAGTCCCAGGTGTCGACGTGACCGATGGAGACGTCGGCGAGGGCGGTGCCGGCGATAACGGAGCGGACCTCCTTGATGTATTCGACGAGCTCGTCGGGGTTGACACCAACACCGGCATCGGCCTCGGCACCCTCGACGGAGTTACGGTAGAGATCCTCACTGCCGACGGAGATACCGACGACGAGCTTGCCGAGCTCCTCACCGTACTGAGAGATGGCGGTCTTCAGGGCGGTGATCTCGTTGTCCATGCCACCACCGGAGGCCCAGAGACCGAGCAAAAGGGAAGTATCCTGGGCAATGGCGGCGGGAATGGCCTCGATGACATCGCTGGTGGAATAGGCTTGCTATAGACGAGTTAGTAAATTGCACCATCATTGTGAAATCCATCTTTTTGATTTGGGGTAAACGTACGATCATGGTGTAGAGACGGGCGGAGGTGAAGCCGGAGGTGCCGACGAGGTTCTTGGCGGCCTTGAACTCGGCCTCGAAGTCGGCCTGGAACTTGGAGCTCTCATCGGAGAACTTGTTGCCGTAGTTGAAACCCTGGTAGGCGGCCTCGGAGGTGGCCAGGGTCATGGCGAAGGCGGCCAGCTGGGCGAGCTGCATCTTGGAGAGCATGGTGACGGTCGTGAAAAAAAAGAACGTAAGGGATTATCAAAATAATGGGTGAGGTAGGGAAAGAGAGTGATACGCTACACAGAGAGCTGAGAGCGAGAAGAGGGAGTGTAAGAAAGAATGGAATGAACAAGGAATAAACCGAGTTCTGAGTTAGAGAGAGAGAGAGAGATGATTGAAGAAGAAGAAGAAAGAGAGAGGAAGAAGAGGAGAAAGAGGAGGAGAAGAAGTAAGATGTATGAGGGGAAAAGAGAGAGCCGACAAGGGAAACGAAACTAAGGGAGGCAACCGAGACATTCTAGACTTCCAGCCCGACCAGATTGGCCTGAACCTGGAAATTCGGCTGCCCCGTCAGTAAATCCTGTAGCCAATGGGATGAGCTCGTGCCTGAGTTGGACTCCACCACACCACTGGGCGAGAGTGGATCTGTGGCTGCCACATGGTCCAATCAGGAATGTCCCCGCCGGGATGACAAAAGAGCGCAGTGGGGTCGGGGTGTGCTTGGCGAAAGCTGGTTGGATCCAGGGACAGCCACGAAATTGACACCCCGGCAGCCGAGTGGCAAATCACAGCGTGGCCTTGAAGACTAACCATCCAATAGTAACGAGATAAAAATAGCAAGCTATTCTTAGGGCCGATGCTTGTTCTTCACAAAAATAAACACACATTTTCATTTCAACGGTAATTAACTGATTTCACTGGATTAAATTGGATTCCCTGGCTGGGGTGGGGGGGGGTGAAGTTGCTTCTAGCCCCGGCCTTCTCCTTATGCCCCTGATTCTCTTTTTCTCCTCATTGTGGATATTGCCATGCCAGTCCATGATGGATTCCGGCACGGGTTCTTCCCTCCCCCCTCTCTCTTTTCCCCCCCCCTCAGTGGAGATTTCATTCAGGGAGGGGAGGTCACTTTTCTTCGGGTTGGGGAGGGAACATCCAGGCCGGGCTTTGACAGTACCGAATTAGGTTTTCCTGTGTTGGTTGACGGGAAAAATCGTCAGCAATCCTTTCCTCGTTGGATGATGGGTTTCCATGTTTGGCCCCAACCCGGATGACGCGGTCAGGCAGGAAATCCATGCAGGTACCGGTCCAGGCACACCCAGGGGTTCCTACAGTAGTGGAGAGTTACTGAGTTACAGAGTAGTAGTACTCCGTAGTTAGTTATCTATCAAAAATCCCCTGCTCGCACTGATCACATTGTCTCGTTGTCAGTCACCAGACAGGTCATCTGCATTTGCATCTGCATCATCGTCATCACAGACATCGAGGCAAGCAACTTCGAGAATATTTGGCCCCCCGGAGGATTGTGCCCTGTCTCGCGGAGGCTGAAACTCGACCCCAACTGTTGCACTGCCATACTTATACGTACTAGTAAGAAGTGTTGGTGTTTCCGATTGCAGAGAATAGAAATTACTGGTAGATCTGGTGGTACCTGAAAATTCAAATATATCTATTTAGTTCCCTATATTGATCTGGCAATCCTCGGAACATGGTTGCGACGGTGAAAATTTTCCATTGTAAGGGTAAGTAACCAAGTGGACAGGCACATGGCTTTGGTTGGGTGGGATCGAGATCTGACCGAGGTTACTTTTTGTTCCTCGACGGGATCTCGACGGTCCCTGAGAGGGACGCATCGAGCAAGGATCGTCCATCTTCTCCTCCACTTCCATCCACCTCCCAGACAGGCTCAATGCATGTACCTGCGCTGGCACCGGTGAGTTGTCTTATCCCATTACGACCCCTGAGTGGTGCCTGATCCAAGCCATTTCAGCAAGTACAAACATCATGCGACCGTGCAAAGTCGCCCTCTAGTTGTAGGAAGTGGCCTCGTGGAGAGTCTATCCAATGCCCCGAGATGTGCCGTTCTTCGTCACCTCCTCCTCGTGGGATTAAACCTTGGTTTTCTCTGGTGCAGGGTATCAGCGGTATCAGGTTATCAGCTGTGCCTATAGTTCTTTCCATGCTTGAGGACTAACGGCTGTCCCTTCAACCGGTGGCATGACGGGTGGTCGCCTTTATACCCTCTCACCTGGGCCGACAGCCCCCAATTCACAATCTGGTCAGCTCGACTGGGTCGGATCATTTCCCAATATCACGGTCGGGAATTGATTCCGTACACTTTTTAGAGACTGACACATCAACAATCAATCCAAACAAGGTTTCTGTAATCGTCTAATGGCACGATTCGCTCTCATCGGACTACCCGAATCAAAGAAGAACTGGCTGTAAGACATTCGTCCACGATGTCTGGTGAGATTTATCGTCAAGACACATGAAAGTTATCCAGACAGTGACTAGTGATTGAATCAGTTGTCTTGTTTGTTGACACCACATGGGATGGACACAGTTCATGGAATGACCTTCCCCTTCTGGCACCGCATAATGAACCGGTCGGGGGCCGTCTCACTGTAAAACCACCCCAAGCCTATAAATAACCTCAATAACGGCCACTCGTCGATCCTATGACGATCCTCCACCTTCACCATCTCATTATATGACATACCAAAATCTGTGGAGAGGCTTCCGACTTCATATCAAAACCTCGCCTGCTGCGGCCCCCAAGGCCCCCAGGTCGTATTCCCATTCCTTTCCGGATTCCTGCGGGCCGAAACGGTTCTGCAGGACTCATTTCTGGATCGCTAAACACCATCCCGGGTCTTTACCGGTCACTAGTGCTTCCTTTAGTTTTTCTGCCCTGCAGAGCATGGGGTCAGGGTCTAACAGTGCACAAGACAACGGTCGGGGGGTCAACCGGAATATCATCATCAGCTCAACGTGGCATTCACCACCTGTCCGGTGAATATACCCGTTTCTAAACTGTCTAGAAAGATCTCTTGCCAAATGAGAAGATGAGAAAATGGAAGAAGGATAGTGTTCAACATCTCTCAACAGCAGTGCTGAATATCAACTCCTCCGCTGATGAAACGGTGACGAGACATCGGATCTCTCGCGACAAGCTCGCTCCGACTCGACTTGGGGGCCAAGCTCCACCAGACCTCAATTCTCCCCGACAGCAAGTGAATGAAGATGATATGAAGCGAGGTGCCATCTCGCTCGACGATGAAGATATAAATTGCCTGCTCGCCCCGGCCATTGCTATCATCACCATCATCTTCCCTCGCATCGTTCCTTAAATTACCTGAATCACTTCCCATCTTCACTTGGCACCTTCTCATCATGGCATTCAAAACCACCGCCGGTCTTGCATTCCTCGCCCTCGCGGGCTCCGTCAAAGCCCAGTCCGTCGATGGCTCCAAGTACAACAGCCCGAGTAACGGTCCCCCGGCCAGCTACTTTGCCGCGGCCACGACCCTGCCCGTCGCGGCCTTGCAGTCGGCTGCAGCCAAGGCGAGTTCGGTGCCATCCAAGGCTACCTATCCCGTCAATACGGATGATGATTCCCCCAAGTCGACCATCCATAGCGATTGGGTGAAGTTCAATCAGGTATGTCCTAATTTACCCTCGGGTTAGAGTGGGCAGTACCCTTGCTAATGACTACAGGGCGCCGCGCTCAGCTGGGTAGCTGACATGGATGTCGACTGTGATGGCATAGACTACAAGTGCAAGGGCAACGGAGATGGTCTGCCCGAGACCAACTGGGGAGCCCTGTCAGCTTATGAGGTTCCCTGGATTGTCATTCCAGACCAGTTTCTCACAGCCAACGAGGACCTACTGCCGGGTAATAACGTTGCCGCAGTGATTTGGTGAGTCTACCCCCATACTTTTGAACCCGCCATGCTGACTGACCTCCTTAGCAACGGCAAAATGTACTACGGCATTCTGGGTGACTCCAACGGCGACGACCCCGAGGTAACCGGCGAAGCCTCGTGGCTCATGGCCCGCACCTGCTTCCCGGACGACGACCTCAACGGAGCCGAGGGCCATGCCGAAGCCGACGTAACCTGTAAGCCCTACACCCGGTGACCTGGGACTTCTCCATCTAATATCGAAACAGACATCGTCTTCACCGGCGACGACGCCGTGCTCCCCAGCAGTGCCCTGAACAAGAACTACATCACCAACTTCAGCACTCTGCGGTCAATGGGCGACAAGCTGGTCGGAGCTCTCGCCTCCAACCTGGGACTGTCCGGCTCCAAGCCTAGCCCCAGCGCCAGCGTACCCTCTCAGACCACCTTGGAGACGAGCGCCGCGACCAGCGCCGCCAGCACCTCGAGTGCCTCAGGCTCCACAGCCACCTGCTCCTGGGAGGGACACTGCGAAGGTACGTGGACGCTCCGATCGATACAAATCCAATGGCTCATACTGATCTGCTGCAGGCGCTATCTGTTCCACTGAGGATGACTGCTCGGATGATTTGGTTTGCGATAGTGGGAAGTGCAGCTCTCCTGACGAGGATGATGGGGACGATGAGGACGATGAGGATGAGGAAGAGAATGACGAGGACGACGAAGACGAAGACGATGAGGATGACGAGGACGATGAGTGATCAACAGGCAAGCTACATCTAGTAACAGGTCAGGGATACTAATCATCCCAGCCCAAAGACCCCTAACCCTCATTTACCAGATGATTAATTTAATAAAAGATTACTATATTCAACAAACCATTCAAAAGAATACCCGCGAACATAACATACCACCCCCCAAAACCTTATCCTATGTATCAATAAACAAAAATAAAATCCTCATTCTTCAAATCCGTCATATCCGAGAACCCCTTATCGTTACCCCCCAGCACATTCACATTCACATTCACATCCTCCACCTCAAGTACCTTCCCCTGCTCCACAGCCTTCTTCCTAAGCATGGACTCATCGACAATCCGAGCCGACTTGCCCAGTTCCGTCCTCCGTCGTGCATGCTTCCGATTCAGATAGATGAGATATAAATTAGCGAGTCTGTGCGGGTCAGCGAACTCCTTTCATCCTCTTCCATATGATCAGGAAGGATAGAACGTACATAGCAAAGACCGCGACCAACACGAACAGGATAAGATTGGATATAAGGCCCGGTCGATATAGCGGTGCTTGGGAGGTGGAGTAGAGTTGGGGGCCAATGACCTGGTCGCATTAGATAAGGCCATGAATTTATATACTTAACCAGGGAGGGGGGCAAAGGAAGCCTACATTGCCAGCACACATCCCAATCAGCACCACAGCTGAAGTGCACTTCCTCTTAGTATCCCCGGCAGTGTTTTGCGCTTCCCAGGCGTAGACGAGGGGCGTTATGGCCGCGAGACAGGAGACCTGTGCATATATATCATCAATACGATCCGTCTAGCCTGCGAGAGAAATAGAGGAAACATAGTACCAAGTAATATCCAAACAAAAGAACACCCTTCTGCTCTCTTGGCACAACAATCATCAATAACGTCCCAATGGCAGAAATCCCCGCAAACAAGGCAATCACGAGCCCCTTCCGCTGGAACCGCGTGGCCAGCCACCCTCCGCCTAGGATGGCGATGACCTGAATAGCGCCGAAGGGGATGTTGAAGAGGATCGTTTCGAACGATCCGTAGCCGAAGGACTTGATGATGAGGTTGCCGAATGTGCTGATACCGCCGCTGGGGATACTGTATTCGGGGTTAGATGCTGCTGTGAGCTATTGGGGGTATGTACGCACGAGATAGTCACGATGAGAAAAAACCACAGCCACGTCTTCACGTCGTATGCCGTCTCCCAGACGTGATCCCATCGCCATTCGCGCGAGATGATCCCCATCTGATTGGCTCGGAGACGTTCCACGGCGATCACTTTCTCGCGTTCAGAGAGGAACTTGGCTTCCATGGGGGAGTCGGGCATGAAGATTAGGACTAGAGTTGAGTAGGCGACGGTGAGGAGACCGCAGAACATGAAGATTATCTGTGTTTTGAGGGTTATTATGTGAATATTATGGATGGGTGGGGATACTCGCCTGGTAGGAGTAGAGGTAGTCGCTGTAGATGTGGCCGAGTCCGTACGTGAATAGACTTCCGACCTATTGGAATAGTTAGGATCGTCTGTATAAGATGATAGTAAGGCTAATACTATAAAGGTGACCCCGTTCATCGCGTTCCATATCGCCGTCCGAAGGGTTTGCTCGCCTCGACGCCACCACATTTGCGTGACGGCCACACATGAGGGTGCTATTTTCGTTAGTCACCATATTGCGGTATACCAGATACAGGATAGGACATACCTATCATAGCCTCAAATGTCCCCAAGGTTAGTCGTAGCCCTAGTAGGCTGGCAAAGTCCGTGCACGCTGCCATGATGGCCAGCGAACTTCCCCATAGCAGCACCGCGGTTCCGATGACTTTCCCTGTTGGGGCCTTGACAAGTAGCAAGGCAGCAAGTGGTTGCACCACTAGTTGGGCAAGATACAGAATAGATCCAAGCCATGAGTACTGCTGGCCGTGCAGATGTGCATCCTCGACGAGGCCAAAAATGGACACGTACGACAGCGTTGATTTGTCCAGTTGTTGGAAGAAGTATGCTCCTAGCAGAAGAGGCAGTATACGGAGATCGATGCGTCTAAGAACGCGCTTTTCTTCTTCTGGGCTGAATGTCCGTTCTTCCTCTTTGACGGTGGCTAGGAAGTCCGCTGCCTTCTCTCTCCCTGTGCCATGGGCCGGGGTGTCCACGGCCGTGATGGCATCGTGGGATTCTTCTGCGCGGGTAGCCATCGCGAATACCAGCTTGCAGATAGGAGAATAGATACTCGGTGACTCTACGTGATTTATATCCTTTCGGCCAAGATAACCCGGCTAAAGTCACTGCACTTCCGTCAATTATAACTTGATCAGATAACTGCCGAGGCTATCTCAGCATCAATCTTGTCGGCTGATCTGACATCGTTACCCCAGATTCTCCAACCCCAGTCTCCCCGCATTCTGGCCTGTTTCCGGTTGATGGAAAAACTCTAGCAGTTAAGCTGCGTGGGGGGAAGTGGGATGTCCGTGCGAGATACCAGATCTGCGCTTCGGGTGAGTGTGTCCCGACAGCATATAAACCCAAATAGCTGTCTCAGCTATGGTCATTCCTCCCCCATGAATATGAACACTCACTTTACGAGCCATCGTTACTCACAACCAGCGGCACCATGAAGAAATACGCCCTCATCGGCACGGGCGGCCGTGCCATGTTCTTCTACACGGCCATCGTGCGCGATTTCTCCAGCACCGCCCGACTCGTCGCTTTCTGCGATACCAACTCCACTCGTTTGGCATACGCCAACTCGCAGATCCAATCGCTGGGTCACGTTGCAATTCCAACCTACAATGCGAGCGATTTTGATCAAATGATCGAGGAGACTCGTCCGGATGAGGTGATCGTCACCACCATCGACCGCACCCACCACCAGTACATCGTCCGTGCCTTGGAGCTGGGCTGTAATGTCATCACGGAGAAGCCGATGACGATCGATGCGCCACGTTGTCGACAGATCTTCGACGCCGTGGATCGGACCCAGGGCAAGGTCCGCGTGACATTCAACTACCGCTACGCCCCGCATAACACGCGCATCGCGGAACTGCTGGCGAGCGGAGCGATTGGCGAGCTCAATGCCGTGCATTTCGAGTGGGTGCTCAACACCTCTCATGGAGCAGACTACTTTCGCCGCTGGCACCGCGACAAGAGAAACACTGGAGGCCTGTTAGTGCATAAATCAACGCACCATTTCGACCTGGTGAATTTCTGGCTCCGGACTCGGCCCGAGTCGGTCGTTGCGATGGGGGATCTACGCTTCTATGGAAAGGAGAATGCAGAGCGACGGGGTGAAACAAGGTTCTACTCACGCTCTCGTGGAAGTGAATTGGCTCGGGATGATCCGTTTTCACTGGATCTTGAGGGCAATGAGAAGTTGAAGGGGCTGTACGCGGATGCAGAGTGGGAAGATGGGTATTATCGGGATCAGAGCGTGTTCGGCGATGGCATCAGCATTGAGGACACAATGGGGGTGATGGTCCGATATGAGTCCGGTGCTGTGATGACGTATAGTCTCACGGCGTATGCGCCTTGGGAGGGATTCCGGGTGAACTTCACTGGGAGTAAAGGTCGGCTGGAGGTGGAGGTCGTGGAACAGTCGTATGTTAATTCGGGTGGTGAGCAGGCATTGGAGGGCGCTCTTGAGCGACAGACTATTCTTCTAAGGCCTTTGTTTGAGAAACCAGTGGAGATTGAGGTGCCTACGGGTCAGGGAGGTCACGGGGGAGGGGATCCCCAGCTGCTGAAAGATCTGTTTGGCACTCCAGATGCAGATCCTCTGGGCAGAGCTGCGACGCATGTTGATGGGGCGTGGTCTATTGCTACTGGGATTGCGGCTAATGAATCTATGAGAAAGGGAGAGGTGGTGCGGGTGAGGGATTTGATGCCGTTGTGATTTTCTTGTTTCAGTTGCTTCGATGAGCTAGAATAGAATGCATAATGGAACCATATGGACACATAGGGACGTAAAGATACTTATTCATAGACGGCATGAACCTGTAACTATCGCGTAACTATTTAGCCGTAAGAGTCCAAGCTCGATGAATGTATGACTTCTAGGCGCTTATCACATCAAATGCGTTACAGGAAGTGAGCCATGCTTGCGAGATGCTCTATGAAATATTAGTCAAACACATTGGAAACCTAGGATAGAGGCATTCTTGGAGCAACGTATCACGGTTACTGCGAGAGGTGTCATTAAGCTACACAGAAAGCTATGAATTGATTTATTTCCAGAATATTCGGAATTCATTCACCCCCCTTGTACGAAGTAACGGCGTATTGCGCAGAGGTGAGTGCAGACTTAGTAATTGTAGAGATCACCATCAAGCTCAGCATCATCACGCTTGTAATTATACAAGTCTCCATCAAGTTCAGCCTTGCTGCGCCTGTAGTTGTAAAGATCACCATCAAGCTCAGCGTTGTTGCGCTTTCTATAGTTGTAGAGATCTCCGTCAAGCTCACTAGTACCCCGTTTGTAGTTGTACAAGTCACCGTCTAACTTGCTGGTAGATCCCACCGCTGCGAGTGTCAGTACAGCCTTTTAAATCAAACAAGATGAGCCACTTACCAGGCAAAGCCGCAGCCATACCGATGGTGAGGCACAAGGACAGTATAATCTTTGGGGTATGCATCGTGGCTGACTTGGAACTAGAGAGATAAGTGGAAGAAGAATGTTACTTTGCGCTTAGCAGCAAGTGAGCTGACGTGGTAGGATGTAGTGGATCCGGGGTCCACGGGAATTTTGCAGCCTTTATATCGACAAATATGGCCTGCTTTTTGCACATCATGTCAGACAAATACTGCACCAAAGTCGGCCATCTGAGCGTAGAATGTTGCGAGTAACCGAGCGTCGTCATCACTACCTGAAATGTGTACGACGATGATGTACAGCACATGCCAGTTACCATTGCCAAGTGTGTGATATATTTGCGTGGATTGACCGTGACAGTGGTAGTGCTCTTGTGGCGACGTTCGCCGTATTGTTTTCTGTTTTCTCTTGCAGCCAAGAATAGGACACAAAAGCATGAGTTGCTTTACGGTTGAACCCTGGCCAACTGAGTGACCAGGCAATAGTTCGCCCTGCTGTGATCCCAACTTTCCTGGAACTGAGTGCAAATATGTGATCCTGCGCTGCTTACACCGATAGTTCAACGGTGATCATCATTGAGACACATGGTGAAGCTTCACCTCATGACCACTGATATGCCGTTAGTCCTAAGCAACCAGGAAATATCTGCACATCATCTAAGCAGATGGCGCAGAATACCTTCGCGCGGGGTAGCCGGCCAAGCATGAAGCTCCAGATGTTCCGGATTGTGTTCCCTTAGACTCGCTGCAGTGATTTGAGTAGTACAGGCTCCTCCGCTCGCTCCATACTTGCATATTGATCCTGCGGGGAAATCCATGCGTCATGGATATGTTTCACAGCTATCCTGTCTGGGGAAGTGAGCAATGGTGGACTTTCCATCAGCAATCTGACTTGAACAATTCCACTCCATTTTCTAAAAGATCCCTCATTGTCTTTGACCTTTTCTTCCTACTAGGACCGCAGAAACTCTCCTCCTCGGCATCCGTGAATAAAATGTCCCTCGCAAGGCTCAGCACAATGTACATGGCTCTGAAAAGAGACAGAAACGACAGCTCCTCCTCCTCCTCCGAGAGGCTACCTCTATCAGACAGCTCAGAAGACTATCACGATGAGTCCTTCGACAAAGACCACTTCGACGATGGCTCCCGCTACGGAGACTATCCACGCAGGTCTCACTTTCAATGGAGCAGCCTATGCTTCCATCTCATTCTTGCTTCTATCTACGGTGCTGCATTCCTAGCAGCAACATACCGATCAACGAGTAGTATCAGACATCACGACAGCAAACCGGAGCATCTTATAGCGTGTAAGTATATATCATCAAGGTCCATCCTAATCAAAATATCACTGACTGAAGCACCTTAGCCCCGTTATGGGAAGCAGTAAAAATAGAGCGAAAAACAATCAACGCCTCGATTGAGAGCGAAAATCCATTCAAGGGTGCTCCATCTGAGGAATTGGACCATGCCTGGCACCAGCTATTCATTAATTCTAACATCCGAGTTACTGCTGAAGATCTGGCGAGAATTAATCGCACGTCTGTCCCACTCAATGATGAGAAGGGAGGCTATTATGCCATTCCAGGTATGTTCCCCCAGCATTGCTTAGAAGACTACTCTGACAGAATAAGATGTATATCACCAGCTCCATTGCCTGGTAAAGTACCTGCCACTTCTTTCCACGCATAGACTAGCTAATAAGAATTACCAGAAATTCCTCCGCCAAGTAGTCTACCACAGCTACTATCACATCGGGAAGCCAACCACCCCTCTTCACATCGGTATGTTCCTATCCACATCTTAAAATGCTCAATGTGCAATAAATAACGGCACTAAAGAGCATTGTATTGATAACCTCCGCCAAAACATCATGTGCAAGGCCGACATCGCTCTCCTAACCTTCACATGGGATCCCACTGACCGTGCCCCGAAACCCAACTTCGTCGTCGAGCACGAGTGCGCTAACTGGGACAAGGTGGATAAATGGGCCGAGGAGCATCGATTTGATATCTTCGATGAGACTGCCCTGATTCATCCCTCTCTGGGACCTTCGTTCCCGGAGAAAGAGTATAAGGCCACGGGGAGGATTCCGGGACATCCAGACTTTCATCCGAATGAATATCATGGGGGTCATAGTAAGGGGACATGATGTGGGGAATACGCTATAGTATTTATTATATAGCGAGTATCTCCACTATTTATGGCTCGTAAATTAAACATTTTATCTCGTCTATATACATCTACTATTGATAGTATTCAAGCAGGCATAACCCCCTGCGGATGATGGAATGTATTCTTCGGATCCAGCTCCTCCTTCAACTCCTGTAACCGGGGCAAGTTCGTTCGCCAATACTTCTGCTGCGCATCCTCCATCCTCGGGTCCGGACAGCCCAGATACGCATGTCCCACGCTCTCCGGCACTGCGCGCGCAAGCACATCATACAGCCCATCGGTGAACTCGTACGTCGTGTCGGAAATCGGACCAAGGGGATTGACCATGAAGAGCTGGACCCAGAAGAGCACGTCTCTGTGAGCATATGCGGTAGCATCTTCAGCGATGTCGTTGATGGCTCCGCCCTCTAGACTAAGTGTGACGAACCACGCTGGCGTGCCGGCGGTGTGGTTGGCAATGTATTCGAAGAACTCGTCAATTCCCGCAGATGGAATCAACGTGTCTTGCCTGAAGCCGAGGGATTTGGCGTAGAACCAGGTCGGGGTATTGCCGACCAGCTTGAGGATGGTATCTTCCAGCGCATGTCCGACCATACCGAGCCAGTCGGTCAGAACTAGGATGTTGCCTGGATTCTTCGGTGCGAAGTGGTCTTCTAGTCCTAAGGCGTCATATTGCTCCTTGGACCCGAAGAATAGTCCCTCGAGGATGATATCGCCGTCGAAAATGACCATGTTGTTGTAGAATTGACGGGTTAGGTTCTTCGCCGAGATGAAAGACTGCCAGTCTTTGACGAATTGCGCCTTTTCGGCAGTGCTGCCTAGGTTGAAGGTATACGAGTACTGGACGGCGAGACCCGGTGCCGGCTCAGTGCGCACTTTGAACTCGGTCACGATGCCAAAGTTGGCTGCGGCACCTTTGACGGCGAAGAAGACGTCCTGGTTCTGGGTGTTTGAGGCCCGGACAATGCTCGAGTTGGCCAGCACCACTTCGACTTCTTCGACGTGGTCCAGGGCAAGACCCCATTGACGTGCTGTAGGGCCGAGTCCTCCAATGGTGAAGTGTCCGCCTGTTTTGATGGTTGGGCAGACGCCGTGCGCCATTGCTCGTTTCCCGTTGTTGTAGAGTTCGATGTCGACATCGTTCAGGGTCGTTCCCGGTCCGATGACTGCTTCGTATGTCTCGTCGTCCATGGAGAATTGGGTAAAGTGTTTCATATCGACCACTACTGCACCGTCTGCTCCGCCGAGGCCTGTATCAAGTACGTGTGCGTTAGTCGAGGGTGGCCTTCGGGGATAGTTTCGAATGAGGTATGCTACCATAGTTCCCAAAGCTGTGGCCTCCACTGCGTGCCTGCACTTTGTAGTCATAGTCCGAGGCGCACTTGACTATGCCGGCGATTTGTTCTGCTGTCTCCGGGTACGTGATTGCGGCCGGAGTAACCGGGAGATTGAGGTTGTATTCGTGGACATCTGCAGTCCAAAGAAGCTCATTCGGGAAAGCCGCAAGGGCTGAATTGCCTCCCAGGGCAGATATCAGACAATCACGCCCTGCTATACTGGTTGTGTTGCCCATCTTAAAAAAAACTGGACTTGATCAGGGAGATCAACCGACGAACAGTTGGAACGGAGGAAATCAGGCTGCCATGCTCCTTTTGTTGTGCCGGGAGGTACCGGCTGAAGTGGGGAGACGGACCCATGCCTTACCAGATGAGAAGAACTATCGATCGATGAATACGAATTTCCTTGGTTTTGATCCGATGTCGAGTCAAAACAGCGATAGCGGCCCTCCACTGCCTGTTCGTCGCGTGTCGATCCATGCCTCAAACTAACGCAACTTTGATTCGGGTCCCCACCAGATCCCCGCCAGACCAAATTTTGTCTGGTTCTACCCCTGAATGTTTACCCTCTTCTTTCAGCTGAGGCCAATAGAGTGAATGACGCTTGACAAGGAAACCATGGCTTGGGAGCGTTTAAACTTTGCTTCTCATATCTTCGCACAGTTTGGCTCTGGCGAGTTATGTTGTGTCTTTTACAGCCAGTTGGTTCCTTTGGGTTGCGATTGAACAGAAAATTTCCAACACTACATAAAATCACCGGCAGTAGATAGCCTGATCATAAAATGGCATTTCATGGCTCGTAAGGTGTCTGCATCGAAAGTAATGACGTTTAGGTTGTAGATTCCCCCTTTGGGCGGCACAGCTAGCCATGATCGGTAATTGCACTGAACAATGTACTTCAATGCACAATTGCAGGTACTTCAGATCTACATCTGAAACCGCAAAGCTGGTCCCATCCGCTTCAGCCTCCGGCTCACCGGGTTCGGAGCATTCGTGGTTGTGTTGTACGTCGCCAGAGAATCCAACACCTCCCACTGAATCGTGCTGTTGCCCTCCCGGTAGTAACTCTTGGGCGTGCCCACCGTCTGTAAACTCGACGAGACGGGAATCTTTCCCGTCGCCACATCCTTGCCGCCAATGACGCGCTCAAACATCTCCAGCGCAAGCAAGGGTTGATAGAAGGGAACCTCATGTCCACTCTCATACACTCGCACAAAGGCAAATTGCCCCGCCTGGCGCACCTGGCCGTGTGTCACTCCATCGGAGGTGACAATGTTGGTGTAACCCGCACTGCTGAAGTTGGCGGCCTTGACCTGCAACGACACGGCTTCCCCACCCAGCCAGTTGCAGTTATAGTCGGCATCCCCGGCGTACATGACCACCGTGACACCCTGTTTGAGCAGCTTGCCCACATCCTGGATGGTGTTCATGAGTCGCCCGTCGTCACCGGTGGACGAAAAGGCGAGTCCAACAGCGTTGTTGCTCTCCGTGTAATTGATGTATGCGCCGATGGCGGCCTGCACGGACGCTTTGTTCAGGTAGTCAACGTAGAACTCGTAAGGGAACGGGTCCGGAGTGAGTTCACGAAAGTCATACTCATCTCGACCGGAGTAAATGTCGTAGACGTTTTCGACCTCGTCGGCGCAAAAATCGTCGGCAGTGCTGCAGATCTCGTCGATGCCTCGGGCGGCGCAGTCGTAGAGCTGGTCGAGGCAGTTTCCGGGGCCATAGAGGTTGTTGTACATCAGCGAGCTGATGGACTTGTTGAATGGCAGGTAGTCGTATGTGTTGCCCGGATATACCTGTAGATAGATTAGTGTCCAAGCTGTAAGGAAAAGGATCAGAAACCAGGTAGTGTACCGTAAAGTTGTAGTAGGCCTGGTATTGAATAATCGGGTCATACCAGCCATTGCCGATCATCACACTGCCCAGTTGGATCTTCTTGGCTCCCGGCTGGAGATGGGCGTTCTGCTCCTCGATGTACTCGTTGAAGACGGGCCCGTAGTGGCCGCCATAACTCTCCGTGGTGAAGTGGAAGGTTTCGCGCGAGTACTGAGGAAATGCGCCCATAAAACCCTGCAGGGCGCGGTAGAAGTTGGGGGCGGCGTTGTCGGTGGAATTGGCCGTAAGGCTCACGTTGGGGTAGGAGTAAGTGCCACAGGACATATCCGCTGCATAGTCGGGGCAGGCGGGGGAGGGCAGAGCAATAACATTGTCTGTGGAAGAATCCACATAGCCGGGGACCGGAATGCTGTAGGAGAAGCCGGTCTGCACGGGCTGGTCGATGTAGAGCATGTTGCTGGCGTTGTTCCAGGAGTAGGGGTTGTTGTAGACGGAGCCATTGGCGTCAATGCCGCATGGGCCGTGCTCTTGGAACAAGCCGATCATGGAGGAGGAACCAGGACCTACGAACGGTTAGCAATTGGAAGGAAATAATGACCGGGGTCAGACATGCCTCCATTGATCCAGACGGTCAAGGGAGCCTCGGTGGGATCTTGGTTGCGCGCCTCGAAGAACCAGAAGAAGATGTGCTCATGCTCGGCGACATCGACGTAACCGGAGAAGCTCTTGACACTGGGATCAGTCTCACAAATGCCGGTGGGGACCTGTTTGTAGCGGACGGGGATGTCGAGATATCCCTTGGTGGGAATGAGATCCGTGGGCGGAGCCACAAACTGGGCCCGGGAGACGGGCAGCGCGGCCACCAAGGCAGCAACCCAGAGAGAGTAGTACATCGGGGACAACAAGAGACCAGATGGGGACAGAAAGCTCTCGGAGTGAAGAAATTCAAAGCATGCTCCCAACCCTTTTTATCAAGAGTCTCTGCTATCTTCTTATCGTCAAAGAGAGAAGAGTGGAGTAACAGTGCTTAGGTGACTGGCAAGATAAGTACCAAGTTACGCAGACGCGTGACCTGCCGATCGCTGGCAGAGCCGACGGAGTCCGATTCACCGTTAGCAAGACAACCCCATTCTACTTCTATGATATTCGATATTACTCTTATGACTCCACATTTACTCCTCCTTGGAACTTATGGAGTATGCTAACAGACAGATCTTCTTCACACCATCTCATACACATATCCATCCTTGCAATCAGCGGTCCGGGTCAGAAGTAATTGTTCCATGCCTTGAGAACAATTCCGTGCTGAAATCAATCAATTCGTTGACGAGATACATGTTCTGTTCTGCTATACCTTATAACAGTCATGGCTTCACTGTCCAATATCCGCCATCTCTCATCCTTTTGGCCCCTCAATCAGCACCTTAATTGAGCCGCTACTCGGATCTGACGCCGTCTGAAACGCCTTGAGAGCGTCTTCAAAGGCATAGACATGAGTGATCATCTGGTCTAGATCGATCGCTCCGCTGGACATCACCCGGATGGCGCGGGGCCACATGTTGACATAGCGCTGCTGGAACTGCAGATCGATCTCGCGCTCGCTCAGCCGCATGAATGGAAACTGAAGCTTATCCTTGCCCACGCCAACCACAAACACTTTGCCCCCAAACTTGACACTCTGAATAGCACCGGCGATCGAACTTTCGACTCCCGTGCATTCCAGGGCAACCACGGGCTCGCAATCCTCCCCACCCATCAACTGCAACACCCGAGCTGCAAATTCCTTGTCGGTCTCCTCCGGCCGTACCTGCAGTGTTCGAGCAGCAGGCACGAACTGTCGCGCAAATTGCAACCGCGCCGGGTTAACATCGCTGATCACAATGGGATACGCCCCAGCAGCGCGGCAGCATTGCAGCACCACCAACCCAATCGGCCCCGCGCCACAAATCAAAACCGGATCTCCAATTTTGATCCCAGATCGAGTAACTGCGGTGAGTGCGACACTTAGTGGCTCCAACAAGGCGCCTTTCTGATATGATAGATCGCCGATTTTGTGGCACCAGATGGCTGGATGGTTCACGTAGGTCCGCAGGAGACCATGCGATGGTGGACTTGAGCGGAATTGCAGATTCTTGCACCCATTGTAGCGTCCGGTAAGACACGGTTCGCATGCCTTGCATACAATGTGAGGTTCGATCGCGACGCGATCTCCCACTGCGAGTGTCGTGACAGAAGGGTGGACCTTGACGACGAGGCCTGCAGACTCATGCCCCAAGATATGCGCATCGTTTACCACCCACGGACCGATTCCACCATGTTTCCAGAAATGCACGTCCGAACTTAATCGCTATGATTAGCTCTCATCATGGATGGATGGAATTTGTGCGACAACGGTTTACCCGCAAATCCCACTGCACTTGATTGCTACTGTGACCTCTCCCTCTGCTAAGCTTGATCCATCGATTATCTGATCGAGGGTAGGTTCTGCCTCCTTGATAAAAAGATTATGTTCCGGGTCAGTATAGACGCCTCGGTTAGGAAGTTGCAACTTCATATTATCCGTGGAGATATTTTTTGACCAAAAATACGTCTTTGATACTTGGATCAAGTTATCTGGGCTGGAAGGAGATTATAGAGTCATCTTGAGAATATTCAAGCCATGCCCAAGAGTCAAGGGCGACATATCTCCCTCGGCGTATTGGGAAATATATGCGGGGTTGGGAAGAGCGGGGCCGCGCAACCCCGCTGCCATGCAGGATTCATTGACTTTGAAGCTGCAGTTCACAAGATTAACTCCGTCGGACAATGTGTAGCGATACAATCTTGGTCTCACTCCCTTCTTGACAAGGGGAAGACACTCACTGGTCAACGTAGTGAGGCTATCAAAAGACCCCAAAATCCATCTATGCGGAGTGGAAGCTCCATAGAGCTTCCAGGTTGACCCATCCTCCACTGATGGGAGTGGGGAAAGTTGAGAGATAACGGGAACCGCGAAGACCGATCGTCATTTTTCATCGTTGAATATGATCAACTCACTTGCTGTTGGCACTTTGCTAACATTCAATATTATTTCCTCGGCCAAAATGCAAAAATCACAAGAAGGGATTCAGCTGGACTGCCGAAAAAATAAAGCTTTCAGTATGGTATGTAGTAACCTACCTCGACAGACTTTCCGTTATAGTTACTCGGCTGAGCATGCAGTTAAGGACCAACCACGAGTCCGTGGTCAAAGAATTACAGACTCCATTTGCTAGAGTGCATGATTCTGCTAAAGGATAAGTCATGGTGGAGCGACTAGAGAGACTGATGGAAATGTTCTCTGATATGATGGGCAGGGCGGGCGCAGTGGAATTCCGTTACCTTTCAGCAACGTTTCGAGTGTCAGATAGAATCCGGGCTACCTCGAACTGAATAACCTCAGCCTTCAGGATCGTATTGCGCAGCTCAATAGTTGCAGTCAGGAGGAAAGGTCGATGCTTAGCGCGCATACAACTTCCCTCAATGGCATCGCGCCGGAAAAGGTTTCCTTTGCCGAAGTGCTTCACGCCCATGCATTATGCAATTCTGGCCATGCCCTGATTCTCCTGTTGCACCAATCACTCAGACAGGTGTTGAATTCCCTGAGTTTCCTATTAGTGTCACCCTAAAGGATGGAACTTAGTTTGTGTCCAAGTCCGTCATCTAAACAAAGCCCATCAATATAATTTCATCCATCGCAATCATAACCTCCTCGTTTTGCTTGCTCATCCTGGAAATAGTCCGGACTGCTGAGAGGCGGACATCTGTCTGGTGGAAACTCTTCGACGCACGGGCATAGAGACTGAATCTGCATACTGTGACGCCTGGCGCGGTCAGGAGCCTTCGAGGACGCCTATTGAGACGTTTTGCGACTGAACTAGAAGATTGTAATTAGTATGTACATAATAAAAACAGTAAAAACAGCATCGAAGCCCGTCTTCAAGCCTCCAGTGCATAGTACTTTTGCACATGTTTTCTGTGAATCTCCTTTCAGGTAAAGGGAGGCCCACCAGTGCAGCGCATCAGGATATATAGTCGACTAGCAGACAAGCAGTACTACTCTAGCCGACTACTATCTGAAGAGCCACATCTCCCAGTCAAACGATGAAAGGCTAATAATTAAGCTCAGATCGTGTATCTGGAGAAGATTCTAGGAAATAAAGCAGAGGTATAGTAGCTGTATGCACCTCTTGCATCCAGCTAGCTGCATCGCTAGACCGTCCTTACCGTACCCAAGACATTGGAGAGTGAGTAAGTGGGACCCCGAGGCATGTTATTTTTAGTTTTGCCGCAGCATCATTGGCTGATTAAGTAGGCGGAAGGTACTAATACACCATCTAACCATATATACAATACGTGCTCCCCCGCTCCTATAGCACTTTTCACCACGTGATGGTAATATAGAAACACCTTCCTTACTCACTCCCGTACATCTGGCGCCACTCGATGAAGTGACTGAAAGAGTCTGGCTCGGTTTGCCGGAAGCGCCGTCTCCCGCGATCATACGACGCCCACCACCGAGTCTTGGCCGAGGATCACCGCCCGCCTTTGCCTTCAGGCAGCGCAATTGGGGATGGAGTTCATTCAGTCGTCCACGCCTTTCGCTTTTCCTTTCTCGGTCGCTTGTGATTTGGACGGGCTGCCCACCTACTATCCCTCGGACCCCTCTGCTACATCATCCCTCTGGTCATCCAGCTCATCTTTGAATCATTTGCCGCCGTGGGACAGCACTGGGGGGATAGTCTTTGCAAGTACATGCGCCCCTCTCTCATTTTAGCCTCTGTTTAGCATTAGCAACAAGTCAAAATCTGCTCCGCCGGGACGGAGAGCCGCTCATCCAGTCAGTGGCCGCGCCCTCAACCGCCCAACGGTTCGATAAGATCTAAAACGTACCTTGCCTGCCCTGCCACGGTCGTCTCCGGAGCCACGACAACCCTGTCAGCGTCAAACCTTCTCTCTTACCTTACTCTACCTGCATCGCCTGGACAGATCATCAACCAGGCTGAAGTATCTCAACCAACCCAGCAACATCATCCATCTATCCACAATCACCCTCAATTACTGCCCGCCTGCTTGTCCCTGAGCCGGACTCCACTGTTCATCATCTAGTCTCGTTAGCGCGTCTGGTTGAGGTGGGTGATAACCTCGCCGGTGACTTGAACCCGCAACTAGCCGCATCGCTCCTGACCTTTCCCCTCAGGTATGCCTGCCTCTCTCTCCATAGACCAACCAGCCTCCTGACGACCACTTTGCTCAATGAATAATATTTTGTTCATATCCGTCTCCTTGTCACTAACCAACTAAACGTTAGCCGGGGATTCACCTCCGTGCGACTCGCCGCAGGGCACTGACGTTATCAATTGCGGTCCCGGCCTTGGCCGCTGGACGGAATGGCACTGCCCATCATGGGGAGCGACTTTCAGCTATTCTCTCCCCTCCAGTCGTCGGATAGAAGAGACTCACAGGCCGAGTCTACGACCTTCGCTCAGTCTACAACGGAAGATTCCAGTCAGGATTGGACGCAGTGGATGAGATGGGATGACAAGGGCTTTGCGGATGGGGCAAAAGACGTCTCTCACTCCCCCTTCGATACTACGTTCACCTCACCCAATGCGTCAATTGGCAACACAGATCTCTTTCAAAAGTCCGACTTCTCACCCGACATCAACCTGGATTGTACCAATATTCCCTTTGATTCCTTACTCGATCAAAATTACAGTGGCGTGTGCCAATCGAAGATCGGATCCATTGGTACCGACCTCCAGTCAGCACTCTCCGCTACGTCCGGCTCTCCGCTATTCTCGGAAGGAACTGCTCGCAAACGCAAGTCGGGCAGTGATGATGATGGCTCAACCGTCAGTGGAGTCATGCCGACCGGTAAGAAGATGCCGGCCAAAAAGCGAGCACACAACGTCATCGAGAAGAGGTATCGAGCCAACCTTAATGAGAAGATTGCCGAGCTGAGGGACAGTGTGCCCAGTCTCCGAGCGTCAAAGAATGCGTCGGGTAATTTACTGGATGATGACGATGGAGAAGGGGTCACTCCCGCCAACAAGTTGAACAAGGCCTCTATTCTCTCAAAAGCCACAGAGTATATTCGTCACCTTGAGATCCGTAATAAGCGACTCGAGGATGAGAACATGGCATTGAAGAACCGACTTCGTCAAGCGGAAAAGGCCGTTGACCAGTCACTGACCTCCGCAGCGTCCGTTTCCTCACCCAGCAACTACACCGTTTCCACAGAATCTGGCGCCAGCTCATCCCCCAGTGTGTTCTCACATGTAGAGGATAGTCCTAGCGACCACTCGCCGACGTCTTTGTATCCTCCCGAAGGTCTGCTGAAGGTGCCCGATGCCTTCAAACGCATGCGAGAGGAATCCACGGCTAAAGATAACGCGTTCTCTCAATCATACATCCAATACCCTAGCAGCAATAACAGTGTCTCATCCCCATGCGGTGGTCGTACCAGGCGATCATATTACCCCAACAAGTACATGCTTGGTGCCCTTGCTGGCTTAATGATCGTCGAGGGTATGGGCAGCGAAAAGAACACGGAATCAACCGCCAAGGGGCTGCTGGCAATGCCATTCAACCTGTTCGGAAACTTGCAAACCAGCCTCCAAAGTCCCACAGCAGCATATTGGCTTGCAATGGCACGAAGCTTTTGGTATTCGTGGCATGCACGAGCCATCTCGCATTTTCTTATTCTCGCTACCCTTGTCGTCGGTAGTGCATTCGTGGTCTTCGTTTATTTGTTCAACGCTACTCCCGGCGAACAGTCCTCTTCATTGAAGACTTCGTCACCATCGGATACATCGTCAAATTTCCGGCGCCAGGCCTGGCTGACGAGCATACAGCGAGTCGGTGTTCCGCGTCACCGCTTTTTCCACGAGTGGTACGTAGTGACCTCGCGCTGCTTCGAGTATGTCCTGCGGTGTCTCCTGGGTTGGAAACTGTACTCTTCTCTTACAGGAGTTACCGAGGAGGACGAGAAGGGGCGAGTCAAGACCTGGGATATTGCAATCGACGCACAATTGGCTGGTGGCGATGCCGAAATTAGTAAGAGTCGCCTAGTCCTGACTATCTTTGCGGCAGGCACCCTGCCTCGGAGTCCTATGAGGATGATGCTCAAAGCCCTCCACTGCCGCATTCTGCTCTGGAGAGTTGGGGACCGCGGCTCTTGGAGCTTCGACTTGTCGAATGATGTCGCTCGTTCACTGGCACGGTATCAATGGGACCTCGCCCGGAAAATGCACAAGGCTATGCCGAAAGACCATCCTGATGCCCTGCCTAGTCATTTGGCTGCGTTGTTACAACTGGACTGTGACGAGGTCATGATTGACAGCATCGTGCAAAGAGCGGCAAACCTCACTTGGAATCGTCCCACTCAAGAAGGTACCGATGATGATCAAGCTCTCCTGGATGTGGTGGAAGAGGACCCTGCCATTCAATCTTCCCTGGATGCCCTTGCGGCTTGGTGGTCTAGCCATCTTTTGCAACGGGCGCTGCTGAGATATTTCGAAGCTAGCTCTGGTGGGCCTGACGCAAAGAAGAGTCGCGATCTATTCAAGGCTAAGATTAAACTGGCCCTGGACGTCGCTCCTCAGCCTTCAGCCGCTCATACTCGAGCTTTGGTGATGAAGGCAGTATTCTTCGAGCAAGACCGCGCTGCGAATATTGGATCTGTCCTTGCGGCGTTGCCGAAAGACAAAGGGAAGAGCAAACAAAACCAAGCATCCAACTTCCTTGACTCGTCTCTTCCCGTGTCTGTGCGGGAAGAGATCGCGATATCAGTTCGCTGTGCAATGATTGCGGCCATTTTTACAGCTAGGACTACAGGCGACACCTCTCTACCGGCATCCTTTACCATCCAAAGAGCTGTTACGTGGTTCAATCAGTTGCCGCTTGACCCGGTGGATCTGACGCTTCTTGGGTTTGCGTCTGTGTACCATTTGCTCCATGTCTTAGCTTCTGACACCGACTATCTGTCGTCTTCCGAGTCCTCATCGCCATCCTCTCCTGTATCGCGCAGCTCCACCCCGTCGTCTTCGGTTTCCTCTGACGGAGAGGAGAATGACAAGCCTCGCCTGTCGAAGAAGCCCGAGATTTTGCCGCAATCCATTCCGAATCTGGGTCGTGTAGCATCCGAACTCATGTACTGGGCGCGGAATGCATACAATCCTGCTTTCTACGGTTTCACTTCTCAACTTGTCAAGGTCATCGAAACCGAATGCACCTCGCTATGCCATAGTGCCGGGGTCGACGTGGCCGACTACTCTTGTATTCAGGAGGAGAAGATCAAGTCGAAACAATTGAAAGACAAAAAGAAGAAAAAGTACCCGAGAAGGTCGTGAGAACGCATAGATTAGATGGCTCAAAACAAAGAAGAGAAAACAAAGACAGATTTTTTCGACTTTTGGTACTTCCGGTCTCGATGACAGTGACTGACTGCAGCCTGGAGCCCAGCAGTTCCATAATCTCACGACAAATTTCCCCACCCGGATACAGACTTTCTGAGATATCACGGTTACGTTCCCTTTAATGACATGACTAAGTTGGAATCGTCTTCCTTACTAAGTGTATTTTTCCGTTTTTCTTTTTTTTATCTTTTTTATTTTACAATACTTCATAGGCGTTTTATTGTGTGTGTGACTGGGCCGTACAATCACTGATGTGCACCCTATCCTCGTTTCTTGTTGCTTTGGTCAAAGGCGTGCCTGGTTTGTGACACTGGTCTGTTCAATTATCCTCCCTCAGCTTCCGGAATGGAACGAAAATAGATGTTTGAGACTTTTGTCGCCATCTGTCTGTAATTTCTAATATGTCTTGCATCAATTGTATTCAATGTGACCCAGGGGGCTGGATTCTCTACTTCCGCACATGCTTTGATTTTCCAGTCATCTTATATGTATGCATGCGTATTCCATGACTGAAGATGGTGCCTGTCTCAGTTGTGTCACGGTTCCCCTAGGGGATGTCTCATGTTCGTCGGATTTCTCCTGGGCCATGTCTCAGGCCTGTTACTCACCCCTGGCAATGTCTCAGGCTCGACCAGGGTCATTTTTGCTTTCGGCTAGAACTCTCGACGAACGAATGCTAGGCATGTGGAATAGACTTTGGCAGTCCCCCGACCACGCGGGGTGCACCATTTGGTCCCGTGCCTGATCCAGCCTTGTAAGAACATTAAACTTGCGGGCATTAAGCCGGCAAACTTTCAGTCAAGGTTCAGACAGGGCAGTCTGTCAATCTGCCAGATATGCATTTCACGGCTGCACTGCGCCACGTCTTCCCTTTCTCACGTCGCATATTGCCTAAGAGCCAGATATTGTATGTATTTTTTTCACGGGCAGGTGACAGTTGACCTGGCTAGAACACCAAGATCTCATGGCATGGTGGAAATTATGGTGGCATTGGAATGGTCGATAGGGGCCTCGACAAGCCTCAGTGATGACCTAATCAGGTACTTTCGGCGCCAGCCCTGAGTGAGTGAGACAGTCCCAAGATTGCGTTGTTGCAACCGGCCCAGCTCGAGCTTCAATGCCCGACGGTTATCGGTCGGAATGCAACCATTATCTCGGGTTCTCCAGGCATTCAAGCGATCATAGATTCCCGCCTCTCCCCTTGTCAATCATGCTCTCCACGGGGAACCAGCCAGTCCATGACGTCAATTTCCTGGACTGCCCTATATCGGGAAGTTGGAATTGCAGATGTCTCTGTCAAGCATGGCCAAACTTTTCAGCATGCAGTTGTGTTTTGGATGCATTCGATGACAGATTATCTATTGGTCGCGCAAGCAAGAGTGTTCCTGGATGCCCTACCCGGCGCACCAGCTGAGCTGCTCAACTCAACTCATTTTGGGCTGGGATCCAACAGCACCCACGCCATGATCTTACATCATCACCAAGTCATGTATTTGTAAACCAGTTAGACGGACGGGCGAATGCAACAATATTGTTCTCCACCGGATGTCGAACGAAGACTACTATTCGTGTCTGGTGGACGCTGCAGCTGCATCCACTTCCTTCTTTCCGTTTCCGGCAGTGCCATTCCATTGCACGGCAGACCAACAACTGATTGGCCACACGTTGAAGAAAGCTTAACGGAAGCCAAATCTGAAGGCCCCGCTTTTCCTTGGTCACTTTACCTGAGATCGAAGCTAGCCATGCTAGAGGAGCTCTCGTGTGCCTCTCACCGAGATAGACGGTTTCCAGGCACGCTTCCGCGGATCCCCAGCCCCCCACTCTTTTAGGTTGCAATCGTCTGATACATGTGGAAGCTGAGATGTAGTGTCTGGATGCGCCGATATTCCGGGAGCACGACACACTGGAGGCTTGCCGGCCCAATTGAAGGATGACCTCCGAAGCCCCAATCCGGTTACATGACGGCATCGAAGAAATGCTCGGGAGTCGCTTCGGGACGCCACGATCGGAACCATGTATATAGTAGGCCCGACTTGTCATATATGTAGCTGGCCGCTGAATATCCTGTTGGCATGACTTGGTCTCTTCCAATTCTCTTGCTTCCTGAACACGCGCGCCCCCGTCAACCAGATAGAGATATCAACGCTGAACCAAGTCCAAAACTTTTACGCCTACGCAGGTAGCCTCAAGGCACAGACACAATGGGGGTAGATCATCTACAGCCCGGGGAGGCCCGACAGATAGACTACCATCCGCCGATGAATGTAGCGTTGGCCACGCCCATGTTCATTCTCGCGGGAGCCTTGTTCGTTCTGTTCGTTGGCCGTACGCTAATACGACTTGGCCATCGCCGACGTTTACGCGAAATTCTACGAACCGATAAGCAGGGTCGATTCAAACGAAGGAGCACCATTTCTACCATTCTGTACAAGCATGTATTTCATGCGCCCATCTTATCCATTCGCCATAGTCGCTATTTGAAACTTGGTAACAACATCCATATGGGCATCCTCCCGCTGCGGTTTGAAGCAGCTCTGCTAGCCGTCTACATAGCAATCAACATTGTCTTCTTCTTTGTTATGGTTGACTGGTGGAAAGACTGGGATGAAGTGATCTTCGAATTTCAATATTCGGCAGGTAGTATGGCAGTGTTGAACTTGCCGGGGCTGGTTTTGGCAGCAGGCCGCAATAATCCTTTGGTCCCTCTTCTGGGCATCAAGTTCGACTGCTTCAATCTCATGCATCGTTGGGTTGGTCGGACCATCATCTTTTCAGGGCTTGTCCATATGATTGCTGCTGTTATAATGAAAGTGTCCGAAGGTAAGTATGCTTGTGCCATTCAGGCAAAGATGGAAAAAAGCTGACGGTCGACAGAGGGCGGCTTGGTTGCGGCCACACATCTCATTTGGACTACTAAATTCTTCGTCTGCGGCTTGGTTGTATGTTTTTGTTTCTCGCTACAATGGGCTGAAGCCCTCATCGCTGACCAATTCGATGAACGTAGGCTATCTTTGCGTTCACGACGATCCTTTTCCAGTCCTTGTCGCCAGTCAGACATGCATTCTATGAAGCATTCCTCCACTCCCATATCGCATTGGCCATCATGGCATTCGTGGGCTTATGGTACCACCTGGATGGCATGTCACAGCAGTATGCCATGCTTGTCACAGTGGTCCTCTGGGGTTTCGATGTAAGCATCCTGTTTCCTTCGAAGTGATGAGAGACGGTTCATTCCAGAATGTCACCTTTTATTGAGTATGGCTAATAGCTTTCAGAGAGCGACTCGGCTGGCATGTGTGATCTGGCGTAATTTCGGCCCGCGATGCACCAAGGCTACCGTAGAGTTGCTCCCTGGTGATGTGGCACGCGTCAACGTCACCGTGGCACGGCCATGGAGATTCAAGGCAGGCCAATATGCGTACTTGTATATGCCCACAGTGGGTTTGTGGACTTCCCATCCGTTCTCGGTAGCCTGGACCTCAAAAGACGGAACAAGTGTGATTGAGAAGAGCTCCTCTAATTCCTCCAACGACTCCCTCGATCGCGCAGTAGGAGGGTCGCATGAGACGACGGTATCTTTCCTGGTCAAAGGACGTGGTGGACTCACTAGTAAGTTGGTACGAAAGGCGGGCAACTCGCCCGAGCGGAGATTTGATGCGATCACGCTTGCAGAAGGGCCATACGGTAAGCCTCTTCCATGCGTATCTCAGATCGTATCTAACAGGAGCAGGTGGCTTGGAATCACTTGATTCATACGGATCGGTGCTTCTGGTTGCGGGAGGAATTGGTATCACGCACCCAGTTGCCTACCTTCTCGAGATCGTGAACAGATTTGCATCCCGGTCGACCGCTGTCCGGAGAGTGACCCTCGTCTGGGTTGTCCGCAGCTTAGGTGAGTCGACACAGAAAAGGTTCAAGTAGCTGTAACTTACTCCTTACTAGACCATCTGTCCTGGGTTCAGCCCTGGATGATATCCCTTTTCAGTCACCCCGCCCTGCAAGGGCCGAACGTGCCAAAGCAGGAGTCTTTTATTGAATTTTCCCGGCTCTCCCTGTCAATCAAGATCTACCTCAGCACACGCGACTCCAGCCCCGAAGATTACACTCCTTCCGAGTCGCCCTGGGCCATTTCCGCACCGACAGGAGTGGCGATAAGTATCAACAACGGCAGGCCATGCTTCCAGGAGACTCTGGAGGTCGAGATGGCACACCAGGTCGGCGCAATGGCTGTCAGTGTTTGCGGGCCAGGGGAAATGGGTGACGATGTGCGCCAGGTGGTGAGGGAGAAGCAAGGGAGTAAGAAGGTGGATTTTTACGAGGAGACCTTTTCTTGGTAGTTTTCGGACCTCCGTGCTTGATTTGCCATTCAACCAAGTCTAATATTCCCATGCTGGCTGGACAAACCTTGTTTCTTTCTACTGTTGTACCTGAGATTGATTCAGATCATAAATATTCCATCCCAACCAATCACTAATAGTATAACCAATTACAACTTACTCTGCTTGAACAAATGCGCATTCACCGGCGTCAACGCCCTCCCCTTCACCAAAAACTCCTCGATGTTCTCCATCGCCAACCTCTCAAACCCAATGTGCGTATCCACCGTGCCTCCCGCATTATGGCTCATCATCATAACCCTCGCATTACCCGCCAACCTCGGATGCACATACGGCTCATTAGCATGCACATCCATCCCCACACCACTCAACCTCCCACTCTCAATAGCCTCTACCAACGCCTCCTCATCCACAAGTCCTCCCCTGGCAACATTCACAAACCGACTCCCCTGCTTCATCTTTCCGAACATCTCCCTATCCATCAACACCCGTCCCGCGAACGGCGTCGCCACAACCACACAATCCACCTTCCCCAACATCTCCTCCAACTTACCCACGTACTCTGCCCCAACCTTCTCCTCCACCCCGCGATCCTTCCGGATAATATCATGATACAGAATCTTCATCCCAAACGCAGCGTGCACTTTCCGCGCAATCGTGTACCCGATCTGCCCTAGCCCGATGATGCCAAGCACTTGTGTACTGGGATTCCGCGCCGTGAGGGGCGAGTTCGTATGCGCGTCGAGGAATTGCGTAGCGTTGATGCTGTGCGCTGCGCTGTGTGACCACCGCAAGTTACGGAATACGCTGAGGATGAGGAGTAGGGCCATGTCGGCGACGGATTCCGAGGAGGCCGCGGCGCCGTTGCAGTAGAGGATTCCTGTTCATGTCACCAACTTCGATGAGTAATCCGCTGGGGCAGAGGAGGAAACAATGAGGATGGAAAGGAGGAGGCAGATGGATGTACCATATTTAGCAAAGACATCTACATCCGCCCAGTCGTAGCCTGCGCCTGCCGAGGCAACAATCTTGACGGAGGAAGGCAGCAACGAGATCAGTTCTTCGTCCCAGCGGCCCATTTCGCCGCCCGTGTTCCAAAAGGGACGGAAGATGGCGTCAAAGTCGCCCCAGCGGCGCTCCTGGAGGGCTTGCTTGAAGGCATCACGGGCTCGTTCTTCGGTGCTGGGTCGGATGATGTCGAATTGTGAAGCAAAGCGCGCGTACACGTCGTGGTTGTATTTGATCGGGTCGCCGATGTGGAGGACTCTGGGTTTGGGCATGTTGAATAAATGATTATGAGGTGGGTATATGGAGAGATAGAGGATTTGGAAAGTCAGATTGGTTGATTATAGGTGAGTTGAAGTGATTCAATCAGTCTACTTCTATACTGGCGGTATACTGGTTGCCTTCCCAAAACGGAAACTCAATATCCGTCAATTGCCGTCGTAGCAAAACCCGATGCAGAAATCCGAGAATGAATACCCGACTATCCCCTGCAGTGCAACCAAAAACCCCCCTCAAATTCCACAACTCATCACGCCCGACGATCATCGTCGGTATTCGCTCTTCCCCACTGCCAACGTTACCACCGATGCAAGGCTCGCACCACCCAGGATGTCAAACATGGCCAGGTCCGCCCGCAGCTCGCGCGCAAACCAATTCCGCAGCTCCACCCCCGCCAGCGAATCCACTCCGTATTGATGAAAGGGCTTGTCCGTGTCGATCTCGTCCACCGGGGTCGACATCATGATTGAGAGCTTCTCCCGTGTTGCGCGCATGGCGATCGCTGCGGCCTCCTCTGTTGACGACGCCCCCGCAAACAGGGCTGCCAGGTTGGAGTCTTCGGAGCTCCCTCTGCCTTCTGTGCGGCCGTCGGTCAGAGATAAATGTCGGAAGAGTGGGCGGTCGAGCCATTCGGCCTTGCGCGTTTCCAGTTTCTGCCTGCTGGGTGTGATGCCTACGACCACTTGGCTCTCCTGCATGGAGATCGGGCCTTGAGTGGGGTCGCAGTATGTGTCTAGTAGAGCGTGTAGATGGGATTCTTGTATTTCGTCAAGAACTGTGTTGGCAAGGAATTGCTCTCGGCTCTCGGGGTTCTCCTTGAGGTATCCTGCTGTTAGGAAGAGTCCTAAGTCTAGCGAGACGGCCTTTTCACCGAGTCCGACTCGGTATCTCGCTAGTCCGTCCTCGAATGTGTTGCCTGCTGCGTACCCGGAGTCACTGACTACTCCCATGATGCCGGAGACGGAGGACATGAGAACGAAAAAGTCCATGCCTCGTGGGAGAAGCTCGTGTAGGTACCATGATCCCTGAACCTTGGGTGCCGTGGTCTCCTTCCAGGATTGGTAAGGTAGGCTTTCGAAGTTATGGGCCTATATATTGCATAGAGTTAGTTTTCATGCGTTGCTCGAGGCAAGGTTACTTGCTGGGAGAGCTTACGCGAACGACCATTGATGCCTGCACACATCCCTTAATCGGAGGCATCAGCTGGCTGCAGACATCGAGAACTGTCTTCAGTAGTTCTCTGTTTGTGATATCACATGCAGGAGTAATGGCTCGTGCGCCTCGTTCGTGCAACTCTTCGACCAAGCTTCTGGCGTGCGGGCTTTCCGGGCCAGAGCGCGAGAGCAGTATCAAGTTACGCGCTCCCCGCTCAACAAGCCAACGGGCAATACTTCGACCAAGCCCACCCAGGCCGCCAGCAATAACATATGTCGCATCAGGCCCGAATGTGTATGAAGGCTTCGTGTCAAGGACCGTCTGCGTAAATTAGCATATGCTGATTCTACCCTGAAAGCATGACTTACCATGACTTGGTCCGTTTCCCTCATCTCCAGCACAGTCTTGCCCGAGTTCTTTCCAGTCTGCATCTGCCTGAATGCCTGTTCAATATCTGCAATGCCTCGGACCTGCAAAGGATAAACTAGGTCTAGTTTTCCTTCTTCAAGTAGGGAGAATATTGTCTCCAAAGCTGCTCTGATTATATGCGGCCTGTCGATCGCCATCTCAGCAAGGTCAATAGCCGTGAAGCTCACGTTTCGCTCGAACTGCAGCATTGGCAGTTTGGAGTTAGACAAGATATCGTTCTTGCCGATCTCTACGAACCGACCGTACGGTGCAATGCATTCCCACGAGGCAATAAGCCCGTCACCTGAGAGCGAATTCAAAACAACATCAACGCCTCTGTCAGTCGTCAACCGGCGGATACCCTTCGCGAATAGTGTGTTCCGACTAGAGAAAATATGCTCCATTGGGATGTTATAGCGGTCCATCAGAAGCTGCCTCTTCTCGTCGGTTGAGACGGTCGCGAATACTGTCGCTCCTAGATATCGGGCAACCTGTATAGCAGCCTGTCCTGTACCGCCTGCCCCAGAGTGAATTAGTATAGATTCTCCTGCTTGAAGCCCTGCTATCTTGGTAAGAGTTATCCACGCCGTTGCATAAGCTACGGGGATAGCAGCAGCCGTCGTAAATAGCATCTTCTCGTTCCGGATCCCAACGACGGGCATGTCCTCTCGCACAGTAACATAGTTAGCATAGCGACTGGCATGAAAAGCGACTACTCTGTCGCCGGGCTGGAATTTCTGGCATTGATCCCCAACCTGGACAACTTCGCCAGCAAACTCTGCCCCGAGAGTATCACTCTCTAACCTTCCTAGTGCAACAAGAACATCGCGGAAATTCAGGCCCACCGCTTTGACCTTGATTTTTATATCTCTGGGTCCAAGTTGCTTTTGCAAGGACCTGTCCTCGACGAAATGCAACGTGTTCAGAAGACCAGGCGAGCCGATACTCAATCTCAACGACGGCCCTGAACCATACGGTAACAGGCCCTCCTGCTGTGGAAGAGCCTTTCTCACCACCCCTTGGGACAGTGTCCTAGCATCTACTAGGCGACTGACGTGAAGTACTCCATCAATTTCGGTGTATTCCGTGTCTGCACTCCTATCCATATCACCAATGGAAGAGAAGACAAGCTTGCAAATCTGCGCAGCTTTATGCTTCCTTGAAGAGTGACGCTCAAGAGACAAGTTTGTCAGTCGAGCCCGGTACATTTCTCCACTAAGAACCCTAAAGAGCCCGTCGACTAGTCGGTACTTGGGATGAGGCTGCTGCCCTCCGCCCTCACCAACCCAGATGAGGCTCTTGGTAGATGCTACCAGCGCCTGCAAGCCTTCATATTCCGAACTATCCATGTCGCATATGAAGGGGGTTGTCGATTCCAGAAGGCTAATATCCAGCAAGTCCGTCGATAACTTCCGCTGTGCCATGTCAGTCAAGGATGTCAGGGTGATCTTCGAAATTCCGAGCTGCTGGAGCCGATCAGATATTGCCGCGGCCAGATCAGCCTGTGTCTGGTCTTCCGGCTGGATGATTATGTTCACCGTCGTGATTTCAACGGGCCTTGGAGCGACGGCTGTCGACACAATCATGCTTCCTTCACGGCAAATATCGGCGTCGTAATCATCGACTACAAGATCGCACCCTGAGAAGCCTGTCTCCTTTAGAAGCTCTCCCCACTTCTCGGAACTAATGCAGGGACTCGTTTTGCGGTATGTTTCCGTGCCTACTGGGGTCAGCAGAAATAAGCACGCAGGTACAGGGTGACATACTTCTCCACCACCCATCAAGCAAACCAAATACAAGATTGACCCTAAGTGGGTGAAAGTGAGTGATCTCGAACAGTAGAAGCTTTCCACCCCTAGACTCATATTAGCCGTCCTCATATTTTAAGTGGAGGTAGAGTCACTTACTCTTTCAATAGCTTACGCACATTGCGCAGGCTCACAGCTAAGTCCTTCGTTGCATGAATTACCTAGAAACGTTAGTGAGGACCCATACCTGTCCGCGCTCTGATCTTACCATGAAGGCTACAACCATATCGTAAGTGCCACACTCAAACCCCTGTATCTCAGGGTCCTTTTCAATGTCAAGGACTTTGAATCGCATACGCTGCCCTTCTGCTGCAAACATCTCCTGTGCCCCTGGGAAAAAGGAACTTGAAATATCGGTAAAGTCCCACTGACCGTAACGACGCAGGCTTGGGTCCGTTGAAGTGTCCATGCTCAATGCCCTGATGCAGAAGTCAGTCATGGCTCCTGTGCCAGCTCCCACTTCTAGAATTTTCATCCGTGGGTTTTTATGTCCCAGTGCGCCAATGACCCTGTCTAGCCGTGGTTTTATGGAATCGGCGTAAAGCTATAGGCTAATGTGTTAATAACATCAGACCACGATTTCTCAGACTTGCTTACCATTTCACGATATACCTCCGCGAGCAAATTGTTGCCGAACAGCTGGGTAAGCGGATCTTTCACGAAACCGGCCAGATTTCGGCATACCGTACTTGTTAGCTGGCCCCTTTTACTGCCGCTCTCAACTCGCCTATGTAGCTCGCTGACATAGTCATCATCACCCATGCGATCTATCCATTCTTTGGAGCTAAATTCAGATAAACCCTGATCGACGGTTCTTTTGACTTCCAGAGCCCAGTCGATGTATTTGTTCAAGCGAGGCGGTATATTGTCTCTTTCCTCTTCGCGGAACGAGGCTGCATACCTGCTGACGGAAGCTGCTGCAACAAAGTCAAGCTCAGTGAAGTGCTCCACTGGCTCTATGACCTGTGATTCGTGGGCTCCGTACAGTCTCTGAGCCTCTTCAATTGTCAAGAGGTCAATGTCAGGTTTATGTGCTATGTAGTGGCATAGGTTGTCTGTCGTGAACGGATCCGAGACAGGGGTCGTCTCCGAGCCGGCAATGGCCGTCACCTTCAAGCCTTCAAGATTCAGGAGTGCTTTAGAGACTTCTCCGTCTACTGCTGTCATTGAGTAACTTTTATACCCTACAGCAGATTGACTGCAAGCAGCATACGCCCTGACAGCATCTGCCAATGGATGGCTGAGACCACCTGTGTTAGACAGCCAGAGCCGGTCAATCCGTACTGGTACGGCCACACTGGCTACACTCTGGCCCATGTTTGATTCCAGCCCGGCTGCCATCTGAATTATCGCGTCTAGCGTTGTAGGATGTATAGTATGATCCGGATAAACGCCAGTAGACTGGAATGTGCGGATACCCGTGATGAGCGCTTTGCAGTCCGTTTCACTGTAACCGATGGTTTCTATTGCGGCAAATTCGGGTCCGTACTGATATCCACAGCTGTTGAGATGTTTATAAAAAGACTTCGCATCAACAGTCGAAGTACATGAGCGAACCACAGTGTTGTAGGTCTCAAGAAGATGGCTTTCCCATGCTCTCTCTTCCCTAATGTTAGCATCGAGGCCTGTGTTTCGGCTCTCATATAGAGCTTGGATGGACCCTGTGCTGTTCTCCACCCAGTTGCCATTGTCGTATGCATATATGCGCCATTCATACCACCCTGTGGCGTCAGACCTCCCCTCCTTCGTGCGTTTCAGGTGGACATTGACTTCTATTCCTTCCGCATGCGTGGGAATCTGCAGGGCAGTAGAGAACACAGCATCCCGTATAATGAAGCCGATAACGAGTCGGTCCGGTTCAGCCAGTTGCTTGATGGCTTCAATCGCCATAACCAGCATACCGGCACCTGGGTACAAAATAGTGTTGTTGATCTTATGATCTTGCACCCACGCCATATCGGAAACACGGATGATGTTCCTCCAGCTGGCCTCCATTGGGTTTCCATTGGGCTCTGGGGTACCAAGAAGCTCTAAATAGCCATATCGACGGAATCTGTATCCCTCGCTCAACCGGCTCTCATGCCAGTACGATGTAGAGTGATTGAAGGAGTATTCGGGCAGATCCACTAGCACACGGGGTCGTCGTTGAGTCTTCGCCTCGCCATTATCATTGACCAACGCCAATTTGATCGGATATCCGCTGCAGTGAAGACGTCCTGCAGCTTCCATGGCGCATTCCAGAGCAGAGCGGTTGCGTATCATTAAAGGAATGTATGTGACTCTATCGCTCTTTTTCAAGACGCTAACAATATCCCGGCACGGCCCCTGCAGTGCACAATGTGGGCCAATCTCTAAGAGATGATTGATCGTGATGGCATGGCGATGACTCCCATCGATTTTCTTGTACGTCTTGCTGGACTGGGAGCAGAGATAGCTTATTGCATCGTGGAACAACACGGGTGAAACCATGTTAGTGACCCAATACTCCGGCTCCACTAGCCGCTCGCTCGAAACCAAGGTCCCAGTGACTGAGGACACCATGAATGGCCGTCTTCTCTTTCTCTTGCACGGTGCCTCCAGGTCCCCAAGAGCAGTGAAATATCTGTCAGATATCTCACGCATCTGGAACGAGTGGTAGGCAACATTAACGGCCAGCTTGCGGGAAAATACGCCATCCCGATCTAGTAGGTCATGCAGTGCGTCGATCTGCTCCAGTTTCCCGGATATTGTAACGCTTTGGGCGCTATTGACGCAAGCGACAACAGCCTCTACCCTCTCGAACTGGGGCTCAAGTGCGTCTAGGTATTTCTGAGTATTTTCTCTAGACAGGCCTACAGCAAGCATAGCTCCTTTCATGCTGCTAGACCTTCCTAAGACGCCCGCCAGAGAACCTCTGAAGTATGCAACCTTTAGAGCAGACCATTTCGTTAAGGCGCCAGAAGAGTATCTGTGGTTGCAAAGCAAGTCAGCAAGACATAATGAGCGATGAGACACAACAGAGGACTTACGCCGCGGCAATTTCACCAGAGGAATGGCCAACCACTGCAGCAGGTGAAACTCCCCAGCTTTCAAGGAGATCGACCAATGCAATTTGCAGTGCTGTGCATAGTGGCTGGCCGTAAGACGGGTCATTTACGTTCGAATCCAGTCCCGGTTTTTGAAGTTCCTCTATTCAAGAAGGTCAGAGATATTAAAAAAAACATAACCATTCTACTCACCTAATATATCCCAAGTGCATCCAAGTTCTTTGAAATAAGAGCCTGATTCGGTAAGGCTCCTCGTGAAAGCTTCATAGTGACCTATAAGCTCACGGCCCATTGCGTACCATTGAGCGCCTTGCTGTTCAATGTCAGCATTCCATAGAACCATACCATTGACGGATCCTTACGCCAGTGAAGACAAATGCCAGGTGTGGTGAGTCAATGCTTTGAATAGCAGGGGAAAACTGTCTGGTCAGATCTTGTAGAAGTACCCCTGGTTTAGCAACAACAAATGTCCTCCAGGCCCAGTGGCTTCGCCTATCACATAAGGTGTGTGCTAGATCTCTCAGGTATTCTTCTGTCTCTTCGACTGACAAATCGGAGAGATACGTGCTCCAGCTTTCTGCAAGACGTTTTATGCCTGCATGGTCTGCAGCTGACCATACTACCAGTTTCGGAACCGTTTTGCAGGCAATTGTGGAGTCGTTGAACGTATCCGTACCACCGGTATCGTGGTGGCCGTTCAATTGTGGCGTGCCATTGACCTGGCCCAATGAAGGCACTCTCACAGTATGGTGTCCAAATTGCTCGAATCCACCCAGTTGAAGGGAATTGTAAGCATCGTCAAGCACAATGTGGCTATTGGCTCCACCAAAGCCGAATGAGCTCACGGATGCTCGTCGTATTCCAGTAGTAGGCCAGACAATGGCTCTCTTTAGTATCTGCCATGGCCATTAGCTTACAAACTATTATAGTCGATGACACCCTTACTTTTAGCCTCAAATAGTCCTCATCAATCTGAGGATTTGTGTGCTGCAGATTGTTGCTATTCGGTGGAATAACACCTTTCTCTAACACAAGGACTGCTTTGATAAAGCCAGCAATCCCGCTTGCCCCTTCCAAATGGCCAATGTTGGATTTGACAGAACCACTATGAACCAATTAGACACCATGTTGTGTTGAAGCTCGGATACATACACATATAGAGGCGCTTGCTCTGATCGATAGGAACGAAATGCCGTGCCAATAGCTCGAGCCTCAATAGGATCTCCGATGGGTGTTCCTAGTAGAGACTAAGCAACTGATCCGTCCCTGTGATAGGTGGGGTGTGGTCTTACCCGTTCCATGTGCTTCGAAATATCTGGTGACCCCCATGTCCAGACCAGCCTTTTGATAGGTGTCCCGAATCAAACGAACTTGTGCGTCCTTGCTCGGTTGCAGGATTCCAGGCGTCCTTCCATCCTGATTCGAGCTGGACGATCGAATGACAGCCCTTACGGAGTCTCCATCTGCTATAGCGTCATCAAGCCGCTTAATGACCACAGCACCGACACCTTCTCCTCTGGCATATCCATTGGCTCTCTTATCGAAGCTATATGAGTGGCTATCTCTCGATAACAACCCAAGATTGTCTAGGCCAATTGTCATCTCTGGAGCCAGGATTATATTACAGCCAATGGCGACGCCCTACCCAACCGAGGTTAGCAAGTCTATTCTAGACCGAGGTGGAGAGCATAGGGGATTTAAGAACCATTGCCGCATCCCCGCCCCATATCGATTGACAGGCGAGATCCACCGCCATCAGACTGCTTGAGCAGGCGGTATCAATAGTCGCACTAGGCCCTAAAAAGTCATAGAACCAGCTAATGCGATTCGCAATCATATTCCGACCAGTCCCTGCGGTGGCATTCTTGGGCACGTTGAGCGGATCCTTAATCTGTAGCATATGGTAATCGCTACAAAAGGAGCCCGCAAATACGCTTGTCTTTGAGCCTGCAACTTGCTCGATCGGAAGCCCGGCATTCTCCAGCGCACGGTAAACTGTCTCTAACGCAAGGCGCTGCTGGGGGTCCATAGATTTTGCATCAGTATCAGTAATTCCAAAGAATGGGGCGTCGAAAAGACCGAGGTCCTCCTTCAGGAAGTGCGCTCCTCGGCAAGAAATACTATGGAGTCGGCCTCGTTCAGCGTCGTGATGGGCGTCAATGTTCATTCTACTGCTGGGAAACTCCGTAGAAACACATCGGCCTTCAACCAGCATTTTCCAAAACGCTTCTGGGGATGTAGCATCTTCCGGAAACTTCAAAGACATCCCCACAACCGCCAAAGGAGCGAGGATGTTTTCCCCAGGGGCATCGTGGGCCCTCTTTCCGGAAAAGGCTACCATGATAAAGATATATTAAACGTCGTTTAAATGGACAACAGCCAACAGCTCATCTCTGATGCAATACTATATGGATAATTTTGAGGTACGGAGAGCCGGTAAGGTAGGGTTTTATAAGGTATTTATCTAGTAAGCTCTAAATCCTTGAGTTCGGGCTTCACCTACTCAAATGGCCTTTCTCGGCAAGCATCAAAGATCACCGCCATGAGCAAGGCCAGAGGAGGGCTAGTGAATATTTAGCTCCCAAGGCGAACTTTATAGCCCCGCCATCGATGCTCTTGGCCGGAAGACTGTGTGTCAGTGAGGCCTGACAAATGCCCGTGCATGTAGGCATAGTCTGAAGACCATTCAGCAAAAGCAATTTGTTGACGGAACATTATTGGAACTGGTTGGGTTCCTAAAATATGATAGGAGTACTAGATTCATGCAGCTAGGTGTTAGTCCGAAATCTTGCTCACAGAGGAATGTGTGCAGCCCTCCGTAGAATGCCAGAGACCCAAAGCCCGCGGGGATAAATTGATGCGCCAGTCCATTTGCTCAGGGTAAGGACCCTTAACATTATTCACATTGTCTTAGACCCTGCAGAATGCGCATTCTCTGGTAATGCTGCTGTGAAAGCTGCTGTCAACTTTACTTTCTTGATGCTGACATTTCGATAGTCTACATGGAGCGGGTACCAATTCCCGAGTGAGTATTGACCCTAGCTAGCGATATCAGCTCCATGCGACCTTCTGCTGATCGATACTCTGCAACATCAAAGATATTCGAGATCCAGACAGCTGCCATTCGGTATGAACTAGGCGACAATCATATTTATGATTTTGTTGAAGGAACCATTCCTTCCAAGATGCAACCAGGTACAGTGGCTGGAGAACAGACCCCTCGCGGAGGAGTCGGCTAAATGTAGCTTGGCACAGGTATTGACGTGGTGGCTTGGAAGGACGAACCAGTGTACGCCTACTTCGATGAGCACAATCCCCAAACCGGATTTGCGGCTTATCATTATTTGGAAGACTACCTTCTTGACGAGGGGCCCTATGATGGGGTTATCGCATTCAGCCAAGCAGGCACGATGATCCTCACGTACCTGATTCATCTTGCCAAGCGCGATCCTCAGGCTGAGATGCCATTCAAATTTGCAATTATCCTTTCGATCACCCATCCCCCTCTTGATTATGAAGCTCTTCAGAAAGGTCGTGTGATGACCGTGGATCTCGAAGCCACCAAAGGCATTATTCCAATCCCAACGGCCCACATCTGGGGCTCACTAGACGAGCCAGCCAGCCGGGTAGCCACGTCAAATAGTGTCTGCAAGGCTGAGGTGAGATGGGTGTATGTTCACGGTCGAGGGCACGAAGTTCCCGGCGGAGGGTCAATGGAAGATGTGACCCAAGCCGTCAATGTTATTCGCAGGGCAGTTGAGACAGCATCCAATCACTGATGCACTTGGTGACCCCCAAGGGAGCGGCGCTATGTTGATCTCCACACTATGTAGTTAATCAATGGGGCCGGGAATGCAGGAGCTCAGAGCATTTGACGAAGCCAACTTCCAGGGTTCTTCGTGTTTGTACCCACACCACTCACCACTCATCCTAAATTAGTTCCTCCTTTAGCCCACATACTCTGTAGTTCCGCGGGGTCGGAGCAACCAAGTATTGCGTATTGCATTGATGGCTGAACTTTATCAACATAGCTACAAAGATGTTCTTTTCCGTATGAAACTGCCGAAAAGGCAAGTGCTGTAGATCTCCTCTAGCTCTCAATCAGTGGGGGCTGGGAAATAGTCAAAATTGTGGCCAAAGGGACTGGCACATATTAATGATAAGACGCACATCCACTATTGATCGCGTCAAGACAGATCACTTTCGGCGTCTCTCTAGTCGATTGAGTGGGGCTTCCTTCACCCAGAACCATGAGCAGTTTTGAGTTGCATGGCTCGAAAACCGAGTTGATCAATCTACCAGCAGTGACCCCAGAGTCGTTATTGTCAAGGCCCGAAGCTCCTCACAAAGACAATACCAACCATTCGGGATTTGAGCGTCAGGAACAGAGTAGCCCATCGGAATATTTGCATGGGTTTCGACTATGGACTGTAGGGGCCAGGTAAGCGGGCGCAATCATTTCTCCGACCGAGATTAGCAGAACGCATTCTAAGTCAGCTTATCGCGCGGTAGTGTCGCGCTGGGTCTCTTCTTAGCTACAGCTGAGATCACAGTAATCAGCACATCGCTTGTCACCATCAACGAACACCTTGGACGAGGCAATCAAAGTACGTGGGTCATCACGTCGTACCTCTTAACCTACACCGGATTTCTCGCCCCTTGGTCTAAATGCGCTGTCACTTTTGGTCACAAACCAACCTTATTGAGCTCTCTCCTCCTATTCATTGCTTTTTCCGGGGGCTGTGGTGCCGCCCAAAGCATCAACCAACTGTAAGCCAGCTTCCGCTAGCCGGATTCGAGCGCATCGGACTTTGCTGACCAGAGGCAAAAAGCATCATCTGCCGTGCTTTTCAGGGAATCGGCGGCTCCGGACTTTTCACGCTTGGACTATATAGCCTAGTGCGCATCGTGCCTCCGAAAAAATATGCGATTGCCAGCGCCGTCGGCTCCAGCGTGTTGACTTTCGCCCTCATCTTGGGATCGCTGATCGGAGGTGGCATTAGCAGTTCTGGCTCGTGGCGCTGGGTTTTTCTCTTCAAGTAAGATCGTATCTTAGACTCCTTCCTGTTAAGTCACTCTATTCCTAATGGTTTGTCTTTAGCGTCCCTGCGGGGGGATGGGCGTGGATTACGCTCTTCCTGCTCGCTCCGAGGCACTTTGGTGGGAGGATCAGGACTCGTCCTGTACGGACCCAACTGCATGAATTCCTGACTCAGGCCGACCTGTTGGGATACCTACTTCTGTTATCGTTTTCGATGCTATTAGTGGCCGCTTTGGAGGAAGCCAATGTTCGATATGCCTGGTCATCCGGGATTATCATTGGGTGTTTGGCCAGCTCGGGCGTCCTTCTGGTGGCCTTTCTGGTTTGGGAGTGGATCCTCAGCAGCCGAAAGCACGTGCGCATGGAACCCATGTTGCCATGGCGGTTGTTCAGAAGCAGAGTGGTGTTGGGAATAATCATGTTAGTGGAAGCTTTCCCTCTCCGTCCTGCAAGAGTCTTTCGAGTTGTCCTGGCTAGTCGCAGACATGATAATTTTGACGTTCCCGCAGTGGCTTCTTCCTGACTGGGCCTGCAATCACTATACTATACATCGAGCTCCCCCAAAAATTCCAGACCGTCAATAACTTCACCCCAATAGAGGCGGGCTTGAGGGTTCTCGCCTTTGGGGTGGGCTCCCCGGCGGGGGCATTATGCTGCACTGTCCTGGCCGGTCGGCTGGGAACTCCGTTTGTCTATCTGACATTGGCTGGGTCCGTGCTGCAGATAGTGGGGGCCTTCCTGCTGTCTTCCGTGCCGGCCACCGTGAATGCCTGGCCGGGCGAGTATGGATACATGGCTGTGACTGGTCTGGGCACCGGAATATCCATCGCGGCCCTGTACATGGCTGTTCCGATGGTGGTCGGACATCGTGATCAAGGTCAGTCGGATAAATTATGGGATTCTGCACTTATGCTGGACACTCCCCGACCAACGTGGACTGACATCTATAGCCGTTGTAATGGGCTTGACCCTCCAGGCCCGCATGCTGGGTGCCTCGCTAGGCATTGCCATTGTAAATAGCATATTGAGCAATTATGTTAAAGGGCATCTTCCGCCCGCCAACGCTGCTGCAGACCAGAACCATCTCTCCGGATTACCGATGAATGTACAGGAAACGATCCGTACAGCATATGCACATGGTTATAATCACCAGATGTACGCAGTTGGGGCTTGCGGTGTGGCCCAGCTGTTTGCGGTTGTGCTGATGTGGAAGAAAAACCAAGTCCGGTTCGATCGTCAAGCGAAGGCGACTTGGGCCTATGATCACGAGACCAACCAAGAACCTGGAAACCTGGACGGCTCAGTGGTAAGGCAGTAGCGAAATGAGACGGTATCTCCAAAATAGGATATACAGTATGCAGGAGGGCATTCAATCACTAGGCTGGGTCGCTCATTAGAGATTTTTTCGCATGCCCCTGATGCTGTTTTGGCTCTTTTGACCATGATACGTATCTATATACCCCATATTGGCCCACGTGTTGCCGTATGCAAGACTGTGTTTTCAAAGTAAATTAGGAAGAACTCTATAGCAGTATCTAGATGAGAGCGATCCTTTGAATCGAATTCTGTAACAGTCAACGCGGGCCAGGTTCTCGTCAAATCACGGCGCCCTCTCGCAATGCCCATCTAACCAACTCTGCCATACTCGTAGTCACCTCATTCGTACGAGGAACTTCGTGCCCCCCACCGTGATTATACATCTTCCTCTTGCCTGCGTTACACGCCTGGGACAGCTGAATGCCAGCGGACCATCGTGGATCTTTGTCACCGTATATATGCACCGTTGGGATATCAATCAGGACGTTTGAAGGCGCGATTTCCTTCCGAACATCCGCCTCAGACGCCCTGGGCCCCTTCTCCCCCTGCCAACGCATCGAGCCCTGCGACAAGATCGCTGAGGAGTCGGCCTGTGCTGCTAGTGCCTTCCGGGTCACGATGTCCTTGTCCCAGACCTCGGGGGCAATTTTATACCCCACCCTTTCCAGCACGCGTAGCGGCACTCCCGCGCAGATGAAGATGGCAGCTTTGAAGGGCAAGGGTTGATTTGGCTCTTCGAGCAAATGAAGGAGGGCGGTGGATGAGCCGACAGCGCATCCTTGTGAAAACATCATGAGGGCATCGTAAGGGCCATTGGTTCTTAGGTAGTTCACGAGCCAGTCGCGACTGTGGAAAACGGCTTCGATATTGTCTTGCTCCCAGAAGGAGTAATAAGGAGGTGGATAGAAAAGGTCAATCCCTGGAGCCGGATCGGATGAATAAAATCCATCGACAAATTCAAAGTCGATTTGCAAGTCAGATAATCGAGCGCGCAGCGCAGCTAAGGAAACCAAGCGAAGTCAGCTGAGAGGTAACTGAAATGAGGAGTGGTCGCATAACCAACACGTTTGGGACTTGAAGATGGCACCACTGGTGCCTTTCCCATGCAGGCAGAGGATTCTGGGCATTGTTGCAGGTTCGCCGAGAGGTAGACTCGAAAGGAGGAGATGGAAGAAGAATAAATCGAAGGAGGGATAACATGCAGCGTGATAGAGAGGCCGTCCCCACTACAGGTGCAGATGCCAGCATAAGCAAGGCCCGATGGGCACCGCGGCTTTAAAACAAGGTATGCTGATGCTAAATGCCATTCCTGGTACTATCGGACGCGGAGTATCTATCTCTGGGAGGTCGGGTTATATGATCTCGGCTTCCAAGCCGTGAAATAATACAATAATCATGAATACAATCAGTGCCCCGGCGAGGTGATGATCCCAGGTTCCACTGCGGGGGCAATTCCGGAGAAGTTACTCACATCCTCTCATGGCCTGTGATTCGGGCTGAACTTCTCGGAACAGTAGACTGCCGCAAAGCATGCCATCGGTGTGTAACAGCAATATACCCGAGTAGAAAAGCAATAGGAATGCGCAACACGGATGTCATTCGTTGAGCCCTTGCCCCCCTCCCCTTGCCTTGAATCGTATTCCTCGGCGATGGTTCATTATCGAAGACACAATAGCATCCTTAGCAGTTGTTGGAAAGCGATTCCCCAAGTGCGCCAAAAGATAGCTAGTAATTGATATCTTCACCTGAAAGCTCTCGGTCGCACACAGTCCGGCTTTTGAGTCGGCGTCCGAAGCGATCCTTCCGGCTGACGGAGGGGGTAAACGAGCTTACAAGAATCAATCTCATTAATAAGTTCCAGTCAAGAGAATGCACTAGAAGAGAGAGAAGACGAAGAAGAATCTCACTATCCTTGGCACATCATACATATGTTCCTCTTGACACCAGAGGACGTACGTAGCCCAAGCACGGAGCCTCGCGAATCTATCCCACCGTATAATGAATTCAAACCGTCGAGTTATCCCATTGGATTCGTGGCCTACAGTCACTGACGATACATCACGTGAAAGTGAAATATTTACTTCTATTGAGTAAGCGATTCTAATGGTTCACACATTGAGGTGATCAAAGCAGCAGCAGGATGACTTCTGACTGCAACAAATACTACTAGTAGTAGCGAGACTCTACATCCGCTGTTTGACGGAAGGTCTGTGTCATTGATTCGAAAAGTCATGATGCGTTTCGAAGGTACTAATGATTTCGAGTGTATCTAGCCAGACACATATTCTCAAGTGAGACCATGAAGAATTGTCTTTACTGCACTATGTTCAGCCAAATACTACGAACTACCTAGCTATCTATTCGAAAATACAGTACTACCACTTGTACTTACTCAGTACTAGTACTAGTTACTACATACAGTGGGCTGGGAAAGGGTCCACCAATCACAAGCTGGCCTGCACTCGGCAGACTCCGCGGCCAAAAATTTCCCAAGGCGACCTTGGAAGCTCTCGGGTCCAGAGTATCACCTCTGTTCATCAAGTCGCGACACTTCTAATCAGCTATCCTCCATTCATTCACTGATCTCTTTTTTACCTTTTCTTTTTTTTTTCTTACATACTTTCCAACTTTTCACATATCTCACGCGTCATCATGGTCGGGCCCACTGCAACCCTTACTCCTCTTGCTCGCGCCGATGGCTCGGCTTCCTATCTGTGTCCCTCGACCGGATCCAATATCCTGGGCTCTGTCAATGCACCCGTCGAGCTTCCTGGACGCCGAGATGCCTTGAAGCCCGAAGAAGCGACCGTGGAAGTATTCGTTAAACCGGGTACTGCGCCTGCTGGTGTTGGGGAACGGTACGTGGAGGGAATCATCAAGGGAGTCCTCGGAAGGTTGATCTTGGGACGCGAGAGGGGCTACCCCCGGCGTGGTGTTGTGGTCACGCTAGCCATCGTCGGCGGTGGGAGTGTAGGAAGAGGAGAGTCGGTACGTATCCTATGAATTGGCGATAAGTGGACAACCTCTGTTCAGCTGGCGTCGCCTGGTGGCTAACTCAGTGTCTTGAAATTCTATAATAGTATCTGACCCTTCTGCCCGCGCTGCTTCATACCGCCCTTCTTGCCTTGCTATCAGCCGCTGTTCCTCTTTCCATGACTTTCTCTGCGACTGTTCTGGCCGTCAGCGCGTCGGGCGACATCACCCGGGAACCGTCGACCGAACAGGCAGCCACAGCCAAGTCCCTGCACGCCCTAGCGTTCTCATCCAAGGGCCATCTGCTGCTAAATGAGAGCTCAGGGGCCTTTGACTTTGAGACATGGGAAAGGGTCCACCAGCGCGCGTCGGCAATCTGTCATGGCACACCGGCTGTTGGCACTGATGGGGACACTGCCATGGTTGAGGATGTAGATGGTCAGCCCCTGGAGGGGATCATGCGCGAGTCTATTGAAGATCAGGTCCACCGTGACTACGCCTGGAAGATTGATGCTGCTTGATTAGCCCGCGGATGCCACGGCAGCTAAGTAAATTCAGTCGCGACGGGCGGTCACAGCCAGCGAGCGGTCGCTCCCACGAATTGCCGTCCCTTCTATCGCCAGTGTTCCCAGGTGGCTTTTACACATGCCCCTTGCACACGAAGGAAGCTTTTTCACCGCACGCGGGCCCATGTGCATGAGACTTTCTGGACGAGTGTAGAAGGATTGTTATAGACGATATTCTACTGGCTGGTATGCAGGCTAAGAGAAGGACACAAGGGATGGCCGGGGAGAATTTCGTCGCAGGAACCGAAAAAAAAAGCCATCTAACAGGATCACGGCGAGGGACGTGCGTGCAAGGAGCCAACCACCACCATCAGTTAGAAGTCTCGGAAGCGTTACATTCCCAGCGATAAGGCCAGGCGAAACCCCCAGCTCCAGCCACATGGGGACTGCTGCAATATACCGGATATTAATAGAAAGTGACCATTCTACTCCTAGAGAGCTATGCGAGTGGAGTTGGGAAAAATTCAGGGATCTGTGGGATGAAGACCATTAGTGAACTTGAGTACTGTAGGCCACCCCCCATCCCTGCGTTCTGCAACGTGTAATCGCTCGTAATCTATGAAGATGAGAGACATCCACTGAAAAGGAGAGAAACCGAGGCATGCGCCGATCTGCACAGCCAAAAGGAATAGAATATGATGGATCAATCAGATTAGCAAGTCCATTGCACAGTGTGATGCTGGCTCCCTTGCACCTGTTATGTGCGATCGGCCTCTTCAGGCAACGGAGGGTGGAACAATGAAAGGGCAGGGAGGGGAATTGGTTCGGTAAATAAGTAATCATTCATGAAAATAATACGAGTGAGCAGGCGCATACCTTACAACTTTACACACACGAGACTAACTCACTACTAGTCAACTAGTTAGTTTGTTAACTCCAGTAGGACTGACTAACCAAGTATCCATTCTCTCTCTCCATGAGTTACCAAGAATTCCCCTCCCACATTACTTTTTCCGTCAGCCTCGGAATAACCCACGTCATGATTTCTCCAACAGCTATGGAGTAGTAATACTTTCTCTTCTATATTGTGCGGTCCATGGCCTTTTAGAATTTGGGTCAGCTTGCTAATTGGGTAGTAGATGTGGTGACTCTGAGTAGTACTACTACTACTGCCACTCCAGCCCGGAGTGTCTGTTGCGGAGTTAACTGCCACCCGCACTAGAACCGGGGGGAAAACGACAACTAAACCCCGGCTTCAATGATGACAGTCACCCGCTCTTGACTCCCATTAATAAGGAAGTGGAAGCCTATCGAAGTTCGACCAGGAGACTAGACTACAATGCCGGTGGATGCGACCAGAGAGAGTATTTACCCTGACCAATGGTCAGGGCCCGCCATGAACCTTGAAGTGGATTACGCTGGACAGGCGTCCGCCCAAACCCCGTTACATCCGAGTTTGTTACTCCCATCCTTTTCCCCCCCGGCGTTTTTCCATTCCGTCTCCAGCATATTCCATCATTACCTATCGAGGCCCCCCTTCTTTATTTTTTATATTTTATTTTATTTTGCTCTGTGTACCCCGTCTGACTGATTCTGAGCCAACCAGCTCCTGCATCGCACAATCTGTCATATTTCTATATCTGTCCATGGCGTCCTCCCCACTTGACCATGGCTCGATGAACCCTTCTTCTGCCTCGTCCTCCGATCCGCTGCCCGCGACCGGCCCTCTGCCGTCGCCCTCAATATCTTTGCCCTCATCACCACCACCACCGCCGTCCTCCGCGGCCCCACCACTATCAGATCCTCCGGTGCGCCCTCCTCCTCCTCATCGCTCGGCCACTGTGGGAGCCTCGCTCCTCCGCGACTATGCCTTGCACATAGATCCTTCTCACACGACAAACGATATCCACGCAGCCGACTCGGCTCCCGAGTCTCCCAATCTGGGTCTCGGCTCACTTCAGAAACCTGATCTTCCTCGTGAGGGTGCCGCTGGTCCCTCTTTCACCTCGTCCTTCCTGCCACGCCGGCAGACGGCCTCTCTAGCGGGCCATCATCGGAACGCGTTGTCTAACGATTCAATCCCTCGCCAAACCCTTCTCAAAGCTCTCGCATCACGACCATCCATGTGCAACCACCAAAGCCCGAACATGCCGCTGGCGGCCTCTTTGGGGCTTCTCAACACGAACCCTACCTCATCGGAAGAAACGGAGCGCAACTCCAGCAATTCCTCGTCACAGATGCTCTCTGCAGCTCTATCCAATATTCAGTTAGGGAGCTACCTAGACCGTTCTCCCGCGACAGCCCGGTTGGTTATGCAGTCACCATGCTTCTTCCACCAGCGTTTCGATGACGCCGTAAATATTCAGAAGGTATTGGAAGAGATTGCGGACGACGAGTGGCTATCGCATTCCCGTCTGGTACAGACAGCGACTGGTGTCCGAGAGGTGTCGAAGCAATTGCAGCGTAGGCCAATCAAACGCGCTGTCAAGAATATTATGATCGTCACCAAAGCACGCGATAATAGCCTGGTGCATCTGACCCGCGAATTGGCGGAATGGCTCCTCTCCACCCCTCGCTACGGCAACGATTTGGGTGTGAACGTCTACGTAGACGCTAAACTTCGGAACTCACGAAGATTCGATGCACAGGGGCTCCTGGAGAAGGAACCCCGGTTCAAGGAGATGCTGCACTACTGGACCCCCGATCTCTGCTGGACAGCTCCCGAGAAATTCGATTTGGTCCTCACATTAGGAGGGGATGGGACCGTGCTTTTCACATCCTGGCTCTTCCAGCGCATCGTCCCCCCGGTCCTCTGCTTTTCTCTGGGAAGCCTAGGGTTCCTGACGAATTTCGAGTTTGAGAATTACAAGTCTCACCTTAATGCGGTCATGGGTGATGTAGGTATGCGAGTGAACTTGCGGATGCGCTTTACTTGTACAGTTTTCCGTAAAGACCGCAGCAAGGGCGCCGAGGCGGGCGCCGTGGAGGAAGGGGAGCAGTTTGAGGTGTTGAACGAGCTCGTGATTGATCGAGGGCCGTCACCATACGTGTCAAACCTTGAACTGTACGCAGATAATGATCTGCTCACCGTGGTGCAAGCGGACGGGTGCATTTTCTCTACTCCTACCGGTACGTGTGACCCGCAAAAACAACAGACTGATTTTTAAATCACCGACTGACATGTGGTCTCAGGTTCCACGGCATACTCTCTTTCCGCTGGCGGTTCCTTGATTCACCCCTCTATTCCCGGCATTCTTCTTACCCCCATTTGTCCCCATACACTTTCTTTCCGTCCCATGGTTCTCTCCGATACCCTGCTACTTCGTATTGCCGTTCCCGCCGGGTCGCGGTCGACCGCGTACTGCTCGTTCGACGGCAAGGGTCGTGTGGAACTCCGCCAAGGTGACTATGTTACCGTCGAAGCAAGTCAATACCCCTTCCCGACCGTCGTGGCGGGTAGTGGAGAGTGGTTCCAGAGCGTTCAGCGAGCGCTGCGATGGAATACACGCGGTGCCGTGCAAAAGAGCTGGCACAGCTCTTCAGATGCGGGTCTCGAAGCCACCGAGGATGACGAAGACACCGAGTGGGACATCGATACCGATGCCGGGCTAACTGGCACGGACAGTGGCTTGGGGGTCAGTGAGGATGGCGATGCAGGGTCTATCAGCCCTCTGAAGCGGCAAATGAGCATGTTCAGCACCTAGGCTGTTCATTTCCCCGGGTGCCGTCCTCCCGTTCTCACCTACCCCATTCTTCTGGGGTTATGCTTAAGTTTTCTTCTATTGTTCCCGTCAGTTCGGATACACATTTTATATTGTTCATTCCACGAGCGACACTGGTTGGCGCACGCGCATCCTTTTCTCGTTCCATGGAACAGCGGCACACATACACTTTCGTTTTTCTTTATTCGGTTTGCAGCGACGCCTAATAGACTTTTTGGATATGTTTGGTTGCCATAGCGGGCCTTGATTAGAACGCTATATTTGGTTTTATATATTGGGAAGGCACATCCGAGTCCGTGAGACCCCAGCGATGGATGCACAGGCGTTAGACGGTTATATCTGGCACACTAGTTGCGATAGAAATTGAAGAACTGAATGCCCAGGAGATTGCAATCTCGCACTGGGAATATATATGTTATCATGGTTACTGTCTTCATCTTCAATCGCTCCAAGTATCATTACTCGACCATCTCTATATATATCATTAAACCATACCATCCATCCTCAGCCACCGATCTATAAACACACCACATCAGACTCTGTGGTACCAATCACCAATCACCAATCACAGCACTCCGCCAGCAGCGCAGCCAATTCCTCCAGATACTTTTTATCCTCATCGTCAAATCCATCCGGCTCCGCACAATCAATATCGATAATCGCTACAGTCTGCCCAACATACACCATCAGCCATCATCCATCAGATACAGGTAACATAGAACAAGTACTCACCTCCCCCTTGCTCAGAATCGGCACCACAATCTCACTCCGGCTGCTGGCATCGCACGCAATATGGCCCGGGAAGTTCAACACATCCGGCACGACGACCGTCTCGCGCTTCTCAGCCGCCGTTCCGCACACGCCCCGCCCGAAGCGAATCTCCTGACATGCCGGACGGCCCTGGAATGGACCGAGGAGGAGGACGGGCTTCTTGTTGCTGCCCTCTTCCGAAGCGGTGGAGGGTGCGCCGAGGACGGGGAACTTGTCCTGGCGGATGTAGAAGCCAGCCCAGTTGACGGAGGAGGAGGGGGCGGGGAGAGCAGCGTAGGCGTGCCAGAGGAGGGAGGCGACGTTGGAGAAGTTACTGTATTGGTTTGGAGAGGGTTAGGTTTGATGTGCTCTTTGGGTGAGAGTGGGCGCGATAGTTGAAGTTGTTCTTACCTGACCTGTTGGCGGTGGGAGAAGTGGTTGGTTAGCTGGTGAATTGGATAGGGGAGAGATAGGAGTTAGAGGTAAGAAGATCGTACCCAATTGCGCTGGTCGTATACCAGACCCCGAGCTTGCTCTAGGACCTGGGTGTAGACTTCGGATTTGGAGCCATTGCCGGCGCCGAAGTAAGAAGAGTCTGCGTGAGGCTGGTGGGGGGATGTTAGTGGACGGATATTCCATGACTCGAAGGAACATGTGCTACAGCTGGAAAAGAGACTATACCATTATGATAGTTTGCTCGTCTATCGATCAGCGATGAAGCAATTGAGGATGGAGGGTGGATGGGACTGCGGCGATGACGCGAAAGACGAAGCGATGCGAAAAATGAAAGTGGGGTTCCTCCGCACGAGATTCAGCGATCGCCATCTGCCGTCCCCTCATCGCCATCATCCATCCCGGTCCCATAAGAACAACATTATTATCTAGCTATGAATAATCATACACTCGGTCATCAATGATATGAACCCGCTCGCGCTGGACCCTTTCTCTTGGCTGCAGCTGTGGAGCTTTCTTCGCATGGAACTGCTTTTCTGGTCCACCTCCGATAAGAGCTGCCCTTGGCTAGCTTCATTAGCAGCAAACTATAACTTACTCGGATCGTCCTGTCATTTTATTCCCCCCCGTCTCTCTCCCCACTATGGGTCTATACTTGCTCTATGTTAAACATCATGTATCGTCTCATTGCAGCTGCTATCCTGCTCATCCTGCCAGCCTACGCGAGGGATATTGTCTTCCCTCCTGTGGCTGCCATCCATGATAATCCCTCCTCCCACCAATATCCTCTCGCTCATGAAGACACCATTGACATCGTCACTGGTAGCCAATTTTCAGGTCTGACTACTTTCGCCAATCTGCCTTACCTCAATTGCTTCGTGGACGATGAATCAACCCTAAACAACTATGACATTGCCTTCCTCGGCGCTCCCTTTGACACGGTAGGCCGTTTCTCCTCCTACTTTTCCATCGATCGCAATTAATAGGCACACGTAGGGTGTCACGGCTCGCCCCGGGGCTCGATTCGGACCCAAGGGTATTCGACTCGGCTCCCGTCGTCTAGGCGGATGGAGCATCTACACGGGAGAAAACGCCTTTGCCAGCTGGGCAAAGCTTGTTGACTGCGGCGACGCCCCGTTGACCTGGTTGGATAATACCGTGGCGTTGAAGCAGCTTGATATGGCACACAAGGCATGCAAGCTATTACCTCAGTCTGTATATTCAATTAATTAATGTCGGGGGATATAGGTTGTCTCGTCTCGTCGTGCCAATACCACGCATTTCAGCCAAATTCCCCGTATCATAACCCTAGGTGGAGATCACACCACGACTTTGTCTGCTCTGCGGTCGACGTACGAGAAATGGGGCCCTGTTTCAGTGATTCACTTTGACAGTCATATTGGTATGCCAAATCCACACCACGAACACTCCATATATATAACAACACTGACAAGCTCGTTCTTAGATACATGGGACCCCAAAGTGCTAGGTACGCTAACTCTCCCCCATTGTATATATATGTATAACTAACAAACCTCTTATACAGGTGGAGGAATCTCTCACTACGCGTATGCAACTCATCCTCAACCAACCCCATTATACTAACACTTACTCGCTACAGAGGCGTCAACCACGGCACATTCCTCCACCTCGCCCACGAAGAGGTATATAATCACACCATCTCTCACTACCCCATCCCACCCCAACAACAAACTAAAACCAATACAGGGCCTAATCCGAAACACCTCCATTCACGTCGGAATCCGTGCCCCCGTAGTCCGACCAAAAGGCGACATCCGAAACGACCTCCGCTGCGGCTTTGAGATCATCACCGCCCGTGACCTCGACCGACTCGGCGTCTCCGGCCTCGTAGAGCAAATCAAATCCCGCGTCGGGGACAGCAGAGTCTATATCTCGGTTGATATTGATGTGCTGGACCCGGCTTATGCACCAGGTGAGTCCATCCCAATTTCCCCTGTTGTTACGCTTCTTGCAAGAGAATGAAAAAAGAGGAATGGAGAGAGGCTGATTACTATGTGTGATGAACAATGTATAGCAACCGGCACTGCAGAGCCAGGTGGATTTACTACGCGTGAACTCCTGACCATTCTTGACGCGCTGCGTGGGATGCCTGTTATCGGGGCGGACGTGGTGGAGGTCGCCCCGATTTATGACACGGCCGGGGAGACGACCACGCTTGCAGCGGCGGAGGTGGCCCATTCGTTGCTGGCGCTGATGGTTGCGCAGCCGGTTGGGAGTGATGAGTAACCTTTTTCCAGGTTACTCGGTAATATCTGGGTTGTACTGTGAATGTGTGTCTGGAGTTCATATGATATGAAGTATGTACATGGATGGGTATATTGCGCATATTTTCTGCATATAATCTACATACAAGAGCAATCATGCCAGAGGATGTTCATCTCCTCTTCTCCATCTCAGTCTCTTGCTCCTCGTTCAACTCAACCACTTTCCCCTCTGTAACCCTACTGTCGCTTCCGTCCCACGCCCCTGGGCCTGTGAAATGCTTTCGCCCCGTCACTACCCATGTCACCACGCTAACCACTGCAATCACCCCAATCGCAGCACTGGTGTAATTCATCGAGTCCTTCGTCACCGGGAATGACTCGGGGAAGTTGAACGTGATGGACGCAAACAGCAAGAACAGCAGCCCAAGCACGTTCAGACTAATAGACATTGAGGTGGGTAGCGCGAATGGGCCCGTAAGGGTACGTCGGTGGTTGGTCACATAGCCTAGCAGGCGACTTCCAAGGGCCATGGCGTAGGATAAATCTTATCCTCTGTTAGTTAAGTGTTTGCTATTTATTATTTGGGGATATATGTGGAGAGACCTACAGAATCCCTCAGTGGAAATGGCAATGACGGTCTCGAAGCCTGTCGAGGTACCAAAGTCGATTGCATCCAACGCGAGCTGAACGACCAGGGTGAGCAGGACGGCATTGATGGGGACCTGGCGCTTTTTGTCGACTTTGGCGAGGAATTTGCTGAACGGGAGGCCGTTGTCGCGGGCGAAGGCGTAGACACAGCGAGAGCCCTCTGCAAGGATGTTGTTCCCTGCGACAATAACTATTACAGCAATCATGCTGGCCAAGAAGCAGGCAGCCACTTTGCTACCAGTTGAGTCGTAAAAGATCTGGATGACGGGCACTCCGGTAGGGGAGTTCTGAGTGGTGGCGATATCACCAATGCAGAAGCAGAGAACTAGAAGGAAAGCAAAGCCGGTGACGGCGCCAAGGACAACGGACATTATGATTGCTTGCGGTGCTTGCTTGGAGGCGGATTTCATTTCCTCGGTCATGTGTGAGGGGGCGTCGTAGCAGCACATACCGAAGCAGGCCTGTAGGATGCCTACAATGGCTGCCATTGCCCGGTCCCAGCCGGTAAAATTCTGGAACTCGACAAAGACAAAAGAGGCAGACTGCTTATGGTCATTCGTGGCCAGGAGGACGACGACAGTGATGAAGAAAGCGGTTATGTTCCAGACAAGAATGAAACGAGCGAGCCGGTTTAGCAGATGGGGCCCCCAGATGTTGATAACAGCAGCAAGGATGGCCACGAGGTAGGCTACTAAGACGGTTTGCCAGCGCTGGATCTCGTAGGAAGGGAAGACGAGGTTTGCCATTCCGAGTACGAACTGTGCGGCGATGGAATTGTTCGTTGCGCCCATTGCGAGCAGTCCTAGTAGGTATCAGGTGAGTTTGGCTCAGCGCTTACAGTGCGAATGTTGTTGGAGTCATACCTATCAGCATGAACCATCCAGTAATGTATGATAACTCCCGGGAAAATTTTGGGGGAGCCAAGGCGGCCACCCACGAGTATTGGCCTCCAGCCACTGGATACATCGAACACATTTCGGCCATGGGGATGGCGACGGCTAGGGTAAGAAGACTGACACCAATGAAACTAAAGACCATAACCGGGGGCCCGCCCGACGTGACGCCAACGATGAAGACACCACTTAATGCGGTCCATCTTGAGGCAGAGTCAGCACAATGGGCTCTATATCTCGATGGGAGTGACTTACGAGGTGACGACGCTGAAACTGAACCCGATCATACCCAGGAGGCCAAATGACCGTTTGAGCTCTACGGAAATTAGCACACTTTCACAGGCCCCAGTCCAGTCAACGTACCCTGCTCATAGCCCAGATGCTCCAATCTGACATCCTCTCCTGTCGTAAGAGGGCCCACGGGCTGGATCTCATCTTCTGATATCGCCATTGTTGGGAACAGAGTCGGGAAAACAATGACAAGTCTACAATTGAGTTCATCGCGGCAGCCGCCACCAGTTGGGGGTATTTATTGCCATGCTAGAAGAGGGGGATGGACACCTCGGACTATGAGCGATAGGGTCATAGATGCATTCTGCAGGCATCGAGGAACCGGGGAAGCGATAGCCGGGGTAGCGATAAGATAAGCAGACACAGCGAGCATTGCCAAATCGAGAAGGTCTGCGCGATGGCCGGTGGAGCACATTCGCCCAGAAAAAGCTGGGGAGACCACCAGCGAGACAGAGCGAGCGCCTGTCTCCAGTCATGCCAATTTGTCATAAGCCATCCCGAGTTGATAAGCTTATCAAAGGCAACTGGGATAATGAAATGTGAGTAATAAGGATTTGTGCCGTGGGGAGTTTCGGAATGTCATTGTGGCGATTGGAGGACGGAGTTCTGAAGTTGAAGTTAGTTGGAGGTGGAGAAGTTGGTAAAGAAAAGGGAAGGACGACGAGATATGGACATGTGACTCTTCAGCCTCATCCTCTCTTCAGGTGAACTGGTCTGTTCTCCCTCTCTGTCTTCTGCTATTGTCTATCCTTCCTTTCTCTTCCCATGCCTTCAGACATGTCAATTTACCAGCCCATGGTTTTGGGTCTAGGTTGATCAATACCAAGCCATTGGAGGTTAGTGATCCGTTGACCATGTCCTATAGTCGCAGTTGAAGGTTGATGGAATATCCAGGTAGAGTGTTGAGGCACACTCATAAAACTCAACTAAGTTCATCATGATGAACTTTTCAGTCCCTGAAGACCAAAGCCCCTCATGATATATTTGGGCCGGCACGAGGAACCTAAGCGATTCTCGCATCCGACGGATCAACGACGTGTCTCTCGGCAGCCACAAACCTCAGATACACTCCTGCTGCTAATTAATCGTACCCTATACGAAATACGCAATATACGGCGGCAGACTGTCTATATAAAAAGGCCGCGGCATTTGCCTTGGTCCCCTGACCCCACACAACCCGCCGAATACGCAAATACGACAAGCGGTCCGCTCGGATTCCCCGAACAACAGTATCCGGGCCGTTACGCCTTTGCCTACACGCACCCACAGAATGGCCTCTTGAGGAGAAACGGCTGCTTGCGTTCCAGCGGTCAAGCCATGTGGATATGGCTGTCAAGGCTCGAACTATAAATGGCATGGATGTCCCCTGACCGTTACCGACGAGAACTTTAAATCCAGAGCCCAACAACCACCATGTCCATCGACCTCACTGGGAAAACCTGCCTCGTCACCGGTGGCGCCGGTGGCCTAGGCAAAGCTATTGCTACCCGGTTCTACTCCGCCGGAGCCAACGTGGTCGTCTGCGACATCAACGAGGAGCGACTCCATCAGACGTCGCTGGATCTTGCCGGACCCAGCGGCGATGCAAGACTCAAGGTCATCAAGACAGACATCACCTCTGCGACAGAGGTGCAAGCCCTTTTCGACGAAATCGTCGCGAAATTCCAAAAGCTCGATATTCTCATCAACAATGCCGGAATCATGGATCAATTCGATGCTGTCGGTGATCTGGATGAGAAGCTGTGGGACAAGGTCATGGCTGTGAATTTGACTGCGCCTTTCCTGTTAAGCAAGCTGGCCGTTCGGAATATGCTTGCTCAGAATGTGGTCAATGGAAGTATCGTCAACATCGTCTCCATTGCTGGGAAGGCAGGATTTATGGCGGGTATGTCATTTGCTGATTGGCTTCTTCTGCCTGGGTGAATTGACTGACAAGTACAGGTGCCGCGTATACCGCTAGCAAGCACGGCCTTGTTGGCTTGACCAAGAACACGGCTTCGTACTACGGCAACAAGGGAATCCGATGCAATGCGTTGATGATGGGTGGCATGGAGACGAACATCACAGACGCGTTCATGTCCAACATCAACCTGGAAGGGAAGGACAAGGCTGTTGCTCTCATGACTGCTGCTGCAGCACCGATGTGCGACATCAACCGCGTTGCTGAGCTGTGTCTGTCTATCTCCTGTGGTCCTGGTGCAGAGATCATCAACGGGACATGTATCCCGATTGATCACGGAATGTCGGGAGTGTTGGGTTGAGCTCATTCATTTATCATTCCGACTGTATATCTTCACTTCAATGTAAATACTTCACGCATTTCACCTACTTCCACTATCCCCTCCACTACACCAAAACGCTCATAAACAATCTGAAACTCCGCCAGAGTCTCCCTCCCCATCTCCATCAACGGCTCCCCAACCCAATATCCTCTCACCCTTTCGCAACCCTAACCTCAAACCACCAAATCGCCACCGCAACCTCAATCACCAACTCCGTATAAGTCCAGTTCATCTCCACATACAACCTCTGGTAGATGATCCTAAGGCTCACCAATGGTCCCCAATCACCCGCTTCTACAAAAATACAAACAAGGTACTATAAGTCGAGCCAGTCAACAACAAAGGCACAGGTGCCAGGCAGTGTGGAAGCCCACAGGGAATGTAAATGAGTGTAAGCTTCAATCGTGCCCTGTCTACTTACCCACCTGAAACATAAGTACTCAAGGTTTAGAATAACTATATGCTGTCTCCATCCCTTTTCTTTCCTTCCATCATCATTGACTGACAGTACTTTTCCCAGCATCTTAATCTACCTCTCTCTGTGAATACATCAGAATCGTTCAATGCAAGCCATTCCCCAGAGTCACTTCTCAAGAGCGATATGTGCTTGCCAGTCAGTGACGTCGCAGAGCGGTATCCCGAAGGACACATCACATTTGTGAATTCAAACAGCCCGTGTCACACTCACACTCACACTCACTACTCCGATCGTTGGTAACTACATCAGGGGCTACGGCCCGGCAAATTTGCGAGCCCTTGCAGTATTGAAAAGCATGGATTGACGATCTGATATTTCATGCAGGGCTTTGCGGGATGTATTATATTATACGAATCAAGCGACTACTTGGGGCAGATGAAATCAGGACTTGTAGTTCAGTAAAGGAGTAGAGCTGTTACCGTGTGCCATAACCCGGACGCTGCAGATCAAGGAAGAAGCATAAGATAGACCTCAGCTCGGGGGACTGGAGTCCAGTTGACGTACCACAGTGTCATTACGGGCTGTCAATGCAGGATGCGTTATCTAGCCTGTTATGCGGGCATGTCGAAAGGTACATTACATTGATGGAGAAGTCCTGGATAAGAACTTAGTAGTGGGTGGTCACTGTGTAGAAAAGTCACCAGCCGGGTGATAAGCGGCCAGCGTCCAATCATGTGTTGTTTCATTTCAATTTCATCAATCAGAGGTACCTGCTGAGCGAACTTCTTGGACTGGGCAAAAATATATGGGAATTCCGAACTACGAGCATCCTGGGTATGGATTACAAACATCGTATGCTATATACACACGGTATCCCATGCATCAGTCCAGATATGTCACGGACGTTCTCCGAGCCGCCTTACCGTAGGCCAGTTTCCAGAATGCCCATGGATTTATTGTGGCATCTTTAGTTTCCTTCCCTATAGAGAAGAGGCAATATTCATTGGGGACTTCAACATATTGGTGTTCTGGTGGGTCTTGCTTACCAAGTTTTGGAGCACGCACGGAGCGAGAATGTCCTCAGCATTGACCGGGGCTATGCTATCAGCTCTGGACGGTCCACCTACCTCGACAAAAAGATCTTCCAATTGCTAAAATGATCATCGTCTGTATTCAATATAGCACGGACGTATAATGTCTGGTCATCACCGCTGCATATCGTTTGGTTGGCTACGGCCTAGTCAAGCTACTATTATCCGAGCGCCAAAGCATCCGATTCCAAGCGCAGTCCGGTCGAGGCAAAGCTATCGGGTCCGAAATTGGAAGAGTGATTGGCTAAAGATAGATAGCATGGGGGAGCCGACGCTACCCTCACTCAAAATCAGGGCATCTGGAAGATGTTGGTGCGGGAATCAGACTGGTGTAATCACAGCCGAGCTGGTATCAGGTGTCCCGTAGGTGTGGCTGTTTTAGTTGAGGTGCTCATATTTAGGTTCTGACTGTTAGCATCCAGACCAAGACTTCCACATCATGTCCAGGCCTTGTCAGGGGGCTATACATGGCCAGACCGTATTCAAATGAGTCAACGAGGCTTTGAGCCAATCCACTCAAGGGAAGTCATACAACCCCATTTCATAAAGTGATGATAAATAGCCTACACAATGCGCCGAAGTTTGGGATCTGGCTCGGGACAGATGCATTGCCAGGCTGCATACGCACAGACTCGGCCCTGGCAGCTCTCATGAAAGCTCCTGCATTCGTTGTTGGATGCCGCTATGTCGGAGTATATACTAGTGTCGGAGGTACGTTCCCAGCCATAGATCCAGACCACGGTCAGAGACAGGGTTAGGCTTGGTACCAACGGCTGTTCATCTCAAGTCACATCCGGTGTTGTTTGCCCAGCACGTTAGGACACTGCCAGGTGTTTCAGTTGCATGAGGACCAGCTTCCTTTTTTGGACCTTTGACGTCAATGCTGACCAATAAGCAAGTCAGAGGATGACTTTAATATCGAAAGATGGGAGGGGCGACCGTAGCACGGGATCCGTTGTCTTGGATGCGCACGTTGCCTAGCATAGCCTCCATGCAAGCTCGATGCCATATCCAAGAAAGACAATAGAAGTGAAGAGGGGAAGGTGTGACGAGCAATAAGTGATAGCGGCGAAGCACCAGCGCGGCCTAGGTAGTCAGCCCTGCAGGGGTTATTCCAGTCACAGTGGATGGTGGGGTTGTTGATTGATTGATTCAGCCATTGTGACGCGTGATTGATCTGCATCCCAGTCACCACCCACCAGTCTGTAACCAAATACTATGTAGCTGGCTTAAAGGCCACGGACTAATCAGCTGGAGTTGATCTGCCGGGGGTCAACGTTGCGTCTGACGAAGCCTACCCTCCAGAACCGCGACCAAAGATATTTCGTCAGGACATCCTGGTGTAAGATCTATGCTGGTGCCTGCGCCATGGATCGAGGGTTTATCCGGCAGGGCGGGTCAACGAGCCTTCACGGACCAGACACGAGAGCATACGGTAACAGGGATTATTTGGCAGACTGTTAAGAAAGATTGGCCAGTAAATGCTATCCTGTAGAGCAAACGGAACCCACATAGATTGAATCTTCAAGGCTATTTTCCTCGCTCAGGCACACCGCGTTTGCCACCCTTGGAATCGAGTTCCAACCAACATCATTGGATCTTGAAACGGCAGAAATCACAAAGCGAAAAGGTCAATGCAAAAGTAGACGCAAGTAGCCAGGCAGATCCGACCATAGATCCAGACGCGTCGCTGGTGAAATTCTGGGGCGGGGCATCTGGTCGAGCGAGTGTGATGGAGGGGGAGACTAGAGGAAGTCGTCTGATCGCTCAGCACGGCGTGAATGACGCCCTCACCCTCTCACATTCTTCGTGATGGCTTTCAGCCATCTTGGATGGCACTAAAGTGACAAGTGTTGATTGCTAAACGGCGTGGTGGGTAGACCATCCTAGACCGTCCTATCTAGACCATCTTTTGTCTTTCTCAGTTCTTGTGGCCTGGGCCGATCGAAGGGGTTGACTGGAAGGATGAAAAAAGTTCCCAGCCTAGTTGCTGCTCTCCGCAGTTCGAAGGGGGATGGCCAGGGCTCTCTGTGACACCGGCAGCTGCAGATCGACTGTGCGTAGAGAATCGGTTGGGTCTGGGGTTACAGTGCGCTACTGGATAAATGACTCGCAGCAATATTCTTCTGCTAGCAGTAGTTAGTCCCTGATAGTGTCCCGATAGCGTCGCCATCCCCTCCAGACCGATAGCCAGTCTCCGTTCAGGATTAATCCTCCCATCAGCTTCGGCCAAAGGGCCTCGGGCAAGCATGGACTCACTTGGGGAGGGGACCGTCTCGCTCGGGTTCCGTCTAAGCCCAGGCAATCCTGGCTGTGCCTATTATCCTCGAGCGTATCGTTATAGTAGCTGTGTGCTCTGACTCTATGGTGTCTTGCGATGGTAGCCGGCTGGGTCACCCGAGTTTCCCGCGTGTGGTTACAACAGGTTTCATCGGCTGAACAGGGGTATCAGGCGAGAGGAACTGCTGTTGAGGAGCCTGGAGGTGAATATAAACAACCACGGAGTCCATGCCAGAGGAGACTAGACGAATATCTGGCGGTCGCCGTCTTATGTCGTACAAACTTCATCCTTTGTCCGAATCCATCTGCTTACTATTTTTCCGAGTTTACGGAGTACCTCTACAGCACTTCATCGTTCTGTGACTTTTCTTTTTTGGGGCCTGGCTGACAGGTGACTGACATCGTTCACTTCGCCCACGATATTGGTTACTCATCGCTCGGTTTGGGAACTATTTATTCCTGTTAATTCATTTGCATGATAGAGACCAAGGAACAATTTTCTTTCATGCCTCCTACTGGATTCCAAGCAGACTTGCCAAGAACTTCCTGGTTCAACCATCCACTCGCTGGCATTTACCGGGCCTTGGACTCCTCCTTCCGTTAACCTTTCAACGTGACCTGTCTTATTTATTATTATTGTTTTATTATTATCATTATCTTGCCATATTGTCACTGTCTGCATTCTTGCCTTGTTTGGTTAGGTCACTTCCATTCCTCGCTTCTCTTCTTTTCTATTCTCTACTACCGGTGTTGACCGCTATCACTCCCACTGGCGGTATTATTCTGCGTCACTGGTTGCCGACTTACTAGTAGTAGTGACTACTACTAGCCCCGATCACGACTAGTGCCCGTCGGTTCCTCAGGAACCAATCACCCCTCCTTCCCATCCAGGAATACGATAGTCGACCGACCCGGGTTGTCCGTGCGGCCTATAGAATAAGTTTTGGAGGGTGAGGTGAGAAGTCGGCTGCTTCGATGTGAGTGGATGGATTTCCAGTCTCCTTTTCTTTTTGCCTCTCCAGCGTATCAGCTCTGATCGTCTCTCCCTCTTCACTCTATGGCACGTTTCTTTTCCTTCCCTAAATTTTTTTTTCCCCCTCTTTTCTCTCTCTCTTCTTTTTGTTGCAGCGAAGTGGAGTGGAACCCGGATGGGCGGTAACCATACCGTACTGTACCGTGGGAGCTCCGCTTTTGCCCCTCTCTCCAGGCTTTGGTTCCCGCGTCTCCCGCCATGACGCCATGGGTTCGGCTTGCGTTTGTGACGGTTTTGAGTTTCCCCGCAAGCTGACGATCAATTAGAATTCCTTAGTCTGGAGGAGAGGCAGTGGGCAGAGAAAAGGAAAAAAGAAACAAACCAAAAACAGAAATTTGGCTCGGGGTAGATTAGAGTTCGGATTGGAACAGAGAGGGGAGAAAATAAGAGAGAACGGCAGTATCAAGAGTGAGGCAGACCAAAAGAGGGGAGTTGCATGATTTTTTCCCCTGAGTCATAGTATCACTGCGACGGCGGCATCCGCGGAGGGTAACGTATTCTGAAGAGAGAGAGAGAGACTGATTTTCAGTGGGTGTACCTGTCACTGTCAGGGAGGAAGTCATCCGGGGGTGCCTGGATTGGCATCGTCCCATCCGGCTTATCCACTTACGGTGCTGACAACTGGGGAAAGAAGAGGGTCAAACTAACAGACAAAGAGGGAAAAAAAAGAAAGAAAAAGAAAGACCCATTCATAAGGGAAAGGGAATCCCCGTCAATGGCTACCTCTCCACCCTCTTCTTCTCCCTCCGCCTCATTCTCCTCCCCTTCCCTGTATCCCTCCTCGCACAGTTCCTGTCACTCTCCGCCATTGCTCAGCAGTAAGTCTTTCCTTCTCCTCGTCAGTCCTCTTCAATCAATCCGTTCATCTTCCCCTCCATCAAACCTTCCGGCCAACCATGCAACTTTGCCTTCCCCACTCTTTTCAGGCAGATCTCACCCTGTCCCTCCTCCCAACCTCAATTTCCTGATTGGCCCCTCTACATTCCTCTTACTTTTTAGACCCTTTTGCCTTGTCAGAGTCTTGCTTTGCTGTTGCGGTTTCAGTTGTTGGCACTGATCCCAAAAACTGATCCCCACCTGACACGTGTGGCATCTACCTCTGCACATTCCCAATGATTCATGCTGATCGCGTGCTGCCTCTAGCCAATCTTTCTTCCTCCTCCTGGTCGCCCTCCTATCGTCCGTCGAGCTTCTGTGCCCGAGACCAGTTAGAAAGTCTCATTGCCAGACACGGTCACCCCACCCGAGTTTCGTTGTCATCGCTCCAGGAGTTAACCGCAACCTCATCTACATATAACCCGCCTTCCCCCGCGTCGTCGAGCTCAGACACGACAGACTCCCTCGAGACCCTCACTCTCACCCAGTCAACCTCCCGACCTATTCCCATCCCCAAGCCGTCTCCCACCCTCCGCGATAGAGACTTCCCCGTCACCCCTCTAACAGGGCGTTTTGACAAAGGCTACTACTTTGCCCACCGTGACCAAACCCCCGAGGGGCAGCGAGAAAAGGAAATCCATCGCAAGACCAGTCGACCTGGTCACCACCCTCATCGTTCACCCTCGTCCAGAATGCGTTCTGACAGCTCAACTTTCTACCCGCCCGCCATTGCACCCGCCATGTCTCCAGCTGGCCGTCCCTCCTCCCCGCAGCCCTCCCGCTCGCAGGGCCAAAACACCTCCAAGTCAATGCCTGCCTTCCACCTGGGAAGCTTGCCACGATTCCATCCTGCAGTCTACCAGTCTTCCGGCAGCCCTCAAGCACAGCCTTCTTCACCACGACTGCCTCGACAGCACGGGTATCGCACGTCTTCTGGCTCCCGTGATGGCATGTGGCAGTATCGAGACCTTGTGGATGGGGCTGCCCTGCCCAAGACTCCTGGAACTTTATCGCCGGGCCCATCCGCTCCGCGACTAGACCCTCTTCGCAGCCCTGGCCCGGTAACCCCGCTGGCGCTTGAAGAAGCAAGTGGCTATCTGGCCTCGGGCCCATCTAGCTCTTCCGACTTCTCCTCTCGAGAACACTCTGGGCCGGCCCCAGATATGGTGGACAGGCTAATTGCTCGGGAGACTGAGAGAAACCGACAGAAAGCGATGAAGCCCCTCAAGGGCTTCTAGGGTTATCGTGAATACATCCACAGTGGCAACTGTCCTCGGGCGGATGGTTGTCAGCAATAGTTATGCTTTATAGCATGACTTAGACCTCGGACTTCGGACTCCAGGTCTCATTGAGTGCTATCGGTGGCCTGCAGGACAGCACCGATTGTGAGCTTAAGTTTCGACTTTCTTTCGAGGCCATTCGTGCCAAATTGTTTCTTTTCACCTTCTCCATAAAACCACTACTATGTATTATGAAATTATGCAACTATACCCCACAGCTGATCCGCGGGATTTCCCGGATATTTGTATTTCCTCTCCTCTTCTGCTATTATTCCCACTGGGGTTGACACTCCCTTATTCTCAGAACCGAGTTTGCGCCTTTTTGCTTTCTACGACACTGTGTTATTTCGGGCATTGTATCATCAAGGGTTGAACAGAAACAGCCTGTCATCCTTGAGGTGGGACTGGAATGTGACGTTTCGCTCAGTTTGTCATATATACTTATGAATTCGGTTAAAGAAAGCGACAGTCGGTATAGACGACGTGGGAGGTGATTCATTGCTAGTTGCAAAATAGGCAATGACAGTGAACTGGGTTCGATCAAACCCCAAGAAAAGCAATAGGACACATAGTTAAATGTTGTCGGACTGACCTGCCGACAGCGGATTAGTTGCTATCTACTGTAGATACTGCACTACTTTGTACTAACAGTGCTCCATCTTTCGTACTAGTAGCAATGGATTAGAGCGACGTGAGTGGCTCCCCCAACCCTTTTGCCCCCCGATCGGCCGCCCATCCGGTCGGAGCTGGGCTGCTGCTCCCCGAACCACCGGATTTTGCGGGGCGCATCTGCTGCTCTGCTTGTTCTTCTCCCCCGTCTTTCGCCTATTGCTCCTCTGGATCATCTTCCTCTCTTATAACTGCATACTAGAATACCCTGAGAACCATCGCTCTCATTCCCCATCCTGGTCAGAAGTTCGTGGCTCTCAACCATCAATGGACTTCCCGTGCGCTCGTTAATTCCGCTCATTGCTTTGTCCCGATAGCGGACCCCGACACACCTTCCTCCACGAATTTTTGATCCTCGGTCAAACCCAACCGACTCTCAATTTGACACTCCCACACATCCTTGAGTAGAGGGAACGACATACCAGCCTTTGCGACACACGAGCGCTTCCCTGTCGACAATGTCGTCGACGTCCGCACCGCTGCCAACCTCCACGACATCCGGAGTACCAGAGCAACATTCTTCCGGGATTATGGCCAAGGCCGATACACCAAAGAACAGCCCGCCAAAGTCACAGAGCTCTAAGCATGACTATAAAGGCTTTGTAGCGGGAGTCTTCTCAGGAATCGCCAAACTTAGTGGTATGTTCTTGCCCGCGCTGCGCATAGTCTTCGTGCTTTCTTGGGAGTAACCATCGCTAACAGATTCCGATCCATAGTTGGCCATCCGTACGTGACTGCGCACCTTCTTCCTCTTCCCCGCCACTTATACTGCCTCTCAATGGACAACTCTATATAATCTCACAAATTGACCATGGGTGATTCTCGCGCAGATTCGACACAATCAAGGTACGCTTACAGACGAGCCATGATGGGCATTTCCGGGGCCCATTGGACTGCCTGCTACAAACAGTCCGCAAAGAGGGTGTTAGTGGGTTGTATAAGGGAGCCACTCCGCCGCTGGTCGGTTGGATGGTCATGGACTCTGTGTGAGTAACTTTGCCCGGCGGCTGGAAAACGCCAAAAAGAGAAAAGAGAGAGAGAAAGAGAGAGAGAGACGGAAGGACTGATCAGTCAAACACAGCATGCTGGGTTCCTTAACCTTATATCGCCGGCTATTACTGGAAAACGTGTTTTCGAAACCAGAGATTCGCGCAAGCATGCCGTTCATTGGCAAGCAGACGGATCTTCACACGCTCCCTAGCTTCGGTCATGGCATTGCGGGCATCATGGCTGGAACGACTGTCAGTTTCATTGCCGCACCGGTGGAGCACGTCAAGGCGCGTCTTCAGATTCAGTACTCTGCAGATAAATCCAAGCGCCTGTATAGTGGACCTATAGATTGCGTTCGCAAGATGGTAAGAAATACGGGTCTCCTAAAGCGTCCGACCTTGTTGGCTGACCTATATACATAGCTTCGCACACACGGCATTGCCGGATTATATCGTGGACTCTGCGCGACCATGGTATTTCGGTCGTTCTTTTTCTTCTGGTGGGGTTCCTACGACGTCCTTACTCGGTTGATGAAGGAGAAGACCAGCCTGTCTGCCCCTGCCATCAACTTCTGGGCCGGGGGGATTTCCGCGCAAGTTTTCTGGATCACGTCGTATCCGTCCGATGTGGTGAAGCAGCGCCTCATGACGGACCCGATGGGAGGCGCCCTGGGCGACGGGCAGCGCAGGTTCCAGTGGTGGAAGGATGCTGCAGTGGCGGTCTATCGGGAACGAGGGTGGAGGGGGTATTGGCGAGGATTTGTGCCATGCTTCTTACGAGCATTCCCGGCGAATGCCATGGCTTTGGTTGCATTTGAGGGTGTGATGCGGTGGCTGCCGTGAGATTGTGGTTCGCCGCCGAGGCAGAAGGCGACGATGAAGCTACAGAAGCACAACACACGGATCTCGCTAGACCCGAACGATCAAGATGAACGGGACTCCAATAGATCCTTGAAAAAAAGGCTACGTTGTAATGTGATAGACGATAGAAATAGAATTCAATTCTCCAGCCAACCCATCCAACGGGCCCGATCGTGGGGCGCGTCTCACAGCAGGGATTCATCAATCTGGCCGGGTGCAACGGCCGCATGCGGCGATGCCTCGCCCAATGCAGCCACTGCTGCACCTTCCACTACCTTGTGCAATCCATGGAACAAATCCTTCGGATTCTTGTCTACGAAGGAATCAAGTTTGACCAACCCAAATCGGTGAGAGGAGACGGCAGGATGTTGTGGTAGACAGAAGAGAGAGTGTGTGTGAGAGAGACAAGTGTGTGCAGGAGGTGAGTTGAGAGACAGACAGAGGGTTCGGGCTCCGCATGTACTTTTTCCGGCCTGCTTCAACCTTGCCATGGTTCGTTCAATCCCGTCATCTCCAATCTATCTTCTTCCCTCTCTTCCTCCTCATCCTCTCCTCGTCCGTCTTGAACTTCTTCGCCTCACTCTCCTTTCACCTCCGCAGTCTCTTCCGCTATGTCCGGGGCCCGGATCATCCGCCTTCTGATTGCTGGCTAAAGAGCTCTCTCGCCTTCTCGCCGGGCCAGATCGATTCCGCCGCCGCCTTATCCAATCGCGCAGTTCAACCACAACCATCACCTTGACTGCGTACCTCCCCCTTCTCCCTCAATCAGCAAACGGCTACGATGGCCGTCGCACGCTCGATGCGTCGCACAAGCCCCATTACGGTCTTCCTGGCTGCTCTGCTAGCTTTCGGATTCCTTTGCTTTCTGCTCTCCCCTTCCTCGTCCGCCGCCGCCGCTCCTCCTGTCACCGATTCCTCCTCGCAGCTACGACGAGAAGATGCCGCCGAACATCCCCTTTCTCCTCCGACGAAACCCTTCCTCAGATCTCAAGCCGTTCGCGAAGATGGCCTGAAAGCACCCCCGCCAGTGATGCACTACAATCTCAACGAGCTCAGCAGCACCAGCGAATCCATTAAGAAAGGGGAACGGGTGCTGATTCTGACCCCATTGGCCCGCTTCTACCAAGAATTCTGGGACAATGTAGTGAAACTGAGCTATCCACATGAGCTCATCTCGATTGGATTCATCGTCCCTAACACCAAGGACGGCCATGTCGCGGTCACCGCGCTGGAGCAGGCAATCAGCGAGACTCAGTCCGGTCCGATTGACAGCCGCTTCGCCAGCATCAGTATCCTTCGCCAGGACTTCGACCCGCCCATTCAATCGCAGGACGAGAAAGAGCGCCACAAAATGTCCAACCAGAAAGCACGTCGTGAGTCCATGAGTCGCGCCCGCAACAGCCTCCTCTTCACCACCCTCGGTCCTAGCACCTCCTGGGTACTCTGGCTCGACTCCGACATTGTCGAGACCCCAGCGACCCTTATCCAAGATCTGACTGCCCACAACCGACCTGTGATTGTCCCGAACTGCTTCCAGCGCTACTATAACAAGGATGCCAAGAAGATGGATGTCCGCCCTTATGACTTCAACTCGTGGATCGACAGTTCGACCGCCGAACAGCTTGCGGAGACAATGGGGCCGGACGAGATCCTCCTCGAGGGATACGCTGAGCTGCCCACCTACCGCACCCTGATGGCCTACATGGCAAATACCGGGGCGCCCCGTCCTAGCCGCGAAATCGAACTCGACGGCGTCGGTGGAACAGCACTCCTTGTCAAAGCGGATGTGCATCGTGACGGCGCCATGTTTCCCGCCTTCCCATTCTATCACCTCGTCGAGACGGAGGGTTTCGCCAAGATGGCGAAGCGTCTGGGATATTCCGTCTACGGCTTGCCTGATTACTTTGTACGTTCCCCTATAATTTTCCCATCCGATTGAACCCGCTAACGCCATGGCCACAGGTGTATCACTATAACGAGTGATGCGATAGATTCCAATTACGAGATGAGTTCACATGAAGCGAACATCCAACAATAGACCGGAACGGAGAATGTTTGTTTTTTGCTTTGCTTTACTTTGCTTTGATTAGACTATCCTAGTTGGCGATTTCCACGTCCACTACAAGATTCTGACTTCACTTTATCCATCTACATCTACTTGGGGCGTTTTTATGTTACGTCCGCGCGCTGGGCGCTTAGTGGTTCTGGTGTTCGGGCTGAGTAGCTGTCTTGCAACTACTACTACTATATATAGTTAGGATTTATGTCCATTTGCTATACACTGCACTCGCCTGTTCAATGCGCAAACAGTCAATAAGCCGAGGAAGCGTAGGTTTCGTCCGTGCAATATGGACGAGATTACTCCTTAGTGGTAATATGGCACTAGTACCTCGAAACTTCGGTAATGAAACTGTCTATTCTGTGGCGAAGTCCACACCATGATTATTTACTACTAAGATACTGATTCTATATCCATAAGCCGTCTCTCCGTTTTTCAATGTGCTTTCTTCTCATAATCGTCAATCGAACTATCGTGTTGGGCTTGCTGTCTAATCCCAAGAAATGCTATGATGACCGTTAGCGATGGAAATAATCACGATGTGTCGTACCAAGGAAGGAGGGATAGAAACATACACAAGCATAATCCCCGCCCCAACCATAACGGCCAAGAACTGCACGATTGTCTTCTTGATCTCCACGCGCTTATCCTTGCCCGTTTCCAATAACTCCGGGATCACGGAGACTGTTCCTACGTAGAGGAATGTCCCTGCCGTGAAGGGTAGGAGCATATCGCCCCAGGTGAGGCTTGTTCCGAGGAGGCCGGTTGGCAGGCTATTAGTGGATGTGGAGGTGGCAGCAGTGGAGCTATTCCCGCCCAACTCTTGGACAGCGATGCCGATGAAAGTGCCGAGGAAGGCGCCAATGGCTGTGACGAATTGCGCGCCCATAGCTTTGCGCTTTGAGAAGCCGGATTGGATGAGGAGTGCGAAGTCGCCAACCTCGTGGGGGATTTCGTGGAAGAAGACGGCGACAGTGGTGGTTGCGCCGATGGTGGGGGAGGCGTAGAAGGACGAGGACATGGCGAGGCCGTCGGTAATGTTGTGAGTGAAGTCGGCAATTAGGTTGAGGTAGCCGCCGAGTTTGACGCTGGGGTTAATATCCTTCTCGTCGTCTTTGTCGGCGGGTTGGGGAGCGGTGTTGCTGCTTGCGGGCTTGCGCTGTTTGAGATCTGTGGAGGGTTGCGGGGAGGCGCCGGTTGTTGTGCCTGTGGGTTTGTGGTCGTCGTTGGCGCTGTCAGTGTGAGCGTGGGCGTGGGAGTGGTCGTGTCCAGCTCCTCCGGTGGCGATACGTAGGGTTTTGTCCATTGCGACGAAGGTGAAGAAGCCCACCATGATTCCCAGGCCCAGGAGGAGGTTGCGGTTCGGCTCAACCATCACGAAGCGAACATGGTCTGGGGAGTCTTCGCCGAGAAAGATCTCGGGGAGCAAGTGGAAGATGGTATCGCCTAGGAGGCCGCCTACTGCGAACGCGACCATGACGGACAGGGAGGAGGGATCGATGTTTGGAGGGCATAGGGCCAGGAGGAAGTCTAGTGCGGGGGACATGGTTATGATTGTTAGAGGTTTAATGCGAGAATTCACATACTAGGTGGGCCGGAGATGTAGATCGTCGCCAGGATAGCATTTACTGCAGGACTGCCGGGGAAGAGGACGGAGAAGATCTTGGAAGTCAAGCTGGTTGTTTGGGGAGCTGCGGCGCGCTTATGCTCGTTAAGGGACTCGACGAGGGGGCAGTTCTGGATGGCATTAGTTAGGTATGTTGAGGGAGGCGCGGGAAGATCGATGACTCTGTTTCCCAGATAGAACATCAAGGATGCAAGGGGCACGAGCGTACCTGCAACTCCTCCTCAATCTGTCCCACAGACATGTCCCCTACAGAGATAGCATCATGCGCAACAGCTAGTGCGGAGAAGAAAACAAGACCCGCAGCGAGCGCAAGGCCCATGCGCCGAGCTGGAGCCAGAAAAGAAGGTGCCATGATAACAATTGATCAATTGTAGGCGACCCCAAGACAGACTAGAAGAATATTTGAAGAGAGAAAGAGAGGGGGGAAGATGCCGGTGAGATAAATATGATGATGCGCCGTTCTCGGATCTCCATATCCCGGCCTAATTTGTTATCGCCGTATCGGGACCCTGCAGCAAACACGCCAAGCCCCTATCAATGCAAACATGCAAACTCGATAAGGTCCCGTTTTCTGTCGCCGCAATTTTTTGAGCTTCAATTCCGGTCCTTCGACTACTTCACCCCACTTTGGACATTGCAATCCCATTTCTGGCACCATGGTTAACATCAGACAAGCCAAGAAGAAGAGATCTTCTTTGCCCAAGGCAAAGGCCAAGAGATCCGGCCTCCTCAAGAGCGGCAAGAAGAAGATCAATGTCTTGGGAAATGCCATCATTGCGGAAAATTGGTACGTCTATGATCGGACAGAACAAATTGGGAAGAGCCATTACTTCTAGACTGTGTACTAATCCTGCTCTCGAATAGGGACCGCAAGCAGACCCTCACTCAAAACTACCGCCGCTTGGGTCTCGTCCACCGCCTCAATGCTCCCTCCGGTGGTTCTCAGAAGCGCGCAACCGTGAACGGTATCGAAGGAGAGCCCGAAGATTCGTTGTACATCAAGAGCAGCACTGAGGCGCTTGCCAAGCAAACCGCCACAAGCGATATCAAGGTTGAGCGTGATCCCGAGACTGGCAAGATTCTGCGTGTGATTCGCGGTGCGGCCGACGAAGAGGTCGAAATCGCCGGACGCAAGGTCAAGCGCAACAACCCGCTGAACGACCCCTTGAACGACCTGTCGAATCATGAGATTGTCACACAGCCCCGCCAAAATGCCTCCGGAAATGCTATCGTTGAGCAGCTCGAACGCCAGGCTGCGCAGGAGGGAGTTTCCGTCAGGGCGAAGAAGCCGCGCCATCAGAGCCAGAGAGAGGAAGAGTGGGTGACAAGATTGATTGAGAAGCACGGGGACAACTACGCAGCCATGGCTCGCGACCGGAGATTGAACCCGATGCAGCAGACGGAAGGAGACTTGAAACGGAGGATCCGCAAGTTCCAGCAAAGCCGGTCATGATTGGGATTTGAATTGATGCATTTCTATCGGCGAGTATGGCGTTTTGACAGGGCTGATTTGGGATAAAAAGTTGCTTGCGGCTGGGTTGTTGGACCACGTCCGAATTGTCTCTGCTTTTGCGGTTATACCATCTTATAGACTACATCTGTGCATGTCTGGCACAGGTCGCAAATGCTAATACACTTGATTTGGTCATACAACTTTGCTGTGCTACCACGTGAACTCAAGCACAAGCAGCATGAGCCATGAGCATGCCCATTCACTGGATTATATGCAACACAAGTCGCGAAGCTATCCACAGACGCGTCGAAGACGCCTGGCGCGTTCACGTAGAAACATACAGGTCCAAACCATCTAGTCCTTGAGATCTCTACTCCTTATTTTCCTCTCATCCTTCTCATCTCCTCTATCCCGAACAACGCCAGTATCTCAACGCCAGGATCAGGACCATCACCATGGCTCCCAGTCTCCTTGCCCTAACCACTCTACTGGCCTTCCTGCTCACTGTCGCTGCGCAGATAGCATAGTCTGCCTACCCTCTCCCTCTATTTCCTACAATGAACTAGAAATTTAATCAAAATGAAACGAAATAACAGTGACCCCGAAACCAACTCCCTTCTCTGCTCCAAGCCCGGTGGCAGCTACTGCGCCTCCGGCTCCCTTGAAGGCCCGACCATCATCACTTGTGCATCTCAGCACACTGTGGAAATCAGCTCGTGCAACATCTTGTACGCCGGGCCTCTTCCTTCCAATGGACAGGAAAAGTACTCACATTGATGAAATATGTAGTTTGAAGGACCTCCTGCCCGAAGGCTATGAGGAGAAAGCTACCTGTACTTACCCCTCTTGAACTATATATATCCTCCATTATGGACGCAGTGCTAAAGAAAGAATAGGTTATGAAACCACTCCCTGGGCTGGCCAAGCTCTCTGCGCCTTCAACGGAACCGGCTATGCCCTCATTAAGAAGTCCAGAGATGTTGTTCCTGTCTCTGTGCCGGAGACTATCCTCTGCGGTGACGAAGACGAAAATGACCCCCAGACTTGGGACGATTCCAATGATGAAGAGGATGCTTTCGTTTCGTATGTCGATGATGAAGACGACGACGCAGAGGATATTTTCGACCCATATGTCGAGGATGAAGGCGATGATGCAGAGGATACTTTCATCCCGTATGTCGATGATGAAGACAATGATGAAGACGATGAGCAGGAAGGAGAAGGCCGTCTTCTCTTCGCTCCAAAGAAAGATACATCCGCGGGTCCTACGCTCCCCTATCCTCCTCTTCTGCCGGCTACTCATCCGCGAAAGACTGCGTCTACATCTGGACCTTCGTCAACACTGAGTACGCTGAGTACGCTGTTGAGTATGACCTCTAGCCCTTCGTCTGCGACTGAAACTGCAGCCATGCAGGAAGTGAAAAGAAACATACGTGAACGTGCGTGCTCTGATCCGTGGAAAATACCCTCGTCCTCCTTTTCCATCCAGGATATGGGTTTCTCTACTATCTCTTCTACTTCCACTATGGACAGTACGACCGCTGGTGGTGGTCACCGTCAGCCACTATCAACTTTCACCTCGACTATCTATGCGAGTCGGAGTGCAGGAGTTGCAGCAAATACCGTCACTGTCACCACTACTGAAAGTGGCACTCCAACATCTGCGGGTGTGTGGGACGATAACCCTGAAAAAGAAACTACCCCGGTCAAGACAAGTGACGCCAGCCATACTTCTGAGAGCGGTTCGGAAATGCATGCGCTGGAGGATCGAATTATTTTCCAGGATTTAGCTATTCTTTGGGTCTTATGGGTGGTCCTGGCGTGCATTTTCGGTTGAGGGGGGG